TTCTTTTATTATTCAGATTTCTGTAATAAATTGTTTTAACTGCAAACACCCAGAAAACAACTCCAGTGGCACACCAAAAGCTGTTTATTCTCTTAACAAAGCTGCTTTAACTGTGATACTTTATTTGTTACTTTCCTATTACCTATCCTACTAAAAGTTCAGCAATGTAATAAAGCTGTTCAAAGATACTCACTATAAAGGCAATTTAAATTATACTTTAATGCAGCATTAAAATTGTACATAGTTTTTTACTTTCACACAGCTACGTCTTAGTGTTAAAGTCTTACCTGGACAAAATGTGTGCTATCTGAGGAGGGATATCATTGAAAAAGAAACACTCTCCCATTCACTGATTAATACTGACAGTCTGTTAGAGACACAGGCTCTTGTTACATTACTGCTGCAGGAGGCAACATGGACCAAACAGATGGCAGAGGGAGAGGGGCAAGTGTCAAATTCTTGATATTTTTCTGTGCCAAGGGGTAGAAATCACATTTAATAATACATAATTTTGCTTGTCACATTGATTATGTTCTGATGTTTTTAAGCCCACGTAGAAATGGATAAATTAACATGATGCAATCAGAACCCCCCAGAACATACTGGTTTGGACTGAATAAAAAGTGTAGCAGTCAGAAATCAATAGCTTTCACAATTAAAAAACACCAACAAGTTAACCTTGTCTCCATACTCCACCTCTAGCACGTTAGCCATGTGCTAGAAACAAAAAATAGCAGGCACAATTATGTGAAATTGCTATTTTATAGAGTTGAATATGCTACAATTTAATGTTGCTCTAACATGTTTAAATTGACCTGCACAGTAAGTAAAGCAAAGCATCTAGCTGCATCTTGTAAAAACATCATACAAGTGTTTTTGTACGTTTTTGGTGGCATTCCTCTTGCAGCAAGCAGCAAAAAAATGCACGGTAAGTATAATAGCCACATATTCACATTTCACATACCCTTTTTAATGTTCTACATTTACGTTTTGACAAAATGAACCTAGATTTCTCAGCTACTTTAGAAGAAGTTATTACATGAAATGTTCAGGCAATACACTGATGCCTGAGACGTTGTTTTACAATAGTTTTGTCATAAAGTTTTAGCCTAAAATTTATTTTTTAAAATCCAATCAGGGCTGTAAGGTAGATGCAGGGTGTTGTAAGGCAAAATAATCCACCCCCAAAAAAACTTAAGTTTTCAGATCTACCACTCTTACCATTGTCAACATTACATATAGTTTCACTGGTCATTTTGAATTATGAAAGAAAACTATATTTACATGGTAGACCTCTCAATCCCTGGTTCCCACCACTGCCATTGTAAAGAAGTCTGAGACAGTAAGTTTCTCTACAATACACCATTTCACATCAAACCACTCTAAATGGCTTTGTTTACATTTCAACCATTTAATGATGCAGAAATCTTTTTTAAAAATGGTGGTATTCCCCTTTAAACTGTGCATAATGTCTGTTTTTGGCACTTTTACTATAGTGCTTTAAATAGAGCACAGAAAAGAAACAATGGATCAGTGGCTCAAGCTTTATACCTGATCCATTAAAATAAATCATTGGATCAGTGCCAATTCCAATGGATTGGATTGGGACATCCCTATACTGTCTCATCTCTACTCTGAGCTTTAGCACTTTGTGGGGGAATGAAGTCTCTATAAGTCTCCTTAAGCAGATTTCAGGCCTACTCTGACCTACCTTTGAGAGATTCCTGCTTTAGTGGACCTGCTGTGTGTGTGTGTGTGTGTGTGTGTGTGTGTGCGTGTGTGTGTGGTAAAGAATAAGGGGATTTACTCATTCACAGATTATTACACACTCACACGCTCAGACACACTCACTCCTGATCTCCCAGTGTAAGTGGGTTGATACAACACAGTGGGAAGCCCAAGGACCTGCTGAGTGAATCATATGTACGTGCATGCATCATTTGATGGGTCCTGCTGTGTAGTAATTAGGCCTATATGCATATCGCTGGTCCATTTAAACACTTACCGCTGATGCTAATCCTTGAGGTAAGCTGGCATCACTAAAATAATGTGCATAAAGTAGGGCCTGATCCATATATCATAATTTGTTACATTGAAACCCCTGGCTAACCAGATCCCAGAGCTTGACCCACAAGCACCTATTATGCTTCTGCTGGGCAGAGATATCATTAGAGTCCACAAAGTCCGGAGACAAGTGAATGGGACACATGATGCACCTTATGTGCAGAAACTGGATCTGGGTTAGGTGATGGTGGGAGATGTGTGTCTTGGGGAGGTACACAAACCAGCTACAGTCAGCACTTTCTACACCAACACCCTAGAAAATGGCCGTCCATCTCTCTTTGAACCATGTCCTCACCACTATCTGGTAAAGGAGAGATATTGCAACAGCCAGTTCCAGGTACAAAAACATATCAAGATAGATCACCTTGCTGATGACTATGATGTGTTTAAGAGAACAAAGGATGATGACAAAATAGCTCCTTCAACTGAGGACATGCAGTTCCTAGATATTATGAACCAGGGAGTCTACAAGGACAGAGATAACAGCTGGGTGGCTCCTTTACCATTTAGAGTGCCTCAGCTATGTCTCCCCAACAACCATTCACAAGCAGTGGAACGCCGAAACTCACTTCAATGAACCTTCCAAAGAAGCCGGAAATGAAGCTCCAGTTCTTTGAATTCATGAAGAAAATCTTCCAGAGTGGCCACACAGAAGCAGCCCCTCCATTAAAACCTGGGGAGCAATGCTGATACCTACCTTGTTTTGGAGTGTACCATCCTAAGAAACCATCTCAGATCAGAGTTGCTTTGACTCAAGCGCTCAACACAAAGGCATGTCATTGAACCAAAACCTACTAACTGGACCAGATCTTAATAACAGCCTCACTGGGGTTCTCCTTCGGTTCCGAAGAGATGCCATTGCCTTCACTGTGGACATACAGCAAATGTTTCATGGTTCAGCCTGAAGATAGAAACTTTCTGAGATCCCTCTAGTTTCAAGACAACAACCCAAAGAAAGAAGTGGTGGAATATCACATGAAGGTACACATTTTTGGAAACAGTCCATCCCGAGTGGTAGCTATTTACTGCCTCAGAAAAGCAGCTCAGGAAGGGCAGAAGGAGTTCGGAGAGGATTTCAGACAGTTTGTTGAGCAAGACTTTAATGTGGATGATGGGTTAAAGTCTTTGCCTACAGCAGATGCAGTGCTTGACCTGCTTAGGAGGACACAGGAATCATTGGCTTGCTCTAACCTCAGACTACACAAACTAGCAAAGAGGTCATGGATGCATTCCCACTCGAAGATCGTGCCAGTGACCTGAAAGACCTTGATCTAGGTTCTGAAAATCTTCCAGTACAGTGCAGCCCTGGCCTTCTGTGGGACTTAAACTCAAACTGCTTCACGTTTCGTGTGCTGGATGAAGAAAGGCCATTCACTTGACGTGGAGTGCTGTCGACAGTGAACAATCTTTACGACACACTTGGATTCGTGGCCCCTGTGACAATCCAGGGAAAGGCTCTTCTCAGAGAAATCACCATAGACTCCTCGGACTGGGATGCTGCATTGCCCTCTGACAAGGAGCAGCTGTGGCGAACATGGAAACATTCTCTACAAGAATTACAATGCCTACAGATCCCAAGGTCATACTCTGCTGTGTCGCCAACAGAAGCCACAGAACAAGAACAGAAGTTCAGATAGTTCTGCGTTTTTTCGGGCGCTTCAGAGAAGGCAATAGCTGCTGTAGCATATCTTAAGGTTGTGGACAATGATGGAAATTGCCACACAGGATTTGGCTCAGGCAAAGCAAAAGCTTTGTGCAGCAGTAATGGCAGTAAACATGACTGAAACCATCACCTCTGAAACAGACATCATGATTGATGCAGTCACTTTCTACACTGATAGTAAGGTCATAGTCGGGTACATTTACAACGAGAAAAGGAGATTTTATGTCTATGTTAATAACAGAGCTCAGAGGATCAGAAGAAGCACACTCCCAGAGCAGTGGCATTGTGTGCACACCGAGCATAACCCTGCAGACATTGCAACACGGCCAATACCCACAGTCCATCTGAAGGATACCATCTGGTTCACTGGTCCCAAGTTTCTGTCTCAGGCTTTATTGGAGCCTGCAAAAGCTTGAGAATTCCTTCTAATGTTGATGGAGGAGCTGTGGACAGGTTCCTCATGGAACGTGGCTGTATATGGACATTCAACACTCCCCACTTCTCCCATATGGGAGGAGTCTGGGAAAGAATGATAGGCATCACACGAAGAATCCTGAATTCCATGTTCCAGCAAATGGGGTCTTCCAAGCTCACTCATGAGGTACTCACAACCTTCCTGGCAGAGGTTACCGCCACTGTCAACAACAGACCACTAGTTCCTGTGTCGAATGACCCTTTAGATCCTTTCATACTTACTCCAGCTACCCTACTCACCCAGAAAGTGGGCACTTATCCTCTTCCAGATGGCAACTTCCAGGACTCTGAACTGTACAGGCAACAATGGTGCAGAGTACAGAGTCTCACAAACACCTTTTGGGACAAGTGGTGCAAACAATACCTATCCACTCTGAGGTCTCGTAAAAAGTGGCAGTTCAACCAACCTGACCTTCTACCAGGAAGTGTGATTCTCTTGAAGGATTCGCAGTCTAAAAGAAATGACTGGCCCTTAGGGATCATCACGGATATGTATCCCAGCAAAGATGATAAAGTTCGCAAAGTTCAAGTGAAAATCAGTAAACAGAATGGACAAAAGCAACTCCTCAGACTTATCAATGAGGTGGTCCTACTCGTTCCTCCGAAATACTAGAACTGACCGGCGTAAAGCAGATTTCCAAATGTGGACAGTGGTATCCTCAGGATACCAGGCAGGGAATGTAATGTTCCATAGACTTTGTGTTTTGGTACTTTACGCTTGTAAATTGGCGCCACCTACTGGAAACGTTCTATATGTAACTTAAGTAATGTGACTTGTCCTTGGTTGATGATGTCATCAGTGTGAGTCTGGTTTGTGCAGTTATCAATGAAAGCATAGCTATCTTCCCTCTGTTTCATCTTTAAACATCTTCTGCATTTTGGCTTTAGATGGCATTGTCGGTATGTAAGAAGTTTCTTCCACTGCTTATTTCTCTCTGTTGACAAGCATTTGTGAAGTTTGTGTAGATTTAGTAGATTGATTTACTGTCAATTGCTCTTGTGCTTACCATGCATCCATTTTGCTGATACCATTAATATTTTTCTATTGATGTTAACATGTACAATGCCTGTATTTGATATCTACTCAACTGAGTCATTAGTCATTTCAATTCTGTTGTACTCAGCTATGTTTCCAGACTTAAAATGTGATAAAGAATTATGTTGATTTTTTCTCGGTTTTACCCTACTCAAAGTGCCTTCAGTAAATGGAGATATACTGGAACCTCTTGTCGGTGTGGTAATTGGAGAGGAGTTTAGCTGCCTGTCAAGCTAAGCAAGGAGCTTCAGTTGAGGACAGGACACTGTGGTTATTTTCCACTCAAATACGTGGACTCTGTTACTGGCAAAGACATAAATAGCAGTAATGACAATGCTAAATACAACAATAATGCTTGCATGTATAAGCACTTTTTTGTAATCCAGTTTTTGTATTGTCGTTTTTGTAAACAAAAATGTAAACTACTATCATTGTAATATTTATTTGACGGGTTATCATCAACATTAACACACAAAGGTAATAACTGGGGATGGTGGAGATCATTTCTGCATTGTCTGGCATTGTTAAAACACAGAGTTAGAAAAAAAATCTCACAAGTGAAAGCAGCATTTTGTAGCATAGAAATGTAATGTCATTATGCCAGTTGTGGTAAACCTTTGCTGCCAGTTACTGCTTAAAATAACAGAAACAGAAAGTTAAAACAGAATTTAGGGTTTTTAAGGTTAGGACAGTATTCAGGAAATTCTGTCTAGTTACAATGCTTCTGTAATACTGTTTTCTTATCTGGAGATAGGATAAGATTATAAACTTGTGAACTTTTATTCTGTAATAGCTTCCACCTTGTTTGACTGAAATGAACAATGAAATGAAGTGTCTGTGATAACAATATTATAAGTGTTGAACACTGTGGTATACTTTTATTAAATAATCACACATCTAGTTTAAAAACATACCATTGACTCCCCAGTTCATGCATTGAAACCATGTATGAAACTATTCAGATTAAAGTGGTGTGGAGTGATGAGGGAAAATGGTTAAATGTCGTGCTGTTCCTGGCTGTTGGGAAGCATGGGTTATTGCAGCCTTTCACAGAATCCACACATCCAAGAGGAGTGGCTGAAGTATATTTTTCCTCCCTGAGGAATTCAGTTCACATTTCAGCCCAGACTGCTTTTTGAATAATGCACAATGCAGAATAGGCAATCAGAACAAAGATCATTTACATAAATCGGTCTTAGGAGCACAGTGCCAAAAATATTCTACTTAATTCAAAGGATTAAAGAGAGGTCATGTAAAAATTATTTATAACTGTGCACAATCCCACATTTTAACTGGGCTAAATGTATGATACAGTCCTCTTGAAGGGTATACTTAGAATGTGGGACCTGTGATACAGATTTTTCAATGGTGGACACTTGTTTCTGTAACTGGACCTTTACTGACATATGACAACTATAAATCTCCTTACAATGCTACAACAGATGTTAACGTCCCACTGCATCAAATAAACAAAACCTAAAAGCCACCAATAATCTCAGGACTGCAAAGCTTGTTACCAATTGCTGCCTGTGAAAAATGTCTTTTGAAGAAGTTCATCAGAAAAAAAAAAACTCCAGCCCAGTGTTTTAATGAGCCAGTCGGTCACAGGAAAACAGATCGCCGGTCGCTCCGCTCAAACAGGGAATGTATAACTCCGCGTTTCAGCCGTTGCTAAAGACTCATCTTACACGTGGCCCCGTCCCTCTCTAATCATGTAGAAAAACTCGGAAGTGCGCCCTCTCCTGGCGACAGCACAGTAGTGTCGCTTTCCTTGCAGTAGAAAACGCCACCAAGGCTTTCACTGAACGTGGAAGTGTGAGAATGGTGTCTTATATCGAACATTTATCGAACATGTCATATCGCTCTATCCAGGAAAAGTTATATCGCGATAATTATCGTTATCGTTTTATCGCCCAGCCCTATTTTGGGGCCTCATTCTGTCACTTGTTTTTGTTTTGTCTAGTTCAGCTTTTAAATGCACACAAAAGACAAAACAGCTTCTGAGCTCTGCTGAGAGGCTGCGGAATCAACAAGTGTGATCTCTCTCTGTGATAAAGCACGACAGGTACTCCTACCTCACACTCACTCATTTTATTAGAAACATCTACCTTCTAGATGCATTTTGTAGGTTTACAGTGACTGTCTCTAACTTATTTGTTGTGGCACAATTTTTCAGCCCCATCTGCCCTGCCCATTAATGGAAAGGGCCCACCATAGGAACAACAGATATATAACCTGATATAATTTGAGTGGTGGATAGAACTGCGGTCAGTGGTGACAGTATGGTGGTCCCTTTCCATTGATGGATAGAGTAAATGAAGCATCTGATAAATTGTGCATCAACAGATGGGCTACAGTCTGTGATTGTTAACCTATGTGGTAGATGTGTCTGGTAAAATGGCCAATGAGTGGGTAAAGGGTAGAATTTTTTAATGAACTGGACACTCAGTGTAATTCTGCAGCAGAAATCTTGCTTTCCTGTTCTCAGAAGCCCCTGCATTTCTCCCTCTTTTCGTTCTGTACTGCCACGCGCACAGCAGACAAGCCGAAACAAAGCTGACCCCTATGCTTGGCAATACTGCGCTAAACCCCTCTGTGAAAACACACACATTTTACAGCATTTCTGCCTCAGGCACTGAGTTATGGTCTCACTTACAGAACGCCATTTTGGACAAATTCACACCTAGTGCTCAGAACAGCAGGCAAGTTTGGAGACCTTTCACATTTTACTCTGCAATCCTAAATTATTTGAAGGCTAGCTCTTAAATAAGCTGCTTTTATATAACCTGTCAAAACAAAGATCCTAAAGGACTTTGTGAAGATTTCCTTACCAGAGCAAGACTGTTGCAAAGAACAAAAACTTTTATTAGGAGTAATATCAGAGCATATTAAAACACCAAACATTTCTCACTAACACCATCCTGTACTACTCCTGTTTAAACAGAAGCATTTCAAATTAGTTCATATATATTTATATATATATATATAATGACCCAGTTTCTCCACTTTCTCAAAATAAAGTCTGCCACAGCATGTTTGGTGACCAAAGTTTGCATCTTTAGTTTTGCACTGGGGCCACATAGTTAATGCAGCTAACAAGTAATGGAAGCTTATACCTCACCAATTAGCATTGTGCAAACCTCATAAGCCTTGTAAATCATGCCTGAAACTGTGCTGAGTTCAATTAATTAATCTCAAATAGTCTTGTTTAGGTGGCTCCTAACACTGTAACACTGAGTAACCACTCAACCTCAACTATAGAGTTTTCCATGGTAAATGCAGATGATTTAGTCTGTGAAATTATTTTAGACAGAAGTACAAGTAAAAGTCTCCAGTATGCATTTGAAGACTACATACATATCACTGAGTCATCTCAGCACTCTAATAGATAACCGTTATCAAATAGTGATTCATGTGGATGACATGGAAATAAAAAGCATGACTGTTCCTGAAAGTGTATCACATTCTGTATCGCAGGTAAGGTAAATGTATGATAACAGCCTCACTCGTAACACAGCCATATCACCAGTTTATCTGAGGTGGAAATAATGCAGGAGCAAACTCTGTATTCTTTTAAACTTTGTTGTGAAATACTGGACTTGACCAATGAGTTGGTTGCCATCAATGGCTCCCAAACAAATGACCATCCAGTTCTACAGCTGACGGTAAAACTGCAGTATGTGATAATGTTAAATTCCAAATGAGTTTGGTGTGGAGAAACTCCAGTGGCCTGCACAGAGTCCCGACCTCAACCTCACTGAACACCTTTGGGATGAACTAGAATGCTGATTGTGAGCCTTCTCATCCAAGATCAGTGCCTTACAAATGCTCTTTAACAGTGGGGGCTATTATTGCCTAAAAAGAAGGGCCAACTTCATTTTATTGCCCATGGTTTGGAATGGGATGTCCAACAAGCTCATGTAAGTGCGATGGTCAGGGGTCAACATATTTTTGGCCATATGGTGTATATTCCTCAAAGCAGAGCTTGGAAGGCATTCTGGTAAAATATAATTTACTTCGCATGTTGCAGTTACAGTGAATCCTGAATATTTCTGCCTAAATATTTCTGCCTAAAGGCCACCACACACTCGATGCCCCACATGCATAGTGCAGCATAACGTCACGCAGCAGAGTGCTCCTACAGAATGCAAGCAGGGAGAGGTGATAAACACCAGGTTCAAGGTTTTTTTTTCCATTTTTACACTCTATGCATACAAATTGAATGAAATAAGCTTTCAGGTTCACTCATCATGCTTGGCATCAGTTTACCGCCTCTTCACTACCTCTTCAAGACTAACTCAAATTAGTATTGGTCTAAAATATAGGACAAGGATGTCTGAAAGATTATGACGGCCAATTAAGTCCAATTAAGGCAAATCAATTACAGTTAGTGGAGCACATTCATTAAAAACACATCAACACAAACAATTTTATCCAACCTTATGCCACATCACTATATTTCAATTTATAGCATAATCTCATTTCTTTTTGTTATACTGTAAGAACTAAAAGTCTATCAAAGATAAGACACAAAGCATGTCTTAGCTGATCGACTACATTTGGGGTAAGGGGGGAAACTGCTGATTTTCTGGCAAATTTATTCTTTAATGATCCAAACAGAAAAAGAAGCAACAGGCCGTGAGACCCCACTGCTGTGTGATGCAGTTGGCCAACAGAGGCGCACCGCAGATGGGGCTAGTCGACACATTAGCCCAGTGAGATTAAGGCTAAATCAAGACTAAAGGGTATCATTACCCCAAGAGAACCAGTGGTTCCTTATGTATGTCTCTCTAACATTTGCTCCCTCAATAACAACCTGGACATAACATTAACTCACTAACTCTAACTGACTACAGAGTGGGAGATGAGTGACTACTACAAGAAGCCTGACTAAGCCATTCAGGTAAAGGGCTCCTCTTAGTGTGTTTTACACTGTGTGTACGTTGTTAACTGGCTTATTTGTGGGGTACTGGTGAAACTAATAGTTTTGGAAGAACGATGCTGCATTTTGTGCCAGTATTGATAGATACTGATACGGTGTCATTTTTGTGCAACACTAGCTACCACTCATTCTCACAGTCAGTGACCTTCGAGACAGCCAACAGTGACATTTTTTCTCACGTAATTGACTGTGATTGTTTTTTCCACCATCACTTCCTAATTATATTCCTGAACATAATGTCCCTAAAATCCTAACCAATGTAAGAGGCAGCTTGGTGGTATCTATACATTATACTTATAACAATATCATTTCCACACACAAACACAGCAACACACACATTCTGTACTATACTTTTAAATACAAATAATGAAACAAAGTTTGTTCTAAAATCACATTGACAGAGCCACATTCAAATGCATTTAATTTAAATCTTTACCCACATACATACACACACACTAGTGAACACACACACTAGGGGCAGTGAGCACACTTGCCCAGGGTGGTGGGCAGCCCTATCCACAGCACCCAGGGAGCAGTTGGGGGTTAGGTGCCTTGCACAAGGGCACTTCAGTCACATGCTGTCAGCTGAGGGGATTGAACTGGTGACCTTCTGGTCACAAGGCTGGCTCCCTAACCTCCAGCCCACGACTACCCCCACAAGAAGGGCCCACTGAGAAGCCCCACAGTCTTTGTTCTTACTCTTGCCAATGTCTGAGCACACCACTAGCTCTGTGTGTTTTTATTTTATTTAGTTACATGTACATTATTTATGTTTCTCAAAATTTCTGCTGTCTGGTATGTCCCAATTTTGGCTTTAATGACAGCATGCAAGATTAACAACTGCTGCAAAATAAGCCTTTGATGAGTAGATCAAACATTTCAACACATGCTGAAGACTTAAGGACATCTGACCTTTTTTGTACAAAGTCATTAACATGGCCAATGTCACAAATTTACTTAAACTTGAATAGTGATCTAGAAATAGTGCAGAATCTTTTCATTTTATTTGTCATTTTGCAAAAATGAAAATTTTCAGAAATTCAAAACTCTGTTTGTTTCCAAGATGGAATGAAAAAAATCTGGTCTCAAACTTTTGGACCTCACTATGTATAGATATAAAAATGTATTTTCAATAAAACCAAGACCAGTTGTATTATTTTGTAATGTAATTGACTTTTAATACAAACCATATTTAACAACTGAAGTAAAACACTACTTAAAATATACACAGACATAAGAACACAGCAGCCTCTCTGGGCCCAGTAAAAATTGTGCTAAATTCACCTGTGCTTAGGCTGAGCCCAACAGACACTGCTGGAATGTGGTAAATATTACAAGTCATTCAGGATATAGGTAGAAGTTGGGAGCTGTTCCCAAGACTGCTGTGTTGTCTCATGCAGCTGATCAACGAAGGCATTGCCACAAGCAGTGCAAGAGGAAACAAAACCACTGCACGTGGGCTGATGTCCATGCAAGACCAGCCCCAAGAGACCGGCCCTAAGCTGAACTAACTTTAATACAGATGCAACTGACTACACAGCGGAAGATGAAGGATTGCTGAAACATCCCTAACTTAGCCATTCTGCTAAATAGGAAAACCTTAGTAGTTTTGTATTGTGTACTTTTTGTGGCATACCAGTATAAAGGTCACAACAAAAACTCATATCTTAAGTAGAATTTCAACCAATATATCGCCCTTTACTAGATATGAGCCTACATAAACTCATCCATTTAAGCATATTTAATACTGCATTTAATTCAAACTTCCCTGAAACCAACATCAGCAGCAAACATCATGATGGAAGGCATATGGGCTTAACTACAGAATAGTAAAAAAATCTGAGCTGAAGATGTTCTCTAGTTACAATCTTATAGGCCTATTTCATGAAAAAAACTAATTTTCCTAATTTTTTAAAAAAGAAACTTTTCTGTTGTATGTAAACACTGTTCAAGTTTAAAATGTACCATTCACTACTAAGTTTAATGTAGATTAAAACTCAACTACCAAAGAAATTACATTTTATTCACTGGTTCACCATTCATTCTCATGGGCTGACTACTTTCTAATCAGTAATTCAGTCATACTAATTATCACATGCACACAGATTCACCCCATCACAATGAGCAACCCTGCCCCATCTCAATCATCTTAAAAGGAAATCACCTACATAACATGTCCTTGCTCAGTGATCCTGAATATAACACATGTATCAAAAAAGAGTGGGCATGCTTCCTAGAAATAAATGATTGTCCAAAAACACCACCAACAATACTATGGGAGACTGGGCAAGCTGTAATAATAGGGAAAATAATATAATTTTCTAACTATAAGAAAAAGAAAGACACAGGAAATTAATGTAAATTAGAACAAAAAATCAAAAGAAAACATAATGGTAAACAATTCTGCAAAAGAAGCACAAAATTTTCTTTGTTTAGTGCAAACAATTAAGATTTATGGGGACAATTCGCACTAATAAACATTTTTGTAAATAGTGGCAGTTTATCCAATTTGACAAATTTTCAAATTTAAGAATAAGGAAAAAACAACAATTGCAGTAATTTAAAGATTCAGAGGGAAAGTCCATGCAGATACCAGAGGCAAAAAATAACAACCTTTGGCTACTTTTTTAAAAAGCTATATTCATCAGACTGTGATCTAAAATACAAAAGACATTAACATCTTTCTTAATAACAGTAACCTACAAAAACATTCTCTCTTCAGTACATATATGGCAATAAAGCTGCAAAAATGGCCTGCTTTGAACTCAGTACTTTTGTAACGTGATGAAAAAAAACACATTTACATTTAGCCAGCAATTCAACCTAGAGCAGTTTAGCCCCACCCATTCACACTGAAGTTATAAGGAGTGTTTCAGCCAGAACTGCTTTTTGAATGAGGCACAACACAGCACAGCCAACCAGAACAAATGTAATTTACATACATCAGCTTTAAAGACACAGTAACAAAATAGCCTGTTTAATTCTGAAGAATAAAGCGAGAGAAGAATAAAGTACCACATAAAATGAACTACAACCCATACAAATGTCATAAGTGGACCTCAGAGTATGAAATAAAATTCTAGAAAAATGTACAATGTGGGCCTTTTAAACCTCAGTAAAACCATGTCTTGAGCAACATCAGTTACAGTCACATCAGTTACATACACGTCTAGCAATAGATGTGTTTTGAACAACAGATTACAAATACCAATATTCTGGTATAGACTACATATCGCCCAGCATAAACATTTGGCTAATTAAAATAATAAACATTTGGCTAATTAAACCACAAAGCAGATTAGTTTTCTCTTAATGTGCATTTGTGACTTCGATCCACAGCTCAGATTGTCTTAATCAATCTCAAAGCCAAACAAACAACAGAACAACATCCTGCACACATAAAACCACTGCATACTACTCAACATTAACTCTAGCGTTAGTGACTAATCTGATTCTTTCATTTTAAAGCAGCTAAGGCCTTCAGTGCTTCTTCAAACCAACAAATATCTGCACCCCAAAAGCTGGTTTAGAGCCATTCTGCATTTGGCATGTAAATAAACAGCATATTTGAATTCTCTGCAGTGTGTACTGAAATGCACTGCAAAAACCTGACACAGCACAAGACCATTCAAAGGAATACTCCAGCATTTTTCAACCTAATCTTTGTCTGCTGCATATGTAGCATATGGCTGATTACCATAAACAATAATTTCAACACCTTTTTACATACTTAGAAAGGAACAGAAAACCCCTTGTTTACCCCTTACAATAGAAGCCAATGTGCAGTTGCTGAATTCCATCAGTAAACATTTATGGGTGTTCCAACAACTACGGACAGTTTTGGCTGCCCACAATCTCTTTTCCATGGCATGTTCTTACCACAACAGAGTGCTGTGGCCATAAAGACTTTTCCACTGTTCTTTTAGTAGCAAAGATGGCCTGTAAAATCTGCTTTCACAGACATATTTTAACATGTGAGTTTAACATAAATAAGATTTGTTTATGATTTTGTTTATTAAAAATAAACTAGTTAAAATGTGTAAGGACATGCAGGAAATACTGAACATACAAATGTTATATTTACATTGCTTTGCTGTAAATCCAGACACAACTAGATGAGGTTATCCACACCTTTGTCCATGTGCTTTTTGTCTCGTTGACATGTTTCAATCAAAAGTAAATTGCTTGGCTGTGAAAAAAAACATTATTTTAGGTAAGGACACAAACAACAATGACTGATATACAGCTTTTCAATATGTCTTAAAATTTATGGAATGCAGTATCAATTGAAGATGTAATTTTTTTAATTTAGTAACTTCTTTTTATGTCTTTAAAAAAATTAAAATCACAGCTGTGGGATATGAAAAAAACTGCTATTTGGACCCAAATATGCTTCATAAACTACATTAACTCATAACATATAGCAATAATTTGTGGGTGAATATGTGCTATGACACTAATAAACTGTTTTTTCTACTTTTTAGCATTACGCTAAAAATGTGAACATATATCCAAAGGATGTAAAACATGTTAAACATGCATTTGAACATATTAATGAATTCTTCATGCAAAGATATTTATAAATGAAGCTGTAAATCTGTGTTTTTTTTGTTTTTTTTTTGTTATTTCAGACACGGTACTCGAGGGAAGAATATATGACGATGTTTTCTGACAGAATTGAGCATTTACCCTTTGACTTCTATTATAAGTGAGCTTTGAGTTAATGGGTTTTAGGCTTACAGAGAAATCACTGTCTGTTATGATTGATGCTGTGCTACAGATGAAGCAGATTACTTTCACTCCAACATGCACAGGCTGTATAAGGATGTACTCGAACCAAATGCCAAGTGCACAAACCAGTACCGAATAAGAAAGCGGTAAGATTAGCACAGACTGTGCTGTATACAATACAGAACGCATTGAGTATGAAGCCATGTGAGAATGGCTTTAGCCATTAGCAAAGTGCTGCTGCACATATTAGCACCGTTTTAATGGCACGGGAGTGTAAATTCCCGTGCCGTTAACATGCTGGATAATGTGAAAATGTCTTCAAGAATGAAAGAGCAGCCTGACAGGAGAAGAGGCGCTGCTAGCAGGAGCCTCAGTGGAATACTAAGTGCGGCCACACACACACACACACACACACACACACACACACACACACATATTCAAACACACACAATGACGTGCAATCCCCAAGAGCAGTATATAATCGTCCACGCACACACACGACTGAATAAATAAATTAGATTTAGCATCAGTGCAGACGTGCAGAACGAATGCAGCATTAAGCACGGGCGTCTTCATCTTACAGCAGCAGAATGGACAGTGCATGCACAAGCCGTGGTGATGAAGATGAGGATGAGAATGATGATGATGATGAGAGGTTTACCTGGAAGACATGAAGACGCCCAGCAAAATTTAAATTAGCATCAGTTGACAAACGGAGCAGCTCCTTCCCCTATTACTGCAGCACACACGCCCGGCTATAATAACACTCAGCAGGTTGGTGCAGCAATGGATGGAAGGTCGAAGCACGAGCAGACAAGCTTCACACTGAAGCTCCTCCTGCTCTAACACACACTTTAACCCTTTGGCTTCTAGACATGTTGCCTCATACACACACCAATAACAGCAAAGAGGCTGCCGTGAGCTTGGCCTTTGCAATTCTGATATCGCAGAAGGCTGCAATATTTTAATGAGCTTCTAACCAATCAGGGGTGTTTTTCTCTGTATCCTGTCCAATCACCGTTTCTGATGAGTGCTTCTGTGGGTGTTTCGATGAATCACGTTACTATTGATGCATCAGTGTTTATGATATATTGCCTGCAGTATTGGGGTAGCTAATCATAAAAAGTAATCAAATTACAAATTAATAATTTCTTTCACACTGTAATGGGGTTAATTATTGTTTCCTGTGAAAGTAATGTCACTGCTGATTACTTCTCTAAAACCTATATCTGTAACAATTACTACAATGAATGATATTCCTTTTAGAATTTTATTTAGGACAAAATAGTTACAGTAAACACCATTTTAAAGTCTTGACACTATTCCTGCTTTTGATCTGAATAAGATAGGACCATGCTTATTTAAAACTATGAAATAACCTAGTGCTATATAATGAAGTTAATATAACATTAAAAAAAATTAAGGCCTTCACAAATAAAATTATATTAAGCTTACATTTTCACATTTGAGTCATACAACAAGTAACAACATATTGCCTACATTATGCCTGTGGCACTTTTCATTCAAATTTGAATGAAAATCTCACTGGAGTCATCTTTAGCTTAAGGGATAGCTTGCATTTCACAGTGTTTATATCTTTACGTTCAATAGCCTAATTGAAAAAATAATGAGTTCGAAAACTTTCACTCGCCTCCTCCTCTGTTGTGTCCATAGTCCAAAGTTTTGCAGTCAGCTGGCACAGCCACATATAACATATAGTCAGAAATTTTTAAGAAAGTTTTAAGTATGTTTTTTTGTAATTTATATTATTTGCTTGTGTAATGCAAGTAAGTAAATTTTAGTGAAGCATTTAAACTTAAGTCTTTTGTTCAAATTAGGCAAGAGTTTGACTTCCCTGAAACAGACTTTTTCAGATATCCACAAATTAGGCATTTTCTAAATAAGAATGAAGATATTGACAAAAAAAAATATTGTCTCCAATAGAGCAATACTTAAAGAAAATACAACTAGGTGACACACCCTGTAAGGTAATAACAAATTTGTATCAAACTCTTAAATCAATGGAGTCACATAACTCCCTATACATTAAGCATAAGTGGGAAACCGAACTGCATAAGGAGATTTCAGCAGAATTTGGAAAGATATATGTTCAGAATGTCATTTAATTACCTGCTCTAGTAGCTGGAGGAAATTCAAATGGAAGCTTATTGCTAGATAATTCAGAACACCATATATAACCAAGAGGACTGGCTCATCTTCATTGAGTAGTTGCTGGAGGAATTGTGGGGAAACTGAAACAAACTTTGTCCACATTTTTTTGGTCATGTGAAAAACTGAGGAAGTATTGGGAGGATATCTACAGTGCTCTAAACTCTGGCTTTGATATACCAATCCCTAAAGAACCTTTAGTATCATTGTTGTGTCACTCAGGGATTTGATAATAGGTGCAAAATCTACCTTCTCCAAATTTTATTTGCAGCAGCCGTTAAAGGTATAACTGTTAACTGGCTGAAATCTACTGTCCCAACATATGAGTCCTGGATTCAGCGTTTACGGGAACTACATAATATGTAAGAAATAGCACATAATTTGAGACTACAGAAGCAGAAATTTGTTAAAAGATGGAGTCCAGCAATGTCAATAATGGTTTGAAAACATGGTATAATTAAATTTAAATAGGTAGTAGGCATCAATCCCAATTCCACTACATCTCCTCCCTTCCATCCAGGTTATTGTTTTTCAAGTCTATTGTTAGTCTTTGACAAGTATATGTGAACACTAGTGTGAATGAATGTATGTCTGTATGTATACACCTGACTTACTGTGGCCTGACTGCGAAGTTGTGAATCCTTTTGTGATCCTTTAATAAATAATAAATTCCCAAAAAAAATATGATGTTGCCCCAAGCACTGGTGCATGGTGACGTAATCAAAATTTAGAAGACATTTTAGAGGCAAGGAAAAGTCACTATATTCAAAAACAAGAAAACACAAACATGAATTTTATCATTTAAATGATATGGTGAATCACACTTAATATAGACAGGGACAGGAATTAACAAGGTAAAAAGGTTCATTTTGATTTCAGGTTGACACAGCCATAATTGTTCTATCCATTTCAGATGCATCTGATTCGCAGTCAGCTCCATAAGAGATGATTCAGTCACGGATGCTTGCTGTAGCTGTAAGTCAGAGTAAAAAAAGAACAAACACAAAATAAATATAATTCAAATGAATTCACTGAAAACATTGTCAGTGTTTTGCTTGTCCAACTGCACTGCAGTAGCTATGAAAGAATGAAATAATGGGTGGAGCATATTGCTGCTGTTAGAAAAAAAAACTTGTATCTCCATTTTTGTTGTTTTTCAGGTTTTGACATAATTTGAAAATGCATGTTGTCCTTTATATTGTGTATAAATTTCATGATGAATAGACCAAAAGAAACAACCCAAAATGACTTGGCAAAAAGTCTGGTTCCATTGACATTAAAAGTAACTTCTTGTTGGCATCAAATTCAAAATGGGCATATATTTTTCCAAAAACAATATAATTTCTCAGTTTCAACATTTGATTTGTTGTCTTTGTACTATTTTGAATGAAATATAGGGTTTAAATGATTTGCACATCATTGCATTTTGTTTTTATTTACGTTTTGCACAGCGTCCCAACCTTTTTCGGAAACGGGGTTGTAGGTTTTTTCTTTTCCTGTTAAGTAATCATTTTGGAGATGTTTTTTTTCTGACAACAGCAACATGTAGGTTAATCGCTTTTGGAAATTGTCCCTTTAATGCAATGACTTATATGGGTTCAGTGCACTCAAAATTCAGTATATTTAGACCATAAACAATACGCTTTTATTCTCAAATTTCCTACTGTGAAAATAGTAATAAAGTTAGAGACGGGTAATATGATGATAAATTATTGTTGATGTGATAAATTACCTTTGTGAATATATCATGGGTATCGTCAGTATTTCTTGAACAGTAAACAACTGCATGTATCCCAAAAATCAGCTTTGCAAATTCTGCTAATTGAACAAAATTCTTTTAGCGGCATCAGTATTGGTCATATGTGGTCTCTAAAGCCCTTAGCGTAGTTCACTCATTTTTAAACTTTGTGGATTTAAATAAAAAAAATTATAATTAAAAAAAATTTTAGCTTGATACCATAAACAAATGTGAAGTTAACTCCATATGTAATATTCCAGTCAAAAATGTTGTCACTTACCTTAGTATTAAAAATACTAAAGATGTTAAACATATGAATGATTTAAATTATATTCCCATAATTACATTAACAACATACAAAAGAGATTTATTATTTGGTCAGAGATTTATCCATCTAAGGTTGTGTCCTATTGAGCAATGCAGAGGGGCTCTCAAGAGCTGCTTATGCATTTTCTTCTTTAGAAGAAATCAGCTAAATCAGCTGTTGCGCAATTAGACAAAATGATGTTCAATTTCATTTGGACAAACAAATATTATGAATATTGTATAACGCTTTACAGCACCACATCACACACCAACAGCTACAGTTCTTCAGACAGCTATAAGAAGAAGCTAACTTAATATTCCCAATATGGACATCACAGAGGCTGTGAAGACACAGAGGAAGACATTGTCAGAGGATGTGAGGAAGAGAAAAAGAGAGAGACTGAGCAAGAGACTGGACAAGAGAACTAAGAAATAAAGAGGATGCAAGACAGTCTCACAGCTACCAGAAAATAACAAAAATCCAACAGCAGTGTACATCCCTGGCAGTGTTTTTTATGAAAGATTGCAATGTAGGTTGCAACCTTATCTGTGTCTTCCATGTATCAAGAAGTTGTATAGTGTTTCTAGATGCTGAAAGTCATCTAACCATAAGTTCCATTTCCAGCTAGCATGCAAAGAAATAAATTAATCTCATGCCAAAAAGAAATCTTTGTCAACCTCACATCAAATAAGCCTTGAAAGTTTCCAACGTCTTGTAATCAAGTCCTGTAACATTACTGTACCTTGTTAGTCAGCTTGGTTCTTTCTATTCTGATGTTGTGTTTGCTGGTGTTGTGCTGAATGCTTTCTCAGAGGTAGAATCCCACTCTCCTTCTCATGCACGTGCATCGCACTGGCATTTGGATGCTACAGATTACACTCTGAATTTCTATTATTTATACATAGAAACAACCGAAATCATGAGTGTAATCTATAGCGTCCATGTGCTTGCTTGACTTGTGTGCAGGCAAAGGGAAATAGGATCCTGCATCCTTCAGCTCATCAACAAATGCAATTGTACAGCCTGCCCAAGGGGGATTTTTAAAGCATGATCTGTATTCATGATGGTGCAAAAAGTGAAAGGCACTGTGCAAGTGTAGGGGTAGCCCAAGAGCAAAAAATACTAAGCTGCAAATCCAAACAGTGCCATGCATCACAGTACAGGCTTGAAGCACCTATGAGCAACAAGAGCTTAGCCATGATTCGATAAGCCACGCAAACTCACAGAGAAGTGCCACTGAATGCAGAAGTGCACAGTGCCTATCCTCTGTTGAATCACTCACTAAAGAGTTCCAAAATGCCTCTGGAAGCAATATCAGCAAAAGAACTGTGCAAAAAAAAGACATCGTCTGGATGGTGCCTTCATAGATGTGCACATCACCCATGCCATGTGCACTAATGCACCCCTAAACCGTCATGAATACTGGCTTTTGAACTGTGCACTGATAACAAGCTGAGCTGTCTTTAGCCCGGAGGACACAGTGTCCTTGATTTCCAAAAACAATTTAAAATTTTGAATTTTGTCGGAACACAGGACACTTTTGCACTTTGCCATTTTAAATGAGCTCTGGCCCAGAGAAGGTGGTGGGGTTTTAACTTGTATTTGTGGACGCAGTGACGAATTGTTTTCACAGACAGTGGTTTTCAGAAGTATTCCTGAGCCCATGCAGTGATTTCCACTACCGAATCATGTCTTTTTTTAATGCAGTGCCGCCTGAGGCCCCAAAAATCTTTGCCAGCAAATACTGTTTTTTGGCCTTGTCCTTTGCATACAGAGATTTCTCCAGATTCTCTGAATCTTTTAATGACATTATGTACCGTGGATGATGAAATCTTCGCTATTTCTTGTCTTTCACAGAGTTGTGAACCCCTCCCCATCTTTACTTCTGAAAGACTCAGCCCCTCTGGGATGCTCAATCTTTTTTTTTTTTTAAATTACAAAACTTTTCTGCACAAGTACCAAAGACAACTAGAAAGGGAAATTAAAGTAATTTTAAAGTAATTACTTTAAAAGTAAATGGTGAAATTTAAAATGGTGAAAGATTGTTCATGGCTGCTAAAGTGTTGCTTAGCTGTGCTATGCGGTTGCTATGGTATCCAAGGTGGTTGGTAAGGTGTTGCTAATTGGTTTTTATGGTGTCCCAGGTTGTTGCTATGTTTTTAAATAAACTCAATAAATTCACTTCCACCTTAAATTTACTGATAACTTAAATCCACTGTCACTTTAAATTAGCTGAAACATTACATTCACTGTCAGCTTAACTTTACTGATACTTTGAATCCACTGCCACCTTAAATGTACTGATACCTTAAATCCAGTGGCACCTTAAACTTACTGATCCCTTAAATCCAATTTCCCTTTAAGGTATATTAATAAATTAATTGTATGAATAACTACTATACAATACTCAGTAACTACTAAGAAACTAATATGCATGGCATTTAGTTACGAGAGTGAGGGAAAACATGCCATTGTAAATCCACATAAGGTGCTACTTACTGAATCAACTAGAAAAGTTAAAAACATTTTGTTTATTACAATATGATTTATTAAATCATAATTTGATTAGTTCATAGTCACAAGCGCTTTGAACAAAGCTGAACAGAGATGTACATTGTTCAAAAAACAAAAAAAAACAAACACAAACATGTAGAAATGGTTCACTGTATTCTTCAAACTCATATCTCTGTAATATACAAAGTCATTAGCCACCCAAGTATAAGCAGTTTTCTCCCGAATCATAAAAACATAACGTCATGTTTGCGTGGTTCTGTGCGCAGGTTTTCCAGCTGTGTCATTGCTTTCTGAAACCTAAGCCCTGAGAAGACTAGGAATGATAAAACGACAGAAAGAAGGGGAGATGCTAACAAGAACAGTGAGAAAACTATTAATGCCAACCAGTTACAACATAGAAATTATTAACAAACCCAAACATGTGTTTTTACAGTTGTTTATATGGTAGATATTTATGAATTTCATTATTCAGAGCTGTACCACTAACACTGCGCCTCATAGATATTAACTAAGAAATAGGAGACTACATAATATATTCTGACCCAAACAGGTCACAGAATATGAGGCAAGGTCCAGTGGAATGTTTTTTCTGTCAAAATTATATATATATATATATATATATATATATATATATATATATATATATATATATATATATATATATATATACCTGCAATTAAAATGTCAAACAGCAATTCAACTTCCATTACATGCTCAAACAACAACAGCTTCATGCAATAACTTTGTTTAGTTAGTGTAGACTGGAGTTGTTTCTATGGTGGAGAAACAATTAGGTTTTGTGTGTACCCATACAGTTGGTTGACGATATGGTGCACCAATTCCCTCTCCTAGGCATCCACAGAACAAGGTAAATTGCTTTTAGAAATGATAACATATTGCTAATGTAGTGACATAAAATTGCATCTCATGGCAAAACCTGATAAAGAACAGAACACATGAAATCTTAAGAACTGGCCTGGGACTATTTTACTGCTCTGCACTTGTTTACATGTTGAATGTAGATGTGGTTGTCTCAGGCAGACCAACACTGCTAACTAAAGTTAACAGAATACAGGCAAGCATGCCAATAAGGAAATAATTAATATATTCAACAATTAATGGACCAGTATCACATAAAACCAATTTTTCTTTGCTTTTTTTTTTTTTAAATGAGAGTTTTATGCAATATGTAAACACAGTTAAATTTATATATACCATTCACTTCCCAGTTAATACAGTCCACAGGTGTAAACTAAACTACAAAAACAGCCCATTTTGAATTCATTGTTCTTGTGACGACATGAAAACCACTGCATTTACCTACATCAGTTTAGTCCCACCCATACATGCTGAATTTGTAAGAAATGGCTCAGCCTGGACAACTTTTTTTTACATGACAATACAGAGTAGCCAATCAGAACAGAAATCATTCACATATTTCACTCGTAAAGGCACAGTAACAAAAAAGCTAGTTTATTTCTAAGGAATTAACAAAATGATCATGTAGAAAGCAATTCTAACAGTTTTGAGTACATAACCCCGCACAAAAGTCTTAAGTGGACCTCATGGTTGAAATGACATGGTTAAATACAAAAAAAATGTAAGACATGGGCCCGTTAAAATATGCATTTAGAATTTACACAATAACATGAGAATGGGATGTCACTGAAATGTTCTTATGTTTGCCGTTGTACAAGACCACTTTGAATTTGAAACCTGGGACTTCTATGCCCTGTGGAAGCCTAGGGAAAGGAAATTATCACACCATGATATATTTGAGAAGCATTTCAAACAATGTTTAAAAACAAAAACAAAACTGTTGATGAGAAAAATATTGGACTATTGTTTTAATACAAAGTACAATGATTAATGAACACAACTGTTTTAAAAGGAATCACCTTGCTAAAGATGGCTTGCAGCTGTAGAGCAGTAAAAATACTGTGTTCTGTGTAGCATGACACAAAAGTATGTTGCTGTTAAAGCAATAGGGCATCACTTGTACCACATATAAGGATTTTGTGAACGGCAGCAGAGTGAACATTCTCTCATTTCTCCAGACTGATTTATTTGATGTCACAGTGATTAACACTAAATTGGCCTATCTATGCTCTGTTTCGTAGCTACTGTTATGAAGTTGGGTAAGTTTACAGTGGCAAAAAACACTTTCAGTCTAGTGAGAAACTGTACGTCATAACTCAATTTTCTCAAAATACCTACATTTAGAGCACATTATTAATTATTTTGCAATTTTTCCCAATTTTCTCCCTAAATTTTAGTCATGTCCAATTCCACTAGCTAGGTCTCCCCCAGCCACACGATAGCACGAGGAGACTGAGGGAAGTCACCAAATCTTTTAGAACTGCCGCTAACATAGGAAAACACTAACTGCTGTTATGTTAGCCAACAGACACCTAGGTTAGCTGGCATCATGCTGAGATGATGGGGACAGGGAGGACAATCATCCCCACCCAGAGACAGCAAGGCCAATCTTGCTCTCCTGGACTCCTGGCTGTAGCAAACAATTTATTTCAATGTGTGTGAAAGGTCACAATGTTGGGATAGACTGGGTGTAGCTATTTTCCCTTTCGCAATAACAATCTTCCTTACAGCTACAGCAAGCATTCATGAATCGCTTAATTTCATAAAGATTGGCTTATGATTTTTCATTAAGATCTAAAGATTTGCACCTCTATCTGCCCCTCTCTGTCACTGCCACAGAATAGCTTGACTTTATTGAGGCACTTATTGTTTATGCTGTAATGTCAATATATTAGGCAGATACTAGGGGGAAATTGAGGGCAAATCACTTAGAGTCACTTCAGCCACGCAACACTAGTTTGCCAAGTTTATTGCCAAAAACAATGATCACATGACAAGAAAAAAAAACAAAACAAAAATAAAAACACCCCATCTATCCTAACAGTTTTTTTTAAATGATTTTTCTGCATGCAGTTATTTAGAAAAAAAAATGAATTATGTGGTTGAATGGAGCTTTTTGAGCCAGAGTTCTATAAAGCTTGTCCAACCTAGCAACAGTTGTTACAAAAGAATGCAGAGCAAAGAACTCAAAGCATGGATAAGTCCACTGAAATGGGAGAAATCCCTCTTGGTAGAAACCAGAACTATAATAGAAATCAGCAGCAAAGCAGTCTGCACCCCATAATCACGCATTAACGTCACTGTTTCTGCTCGCCACTCTTACACCGGGCACAGCGCTTGGCGTCTGGCAGCACCAGAAACTCGCAGGTTGCGGCTCTTTCCTGGATAATGGGCTCCAGGCCTGTGGGCGGCTCTGTCTCAAAACCTCTGCACACTGTATACCGTTCTAAATCCTCCAGCAGGGCAGCGACCTGCGCGGCAGAGCTGAGGCGGGGAGGGTGGACTAAATAGAGCCTATGTGTGGGTAGCAGTGGCTGGCCTTGGACACTGATGTGGAAGCGAAAGTTAGGCTCTATGTATACTGCTGTGTCCGCCATAGCAGATACTTTGGAGCACTGCAGCAACTGCAGCCGCGGACCCTCGACCAGCACAGGGCACCATAACACAGGGAGCACAGCCCGACGCAGTGATGACAACAGCTCTAGCAGCTCTGGCTCAAGGTCCACCCCACCAACCCCAGTATCACTGCTGCCCAGGCTGAAAATCTGAGTGATCTGCAAACATACAAATACAGTTAAGCAGTGTGGCTATGTTCATGTTCTACTATTTCTTCTAAATGCAAGACTCACATTCTTCTAATTCTGATTTTTTGCTCAAGTTAGCATCTTTCCATAAACTTTTTTAACCACTGGATAGGAATACATTACTGGACAGGTAAACAACACTATACAAAGCTGCTCATTGACTCTAAAGTATTACTGTCTATGTTTTGTACTCACTGTTGGTCCAGCTTCGTCTTCCTCCTGCTCCTCTGTGTGTTCCTGCTTCTTATAGCCCTGCAGAGTCCTCTCCTCTGCTCTTGGTCGCAAGGGCTCCTCCTCAAACCGTGCCTCAGTAATCACTGGCCGGGCCCCAACCTCTGCCCCCTACAGACAGAAACGGGACTATACAGTTAAGAACTAAACTGGTCTAAAGCAACATCAGCAAAAGTACAATAGTGCATTGTTTAAAGCAAGTATTTTCAACCATGGTCCTGCATGTTGTAAATGAGCGGTTGCGTTTGAACAGGTGATTTAGAACAAAGAAACATCAAAATACGCACAAGGGTACTGCTAGACCATTAAAAAAAAAAATCACTGGATTAATGGCCGAACAGTACCAGTCTTAAAGGTGAACTCATTCTCTGCATGATGTAAATAAAATCATTTGAGAGTGGTTTGACATGAAACCTACTCAGATTGCGTTACAATGGTGATAATGAGAACCAGAGGTTGCAATGTCGACAACGCAAATATAGCAATTTATTTACGAATTCACGTGTCCTCCGAGTTCTTACATGCCTTGTTAATAATGGTTAAAAAAAAAGTCCTGTATGTACCTCTTTGCCATGAATGGTTTTTAAACTATTTGTTTTAGGCCAAACCGTTCTCAAAAAAAAATCAATGCCTTAGGCTTCTGGTAATGTATCTGTAACTATGTCAATGTAATAACTTTCTGTGATGTAGCTTTCAGAGGAATTAACTTTTTATGTTTGGCTCCCATCACCACCACTGTGAACAATTCTGACTGCTAAGTTTTTCTAGAACAGCATATTTCATTTTTAAATCACTCTAATTGACTTTGACTTCACAATTAAGTAATCCAGAAATGTAGAAAATCTATATTATTTGCCTTTAAAGAAATGAAAGTAATAAAGAAATAAGTAATACCACTGACTGCACATAAGATTATGGTTTTAGTTTGCATATACTCAGAGATGCCACTGATATAAATTACTCACTACGACTGGAAGGATTTTGGAGCTTTTGGCTTGAAGGCCGTTTTCAGCAATCTTGTTCGATCGGGCTGTGTTCAGCGGAAGGCTTAGCTTAAAGACAGGAGAGGAAGAAACATGTAAATAGTCAAAAACATAATCTCCAGGACTCAAAAGTAACAATATTTCTAAAGCACTATGTGTGGAGGTCATCGAAAGTGAACTACTGAACTGGTAGGTTGAACTGGAGGAAGTACTCGCTGAACTGTGACAGGGCTGCCAGATATGCACAAAATATCACAGAGACTGAAATGCTATATATTGCAATTACAATACACCTTGCAATACTGTACTGTGCAAAAGTCAGTAACCATCATTCATTTATATGATTTCCTGTTGAAATGGCCATTAAATACAAGTTATTAAGGCCACCACAACTGTCGCTACCAGATAAACAGTAGAAAAGAATGATGAAAGAGGTGTATCTGTCAAGAAGCCGTTATGTAATGGAAATAGATAAAACAGAGGAAAATTTGCTAATTAAATAAAGAAGTCTTCTCAGAACAATGGACTGACCACCCCAGTGTCCAGACCTTAACATCAATGAATGTGTTTGGGATCATGAGAAGCAGAAAAAGCAACCAACTTCTGAGATTGAACTTTGAAGGTATGAAAAAAATACATTCCTGCAGATATCCTTGTAAACTGAAAGCAAGCCTCCTAAAAAGTATGGAGGCTATAATAAAAGTAAAGTGTGAAAAATGTAATACAATATTTAGTTGTTGTAATTTTTTGTTGCTCTTTTTCTGACACTGAAAAATGTCAGGAAAAGAGCAAACTTGTAACTTAATAGCCATTGGACTAAAATTACATAAATGAAAGGTGGTCTCTGACTTGTGCACTGTACTGTATTTTAAAACACTATGATTTAATGTTGCACTGCATTTTTACATTTTTGTATTGTGGCTTATTGTGTTGTGTTTTGACTTAATATCTGTGTTTGTCTCTTAATATCTGCATTTTGTCTTGTTTTTTTTCCCCATTGTTGAACCCTTGGCATAGTTAGAAACTGCCTTTTTTGACTCAAATAATTTAATTTTGTTGGATTACATGAGTACCATGATTCATCAAAACACCCACAGAATCCCTCATCTGGAGGTGTGTTCAGTCAAGATACTCGTAGCACGCATTAAATAACTGTCATTGATTAGAAGATCCGTTTACATATTGGAGCCTTCTGCAAGATCAGAATTGCAAAGACCAATATCGTGATAATGGTGGGAGGTGGTGGGCAGACTGTGCAGCTGTAGTCTGTGCATTAACAGCAGCACAAAACAAACTTAAATTACAATTTGCTCTATAAACTCTTCTGCCATACTTGTCCCTTGTAATTTGAACTGCTGATCTTGTCTCTGTCCAGGTGAAGCATTCCAGCAGGACCTTTTATCCTCCTCTCCGGCTCTCCTTCATTATCTGAGAAGTCAAAGTCCCACTTCTCTCGGCTCTGGTGGGCTTTCTTTCGACCATAAGCATAAATCGGTCTGGGTCTCCCAGGGACCACCCAGCCCTGCGGAGTGAGCACCGGAGTGTGACCCGAATCAGGCAGCAGGTGTCTCTGCCAAACACAAATATTCAGACAAAAGCAGCATTTCACAATACACAATATGACACAATATTTATTTTTTCTAGCAATTGAAAAGTTACAGATGAAGTTGTGGCACATTTAAATTAATCATTCTAATGATTATTATTTAAAGTTCCACACACTGTGCAACACTAAATCCACTTAAGCAGGACTACTTGTGCTCTCTTTGAGATCAAAAATGAAGAAGTTGGGAAGCGTTTAAGTACTGACGATATCCATGATAATGAAATAATTAAAATTAAATTCAAACAGGATAACAATAAATATTGTCATATTATACAGCCCTAGATGCAAAACTTTAAAAGAGGTAGGAAGCCGCTGGCTACCTATTTTTAACACAGCCACTACAAACAGCTCTGTCTATGAACAATTTCCAATAAAGCGGTTTCATTCACAACAACAGGCTAAAATTGTGCAGTGTGTGTCTGGTGAAAATATGCCAAGGCTGAATGTTTAAAGTGACCAACGACTTCGCATCCAACTGCCACAGTGCCAACACTACTCCACTGTGTGCAGACCCTCGTTTGCTGCCAGCCGGTTGTTTTATTAGCATGGTAGCGTACGCCAGGCTTTATCACATAGTATCTGTTGGTATTCGTACATTTTTTGAATACGAGCAAATGACCATTGTATCAACAGAAACATAGAAAAAAGAAGAAAGCCTGAGCTGAGGTAAGATGTCTGTAGTAACTGAGGCAGCACTGTTAGATATGCTTTACCAGCTATAAAGAGCAACTTACACTATCACAAAAAGTTTTTCAGCTCAGGTACGTCACCTGAAATATTGAGTTAAACTGTGCGTTTCCCCCTCATACTGAAGCTGGTACACAGAAATAATGGTTTGGTTCACACCACGGTTCGAACATCACATTTGGCTATGAGCTCGGTGCAACAGGATAAGGCAACAAAAGCCTCAAATGCATAAGGCTAGTTTTCTTTTCATTAATTTTGAACACACACACTCTCCCATAGGTCTTATTTTTTTATTGGCTGATGTCAAACAAAAAGGTCACAACTGCAACGAAACGGTGTTTGAGGGGCGGTTCAAATGCAGCAATATATCTTGGAAACGCCATGACAAGACAGCTCTCTTCTAGCTGATAGCGATACACAGAAGGTTGCATCTATGCTGCCTTCGAAAGACGCTTGAACAGAGGAACCTGAGCAGGCAGCATTTTATACAAACATTTGATTAGGACATGACTGGGTGCCTGTGTGAGTCGACAACATTTACCACCGCAATTCCAAAAAAGTTGCGACGCTGTGCAAAATGTTAATCAATGTAAATAAAAACAGAATTCAATGATTTGCAAATCTTATAGACCCATATTTTATTCACTATAGTACATAGAACACATCAGCTGTTGAAAGACATTTTAGCATTTCATGGAAAACATTAACTCATTTAGAACTTGATGACAGCATCGCATCTCAAAAAAGTTGGGACAAGGCCATGTCTACCATTGTGTAGCTTCCCCTCTTCTTTTGACAACAGTCTGTAAATGTCTGGGAAGTGCGGAGACCAACTGGAGTTTTGGAAGAGGAATGTTGTTCCATTCTTGTCTGATGTAGGATTCTAGCTGCTCAATAGTCCTGGGTCTTCTTTGTTGGATGTTTCATGATGCACCGAACATTTTCTATTGGTGAAAGGTCTGGACTGCAGGCAGGCCAGTTCAGCACCCAGACTCTTCTTCTGCGAAGCCATTTTGTTGTGGAGGATGCTAGTGTAGTTAAGCATTGTCTTGGTGAAATATGCAAGGCCTTCCCTGAAGAAGACACTGTCTGGATGGCAGCATATGTTGCCAAAACCTGTATATTTTGTTCAGCATTAATGGTGCCTTCACCAATGTGCAAATTACCCATGCCATGTGCACTAATGCTTCCTCATTTTGAACTGTATGCTAATAACAAGCTGGGAGGTCATTAGCCTGGAAGATGCAGTGTGCATTATTTCCACAAAGAATTTAGAATTTTGATTCACTGGACCACAGGACACTTTTCCACTTCACCTTAGTCCACCTTAAATGAGCCTGGGCCCAGAAAAGTTGGCAGCGTTTCTGGATCCTGTTTATATATGGTTTCTTCTTTGCATGATACAGCTTTAACCTGTATTTGGAGACTGCACAGCAAACTGTGTTCACAGACAATGATTTCTGTAAGTGTTCCTGAACTCATGCAGTGATTTCCAGTACAGAATCATGCCTGTTTCTAATGCGGTGCCGCCTGAAGCTCCGCGGATCACAAGCATCCAATATTGACCGTCAGCCTAGTCCCTTGCGTACAAGGATTTCTCCAGATTTTCCTAATCTTTTGATGATAGGATATCCAAGGTCTTTGCAATTTTATGTTAAGGAACATTTTTCAGAAATTGTTTCACAATTTTTAGATGCAGTTTTTTGCAGATTGGTGAACCTCTGCCAATCTTTGCTGAGAGATTCTGCTGCTCTAAAATTGCTCCTTTTATACACAGTCATGTGATGTTAGTTGTAAAAACCTTTTTTTTTTTTATTAGTACCACTTACTTTTCCAGCCTTTTGTTGCCCTGTCCCAACTTCTTTGCCATCAAGTTCTAAATGAGTTAATGTTTTTCATGGAATGGTACAATGTCTCACTTTCAACATATGACGTGTGTTCTGTGGCCTATTGTGAATAAAATGTGTCTGAGATTTGTTTTTATTTATGTTTATTAACATTTTACACAGCATTCCAACTTTTTTGGAATTGGGGTTGTATTAAATTTCAGCCACAGCCTACACGCGTCAAACTGAAAAGCATCCCTGGCTAACGGCTTAAAGATTACGGCTGCCAGGTGGAACTCACACTTGCGAAATTTGGTTCTGCATTATGTCCATCAATCTTTGCACATAGGATATCGCATTCTCCATATGACTGCATGCACTGAACCATAATGTTTGTACCGTGACGGTTCGGGACAAATACATGTATCGTTACACCTCTAGTTAACTTCCAGCTGGTGCAACAACACGTTTAGTGGGCATGTGTTTGAGCTGTATTTGTTGTCATACAAGCTACGATGTATGAACAGCTAGGAAGCAAGATACCTAATCAACCAATCTGGCCATTTTAAGCTTGTATTTTATTAGTTACAGTATAGCATACAGTGAATAAAAAAAAGACAATTCAGTTGTTAATCCATTTAATTATATGGCAGTTGTCAGCTAAATATAACCATTGCAATAGGCCTATGTAGACAACATGGCTCGCTACAAATCAAAAACATGATGCAAAAAAAAGTAATGTAACGTGTTGGCACATTAGTTTGATTATTATATAACAATCTACCTTCATAAAACAGCAGTTTGTTTCAGGTGCTAAGGCATTTCCACCGTTGACTTCAACAGACTGCAGAGCCTCTGGTGTCCCTGCTCAGTCTTGTTAATAAATCGATACATATCAATATTTTCGTCATTTGAAATCACATGTATTTTACAGTAACATTCAGTATATCTGGAACAGTTTCCATTTGCCCCAGTGGGGTGCCTGACAGCCTTTTTACACAGAGTCAGAGTTTTACAAACCCCCCAAAACAAAAGGTAAGTTAGGACATATTAACACTAATTGCATCTCTGTCTTTCACATTAAAGCTGATGGTTGCTTGTGGTTTGTGCTGGGAGTGGCGAGCTGAAGCAGAGCTCCATCACAGTGCTGCCGTTTTCTATATGTACCAGTGTTGCAATGTGACAGTCATTCACTGGAGGGCTCACTGTGTGTGTGTAAATGTCGATCTCTAGTTCTACTTCTGAGTGCAGAACGCTCATGTTTACAAAATAGAAAGAAAAAAAGGCAATAAATTCTACTCCCCAATTTAATGGAAGGTATTGGTAATTATCAATAAATCGCTCACTCCCCATTACAGTTTCAAAAACTTTTTAAAAGGAATTGCTCTATATATAAATAAGCCTTCTGCAATTCATGTCTATCATTCACAACAGCTAAAAAGTGGCTCAAAATTGTTAAACAATTTTTTGAAACCGCCAATCAAAATGCTGATAATGTACATAATACATTGCACTACATGATGAACCCATTGTGTAATCTACTGTGTCTGATGGCATTTATTCCACGTACCAGTATACCAGTGTGAGAATCCCTTACTGGACAGCTCATTGCTGTGTGAGTGAATAAAGTAAAAACAGAACTGGAGACAACAAACGAACTTGAACGTCATGAAGCACAATAAACAATACCGCTTATTTGCTAGTAACCACCTGGCTTAACTAGCTAGCTATTTTTTTCTGCTTCATTAGCCTGGCACAATTTACAAAGAAACAATACAACGCATGAAAAATATACACTTTATGGCCAGAAGTATGGGAACACCTGGCCATGACACCTATATAAACGTTTTGGACATCCCATTACAAAATCACGTACATTAATATAGATTTGCTCCCCCACCTAGTGGCTGTAACAGTCTTCACACTTCTTTGAAGGCTTTCCACAAGATTTTAGAGTGTGCCTGTGGAAATTTGCGCCCATTCTGTCAAAGGAACATGAGTGAGGTCAGGCAATGATTGTGGACAAGAACTCCTTACTTGCAATCGGTGTTCTAATTCATCTCAGAAGCGTTCAGTGAGGTTAAGGTCAGGGCTCTGTGCAGGCCACTGGACTTCCTCTACAACTCTTTATGGACCACGCTTTGTGCTCAGGGGTACAGTCATGCTGGAACAGGAAAGAGTCTTCCCCAAACCGTTGCCACAGAATTTGAAGCATGTGTTTAAAATGTCTTTGTATAATGTATACATTATCATTAAACTTCACTGGAAGAGGCCCAGCCCAAACCTTGAAAAACAGCCCCAGATCATTATCCCTCCTCCACTAAAGTATCCTGTTAGCACTATACATTCCAGTAGATAGCGTTCTCCCGGTATCCACCAAGCCCAGATTCATTCATCAGACTGCCAGACAGTAAAGCGTGATTCACTTCAAAGAACACTGCTCCAGAGCCCAGTGGTGACGTGCTTTACACATCTCCAGCCGACACTTTTCACTGGGCATATTGAACTTAGGCTTGTGTCCAACTGCTCGGCCATGAAAACCCATTTTATGAAGCACCTAACAAACAGTTCTGGTGCTGATGTTGCTTCCAGAGGCAGTTTGGACTGATGCAACAAAGGATAGGCGAATGTTACATGCTATGTAAAAGGACTCAACATCCTCGCTCTGTGAGTTTGCATGGCCTACTGCTTTGTGGAGATATTATTGCTCCTAGACACTTCTGTTTCACAATAACAGCACTTACAGTTGACCAGGGCAGTGTCCACTGAAGCCCCAGGGAACCAAAATTAGTGTTTTGTTTCTTTTTGAATGGCCCACATTCTCTCTCTGTTCAAGTTGGATGAATCTTAGAGAAGCAAAAACTAATGACAAAGTGAATGCTAACAACCGTGCAAATAAAGCTAGCCAACCAAGCTAGCTCATCTGTCTGTCCATTCATTCAACCAGCTGTGATAGCACTCCCTGGATGTTCATCAAGAACACAAAGTTTAACTTCTTTAAGCCGTCACCACATAAAAGCTGAACCACTGAGCCATGAACACAGACTGGGAGTGCTCATCAGTTCTCAGATCAGCAGCTTTTAAGCAGTGTTTTATCATATTTTCTGTCTTTTGTTTTTCATTCAAACTTTGACAGATGGTTAATATAACACTTAATTTTGGTACCAAACAAACACCTTAAAATATTTTACAATGTGTTCCCTGGTACTTTAATGAGAAAAGTCAATAACGTGAAACATCTAGTACTTTATAGTGAGCAAATGTAGAGACCTACCATAGCTTCTCTTTGGCACTGACGTCGACGGCACTTCTGTCTTTTCTTATTGCTGCCTCCGAATTTGGGCTTATCTATGCAGAAATCACAGATTCCACAGTCTGCTTTAGACACGCAGCCTTTACACCGACCACAGGAACGCCTCTGCTTCTTTACCACCCTCTGAAACAAACACACACACACACACACACACACACACACACACACACACACACACACACACACACACACACACACACACAGCAGAGCTGCATTAGGGGCCAGAAAAGACCTTCACAAAAAGGCCTATTTGCCTTGGATATAGTGATTCTTCCAAGTGTTCGTATGTGGGTCTACAATTCCTTACTTGCTTGATTACAGAACTTACTTATTAGTTCCATATTAGTTACTGAATAATAAATCTGAAGTGGAATTAAATCTATTTGTACATTTTAATTGTGCACCAATTCAATGCTAAAATCAGAGTATTTAAATACTTTATCACCAATATGCCCCTCACTCTCTTCTCTTCAGTCTCTCATTTACCATATTTTGTGAAAACCAGTCATAATCAAAACCATCCAGTTGTCTGGATGCAGCCTATCAGAGTGAAATAGGATAGGTGAGGGGGGAGGGCTTATTCTATGCACACACACAAGCTTAAATGACTAAGCTTTTCCTGAAGTCCATTATAAATTCTAGAGGTTGTAACTTATTGGGGTTTATTATGGGAGGGGATTGGTGCAGCAGGCATTGGACAAACGTTTATTTGAAAAATTTTATGTATCTGATTCTCCCTTATCTATGATGTCTATAGTCAATACGCACTATTAACACAGCCGGCTTCTTTCCTTATTTACGTTATATAGTGGGATAAGTAGGTTGAGAAATTGCTCAGATTAATTTAAACTACTCCAGTGTTCAAAAACACAAAACACCGCAATGCAATAATCTTACCTCTTCCTCCTCTTCATCATCATCGTCATAAAACGGCGAATGCTCATCTGAGTCACTGTACTGCAGAGCAGACATCTGCCAGAGGACAAATACTGGGTTTAATTGAATGTACATTTCTTTTTTTGTTATTATAAAACAATGGTTACCAAACTTCTTACATTCTTGTGCCCCCTGAGATATTAAACCTCTTGCTGTGGACCCCCTCTTGCTCCTTACACACACACACACACACACACACACACACACACACACACACACCTGCGCATGTTGCCCTGTAAAATTATTTCACTTTAAAATATCCAAAATATACATGATACAAGGACAACATACCAGATGTAGTAAATAATACTGAATGAGTAAATAATGTTCATCAGAATATTAGGATCACGCCCATACAGTTCTCATATTGGCCATGTGTAAAAATATTCAACACTATCCAGAAATATGGCATTGGCTTTTTATTAAACTTAATATTCAAAGCTTTCTCCATTCCATGGAGGTTCAGGAGCTGGTGAGGAGGGCAGGAGTGTCAGAGCTGTTTGTGTTGTCCATATCAGGGAAGGAATGTTACCTGCATAACTGCACGGCCAGCTATTTGAATAAAAAATGTCTTAAATTAAATGACATGTTAAATGAAATTTAATTAATATTTAAATGAAAGCGCAAATGTCATTTTTTTGACAATCCCCCAGTTTGGAAACCAATGCCATGACCTGCACATTTATTCATCTGAGTATTACCTTAAAAAATTCTATAGTTTTGTTTGTTCATCTAATATAAATGTACTGAAACACTGTACTACATGCATCATTCCCAGCAGGCTCTTGTTGCCTTTCATTATGATTGTTGTGGGCTAAAATGACAGATTTTACAGCAGCCTCTCAATATTTGCCGCACTATTGGCGCTTTGTTTTTGGGAAAGGAATTTTTGACAAAAGTGTGGAAATTTGTGATGACTGTGAGCCTGATACATTTGTTCAAATTGTTTTGAATTTAGCACAGTTAGTTCCTGATAAAAAAAGAGATCATGTTAAAAATTAAGTGTACCTCTGGGAAATGAAAACATACAGACTCACAATAAAAAAAAACAAATCTCTACTCTAACTGCTCACTATTCTCCACTCTTAACTATTCTCAGCACTGCAGTAACACTGACGTGGTGGTGGTATAACATCTGTGTTACTGCAGTGCTGAGAATGATCCACCACCCAAATAGTACCTGCTCTGTGAGGGTCCATGGGGGTTCTGACCACTGAAGAACAGGGTAAAAGGGGGCTAACAAAGTACGCAGAGAAACAGATGGACTACAATCTGTAATTGTAGAACTACAAAGTGCACCTATATAGTAAGTGGAGCTAATAAAATGGACAATGAGCACAGAAACCAGGTGGTGGTCATAATGTTATGCCTGATCGGTGTATATGTATGTATGTAAAATATATGTATGTATACCTATGTTTTTTATTTATTTGTTTTCTGTAGTTCCTTACCAATTCTGTTTCCCAACAAGGCAATTATCGCCTACGAAGCATTGAGCTATTTTACGTTAAATCACACTGCCCTACCTCTCAGGCCTATTCTGTAACTACTTGCTGAACTAAGCATCTAAATGATTTTGCAACAATAACATAGCATGAGACTGAACAACCTCTGGAAATTAACCTGTCCTCTATTCAGGCGTTCATGTCGGAATTTCAACACAAAACGGTTAAAGTTCAGCTGTATTTACAGCCACTTACAGCACTGAGCATGTTAGAAATGCACTATATGGTTGAAGAGTGGTTTAGAAGACAGAAGAAAGTTCATATTTAAGTTACATAAAGTTACATATTGTTTGTTGGTAGATTTCCCCATTCATCACTGGTACTGATACAACTAATGTACGAACAGATCGTCAGATCAGAATAATCTTTTTGCTAAAATGTATTGTGGAGTAAAGGTTTGCTTTGCTTACCTTGGAGACTGTGCTCGTAGTTTCAGATCTTTCTGACAAGCGTCTTTCTGGTCTCTGAGTAGAAAAATACAGCCTTAATTTCCCATAACAAACCAACAAAAATATCAAAACAAAATGTTGCAGAAAGACTCAGTCAATTTCCTGAACCGGAAACTGAATCAAACATAATGAATATTACAAAACTCTATTTGCCTTCCAAAAGCTAGACTGTGTTCTAGGAGGGCTGCATTTCCAGGCTGTTCCAATCAGAAATATCATTTGAATACTGCTGAGAAATGCAGTCTAAATTTTGAATATTTTCGAGGATGCTAACAGAGTACGCTTCATGTCTTCTGTTATCAATAGTCATTGTGTGCGAACACACCTGACCAGAAGAAAGCTTAAAAAAAATAATAAATAAATAAAAAATAAATTTAAAAGGATGGTAGCTGAAACTGACTACTTAAAAAGGCCAATGAAGTATAGTATATAATAGTATACATAATATAGTATTGTTAAATATTATTTTATTTCATTTTACTTTATTTGTTCCTTATTAACTTTGTAACTTCTCTCAAACCCTTTCCCTGTTTTTCCCTTGCCTTTTTGTATTAATCTCGTTTGTATGTCTCTCTTGGGTGATGTGTGGGGGCTGTGGAGAGCAGTCCTTTGTCATTTAACGACCTCCAATGGTTAGCCTATCTCACATCTGGTTATCTGTAGCTCCCCAATTTAGCAATGCCATTTGCTGATGGTGATATCTCAGACCCATCCTGGTTCCTAGAGTGGGCCTCAACACCTCTATTTTAATTACAAAGGTAAAGGCAGTTGTCCATTCCGTGGGGGGTTCCGGGGGTTCGTTGAGACAAAGAGACAACTGAGGGTGTGGTTTACATTTCATTTACATTAAGTTCATCAGTGCGTAAGCTTCATCAGACTTGTTTGGTTGAGAAGACACGCGTTCATTAAACTTCATTTTCCTCAAGTCTCCACTCCTGTTTGCTTCAAAAAACCAACGCTTGCCAGCAGAAGTCAACAGTATACATAAATAATACAGTAAAATATACAGTTCGTCACTTCTTCAGTTGTATAGTAAGATAGTGTAAATTAAATGCAGGGTGTGAAATGCACTCATGCCACTTTCAGTGAGTTGAAACGTTTTTAGCTGGCAGGATGGCATTTAATTACAAAAAAATTCACGTAGCCACATCATTCATATAAATGTTTTGCTTGCATGCTTACTATCATTCACAGCATCAATATTTTTATCATCAAATTCTGCATGCAGCATCCTTTCTGATTACCACAATGGGCTTGGAAGACCACTCTGTTTTGCATTATGTAATACAAATGAGAAGCCCTCATAGACACTGCCACCAAGGACCCACCTTTCTCAGCTGCAGCCTAGCTTTTGGAACTTTAGTTTATTTGTTGCATGTTTAGAATCACCAGAAAACACTTTCAGCTTTGCCAGGAACAAAACAAACATAAGGTCAGTGCAGTGGTGGGAGATATGGCAAAAATATCATAATACTTCCAAGATGTTTTCAGAATACACAATCTGCATCAACATCTAAATCCAATTAAACTGGTCTAATTATGCCTAGTTTGTAAAGAAACACGTAGTGAGGGTTCTTGAAGTACTGACGATATCCACAAAATGCTCAGAAGAGCATACTGTGACATAATTTATCACAATAACAATAAAATATTGTCATATTCCCCACCCTTAGATCAGCATAAACAAAAATATTAAAAGGAATACTGCACTTACGGGTAGCATTGAACCATACTGTGTCGCAGGAGGCATATCTTCAGATTTCCTCTAAAAAAAATAATAACAATGCACACTGAAGATCATCTTAAATACAAAGTTCCTACAAGGATCTTGGCTTGTTTGCAACGTTCTAGTAAAATCCAAAATTTGTAAACAACCTTTACAATATGTGGCGATCCTTTAAACTTTGAAAGTGTTCTTTGCACACATGCTTTCATTTACAAAAATCATTCTTTAAAAAAAGCATCCACTGAAAAGTTCTTTAAGAAACCAAAAAAAGTCTCCTCTCTGGCACGGCCCCAAAGAAACCTTTCGGGAACCTTAAATTTTAAAAAGTGCAGATAGATCATTTCTGCTACTGTTGGGGTGAATGCTCGATGTCAAGAGAAACTCACACATGATATTTAAAGGAGGGCATGTCAGGGCCATCTTAAAAAATGAAAGCAGTATGAATCAATATTAACTGTATTTTCGTATTTTTCTTTTGCAACATATCACTGCAATTTCCTGTACAAAGTGTATGATGTTCAGACATGAAATGTTTTTTTTAACATTTGCTTTTGACAGAAAGGAAACCTGCTGTTTTTGCAATACTCAAAAAAAAGGTCCCTTGCAGCCCCCCTGATGGTTAAACAAGCCCATGCTATGCTCTCGTCCACCTGGCATTAACGTTTCGCAAGCACCAACTTCACATCACCACAACATGACATTTCCCTTTTAAAACCAAACAAATGATGGAAATGCTGTCTGAAAGCCACAGCAGGTTATCCAAGCCAAGGGTCCGTGCAGTCCAATAACAAAATCCAATGCTTGCTGTCCCCTCCTCCACATCTGCTGCAACTTGGGTAATACAGGTGTAATGGACTTTTGAGTGGTGATTCCATGTTTGTGAGGGCATGTTAAAAACAGTACTGAAACAGATTTCTTTCTAATTATGCTTTTTAATGAAAATTTAAATACCACAAGGTAAAGGAAAAAGCAGCAATGATATTTATTTTCTCAGTAGCACAAAATGCTAATCCCGGGATCCTGACCAGCTTATTAGAAATAACTCAAGCATAATAGTCTTAGAAATAAAAACAACGTTCTTGAGTACACACTAAACTCAACTGTGATGGTCACCTGTTTTAGTCTAAATAAGCTTTCTACTGCTCTAGACTGTTTGCCAGCACACAATCCGGAGCAGTAAAAACTTCACCGGGCAACTAAAACCAATTTAACTGGCTCCAATTAGAGCTTTACGAAAGAGACAGTTAGAAATGGAATCTCGAAAGCCATACTTCCGACCATCTTCAAGCGTATGGCATGTTTGGCACTAAACGAGGCAGAGAATCGACTGCATTGACAGGAAATGACTATTTAACTGACATGCAGAACGACCAACCATATATCATTCGTTTTGCCTAACGTTCCTTCATTACCTTGAGAGTGGGGCATAAGCATTTCCTCTTGCGGCACCGAACAGGCCTTCTAGCATCAGGGTTCAATTTTCCATTCCTGCAGCTGGCACACGTCCCACAATCCTCTGTCAGCTGGCAGGCTCGGCAAAACCCACAAGGAAGCCACTGGACAAAACAGTGACAAGAACTCTGCTTCTTGTCCTGCTTCTTTAAACTAATTAAGAAAAATCTGCATGAACCTCACGATCACTTACCTTTCTGAAGATAATGTTGCGGTTGTCTTTAGCTAGACAAGGGGAAAACAAAAAACAAATCCTATCTTAGATGTTAATGTTAAATAATGATACCAGTGCTGGGCAATACTAAAAAAATTAATACCATAATATTTTCAAAATATGAAAAAGTATCACGGTATGTGATAAAGATGTATGAATCCCCCACAAATTAATAGTTCGTTATTTATCAATACAGATAAAACTAGAAAACATAGCTGTGTAGCACAAACACTGGTACAACACCCAGCACAAACACATATAAAGCTGTAGACATACTACGTTGTGTTGTGTGAAAATTGTTATTTAACTTAAATCAACAACAACAACTTACAGGCGTTGCATGCTCTGCTGCATTTCCCACACATGGTCTGTCCCTCTACACCTGTAAACGAGTTCCTACATCTTACACAGATGCTAAGAGAAAAGAATGCAAACAGAGAAACAAGTTTATACAGCACTGTCCTTTGTTTAAAAAAAATAAATAAAAGAGAAAAATCACATACAAACTGTCTCTCACTCACACACAAGTGTGCACACACAGAAGTGTAGTGTAGTCATACCCAAGGACAGCATTAGGTGGGATGTATGCTGTGTCATTCTTGGGGCGAACAGGCACGTCTGATGGTTTTGAAGGAAATCCTCCATTAGATGGGCCATTTTGGCTGTTTGGGGTGGTGGAAGGGGTTCTGAGGTCCAAGCCTGGGTCATCATTGGATTTGGCTGGACTAGAAGTACTGTCCTTTTGTTTAGAGGGTGAACTGACCCTGTTCTGAGCAGACTGACCAAGGTTGAACATGGGGCCCGGACTGTAGGTGCGGTCAGCAGCGTCTGCTGATTCATTCTGAAAACTCGATTCAGAAGAAAAGCCACAATCGGCTGGAGACGACCGTCCCATCCTGCGCTTCTACAGGACAGAGGAAGAGGAAAAACCAAAAAAACAAAACCAAACAAACAAACAAACAAACAAAAAAAAAGTCAAAGCATTACTTATGAGGTATAAATCTCTGTCTTCAGAGACGATTTAGTTGCAGCAATCTGAAGATTCACCCTAACACTTGGCTGGAGGAACAATTTGCACAGCAGTGGAATACAGATAACAAAAACAATAGATCATTTTTATTTACATTTGCATGTATCCCCACTGTTTACTGGACAAAAAATAAGGGCTGAAAAATAAGTAATTTTTTATTCAAATATCATCATCATCATCAATTATAATTGACTATAATACTACAAAATTGATGCACCACTTTAGGGTTGATGCATTAATGCATTTTCACACCTCTAATATTCATACCATCATAATGCATTTGTTATGTGTTTACTAGATTACTTAGTGCAAACATTGGCCACAAAAAGTGTTTGGACATTTGGCATACTTAAAAATGTACTTCATGTACCCAAGTTAATTGGGTTAAGAAACAAAATGTCAAACCAAATGACATCATTTTAAAAGGCATCCAAAAAGCCTTTGTACTAGGCATGTGTGGTATCTATTTTTCATATCTTAATATTTTCCTGACGTTTTACCATGGTATACAGCATGTGACCGTATTTGAGCCTAAAAAGAGTGGAAATTGAAGCGAAACACTTTTTGGCATCTTGTCTAGTGTTATTTCAAAATAAAAAAAAAGGAGTTCGCTTTACTTGGTTACCAAATAAGTGAACACAGTGCACGACTTTCAAGTCATCACCGATAAATGTCAAACCATCTATCGAACAGTTGATAAATGTTAAACAGTGCTGCATTACAGCTAACAGCTCTGCCACCACAGAATATGATAGATTCTGTCTCAACTAGCTAAAGCACTGACACAAGTTCACATTATTAAAAATAATGATTAAAATTTGAGATAGTGAAGTCGAGAAGCCTGAAAGGACATAAAGGCGAAATTAACCCTGTTCTGCGGTGTTGGGATCTTTAGCCTGATATGCTACCTTAGCGTTAGCTTACCGAGCAGCTACAGACCCAAACAGTGCTTCCAATCACATATGTACAGAGAACGTGCAGCTCTGATGTGTGGAGCTCTTTGCTGTGGCTGAGCTGCTATTATGCTCATATTTTCTGAGGTCTTTCCTGGCTCTGATTTTGCCCTCTAAATGTAAGTGGGTGGAACGTGTTTATCCGTTCAGACATGGAACTGAAATTTGACATGTCATTATTTTTACATACCGTGGTATACCATATTACCGTCGTACCGCCCAAGCCTACTTTGTACATTTTTCAGTTCATGATCCCACCAATGAACACAAGCTCATCAGAATCACTGTGAGAAAACAGCAGGAGACATTTCAATCTCTATGCTTTGCGATACCCTTTGTGCAGTCTAATTTGATTTCTTTTTCAGGCTTTCTCCACACAAAGAGTCTACCATCAGTTTAAGTGCTTCTCCGAGACAAACATCATTTTGTTAAACCCTTTTTGGGGGCACTGCATCAGCACATGACTGTCCTTCAGATCTATTCATTTACACTCCAGGAGTTTCTTCCACGTACATTCTACATGCACTTTTCATTCTTCAGCAGAATTATTCTTTGCTTACCCTTGGTCCTCTTTTTGGCGGTTCACCATCGAAAAATTTCCCCATTTTGAAGTCGAAGTTTGTAAGGTCAATCGTATTCTTAATGCATTTCAGCAGCTCAATCTTACTCCGCACTCTTTCACCTTTAGGGCTGCAAAAAACACACCACTGATTAACAGCCAAGCATAAGACAACAGAGAGAAAAATACCATGTTGTTGATTCATCTATTGTAAATTATGGATGTCACAATCGATTATATTAGTAATTGAGTAATCCACTGATCATTTTGACTATTAAAAGGCCAAACAATAAAAATCAACTGAACAGAAACAAATCATGCGGAGCCATTCAAAATACTTTATTTGAAAAAGATAAACAAGGAAGTCTTTATAAAGACTTCCGCATTGTTCACACATGTTCAGATATTTCTGAAGAGTAACTACACCCCACTATTTTCAGCTAACTCCACCCCTGGCTCAACCTGGAAAATGACTCAAAAGGGGCACATTGGGAGGGGCACTGCAGTAATCTAAGGGTTTGGAGGTGGGGGTGCAAAGGAAACCAGGCGGGCTGGGCTGCTGTGTTTTTATAGCTAAGGTTAGCTACCAGAAAATATGGAGACTGACAGAATCAAATTGCACTTTTGCAAGTTTGAGGTCTTACAAGGTTGAAGATTTTTCTCTACTGCCATCCCCATCTTCAATGGGGGGAAGGTGTTTCTGATCAGGCAGTTTGTCTTGAGCCTTACCAGTATGAGCCACTGACTCAAGCTGCCGAAGAGTTAACGTAGTGCCAGAAAATGATTAACAGCAAGCGAGAGAGGTGTCAGAATGGTGGAACATTCCCTAAAACCGTGACAGCCAGCTTCTAATTATCTGTTCAGCAGGTCCATATTTGATATGAATGGAGTGGATTTCTTTGAACATTGTTTCATTCGTTTTGACATCAAGCTATGAAAAATATACTTCTATTAGGCCAATAGAGTACCATTTCCTTCTATACAGGTGCACTTGTGGGCACTGTACAAACCTCTCACTTCTTGAGAACATTTGCAGTAGGGTTGTGGCCACAGTATATTAAAAGTTAATGCAGAAAAAAGCTAACCCAACCTTTGCAGCCTAAGCTAGTTAGCTTATGCTAGCCATTCTCTAGCATTACCTGTATCATAACCTAGTTTTTAGCATGCTGCCTATTTGATTCCAAGCACAGAAGTATAACAGGGAGACTGCTGTTCACAGATATGACCAGGTTGGGGTCATGAACTGCCTCATCTGTCATGCAGGGCTTGCTGCAGTGGCCCTAAATCTTTACGCTCTGCAAGTTGTCATGGCACTTATCAGCAGCTATATGGAGACTTGCAAGAATCCTCACTAAATCGGCCCGTCAGGTTACCTAATCACATGTTGAACACTGAATAACACGCTAAATGATGATGAGACGATACTTATGGAAAAACATCCAAAATGGTGCCGATGTTCTCCATCGCTCTAGGCTTGTATGATTTCACATTTATGAGCACAGCACGAGAAGAGCCATCTCTTTACACATTGGTTGACTGATTTGCATACTGCAACACGTCATTGTACTTTCGTACAAAGACACATAATCCGTGCCTATGGCAAAGTTGAACCAGAGGGGCACTGCAGAGGCGGAATTGGCCACGATAAAAATGTTATTAGTACAGTTTGGAAAGATCTGTTCACATTTCAAGCAAGGCTGGTGTATATTATTATTACAGAACAATGCATTTCAGAGAGAACACAAAGACATCTTGAAAATGCTTGCATGAGCATGCCAGCCCAGTAGGGTGAGAAAATATGCCATAAATTTGATGTCCTAAACCTGAAGAAGAGCACTGCATGGAAGCCTGTTTCCACCACTTGGAATAAGCCATATAGTATGTGATAATAATGACACAGTCACATAGTGTTTTGATATATGCCAAATGACCACTTCATTCAGTACACCTCCTTGCATCTACATCCACTGTCCATTTCATTAGCTCCACTTACCATACAGGTGCACACTGTAGTCTGTAGAATTACAGACTGTGATACATCTGTTAGTCTGCATAATTTGTTAGCCACCTTCACTCTGTTCTTCAATGGTCAAGACCCCGTTTTGGGTGGTGGATCATTCTCAGCCCTGCAGTAACACTGCCATGGTAGAGGCATGTTAATGTGTGTTGCGCTGGTTAGAGAGCAGTGCTGCTGTGGTTTTTAAACACTGTGTCCAGTCACTGTCCACTCTATCAGACTTTCCTACTTTGTCCACCTTGCAGACATCAAGTCAGAGACAATAGCTCATGTGTTGCTCCACAGTTTGTGTTAATCATCCTCTATTGCTTCATCAGTGGTCACAGGATGCTGTCCACAGGACAGTGGTGGCTGGACTATTCTAGTCTAGCAATGACAGTGAGGTGTTTAAAAACTCCATCTGCACTGCTGTGTCTGATCCACTCATTTACCATATAGGTGTACTGTATACTAGTGCAACATACACTAACACACCACCACCACATAAGTATCACTGCAGTGCTGAGAATGATCCACCACCCAAATAATACCTGCTCTGTAGTGGTCCTGACCTTTGAAGAGCAGTGTAATAAGGGCTAAACAAAGTATGCAGAACACAGTCTGTAATTTTAGAACTACAATGTGTACCTGCATGGTAAGTGGAGCTAATGAAATGGACAATGACTGCAGATGCAAGGAGGTGTACTTAATGTAGTGGCCAGCTGTCATATACCAAAAGTCTACATGGCAAAAAATAATAAATGGGTATATTCTTCAAGCATTGTTTTTCTGTAAAAGAGCAGCAGAATTTTACATTTGTATTAATCATCACTGTATACATCATCATGCAATAGGGCAATGTAATCTGATATCAGTGATGAAAAGTACTGCAGTGATGCTGCTTTGAAGGCTTTAACTGCTTTCTTGGGAAAGAACTGCTGAAAAACTAAACAACTACTTTAAACAGCTTACTAAAAAAATATTAAATAATATGAAATAATTAGTACACAATGGGTTAATTCCCTTTCACTGCTAAAACAATGCACTGCTTCAGGGGATTAATAAGCGGTTAGACTACAGTAGAGTAGCAGCCCTTACAATGAAAATCATTATACATGATATTTCTGTAAAATTCATATAAGCATGGCATGGCATCGTATGAGCCCTGGATTTTTAAATGAAGTGGTTACTACAACATAAATAAAGCATATACTGTCTTTTAATGCAAAAAGTTGTACAAAGTAAAATAGAGGACAAAATAACTGATAATCCAAAAAAAATATTAATAAATAAAATAATAAATAAAAAAAAAAGCTGGAAAGGTTGATTTTTTTTTTTTTTTGTTGGAGGGGTTTAAAAGTTCCTGTCTCTGCAACATATCGTCAGATGAAAACCTTTGCTTTTTCCACATAGTTTAAGTATGGAAATAGTTCAGATGAATTGTAACATTATGAAAATATAGCACTTCATGGTTTCCTACAAGCATAGTTGTAGCTGAGCGACTCTGCTGTAACAATGAACAACTCATCTCCCTTTACATGTAAAGCATGTGGATGTGGCTTTAGAACTTACTTTAATACGGGTTGCTGTCTAAATTTTCTTCAGTAGCAGGCACTAAGCACGCAAGTCACCATGAGCCCACACCTCATAAGTTGTAAGTTAATGTTAAGTTGTAAATTAATGTATTTTAAAGGGAAGCAACATTTTTGATAATTGCAATTTATCACCCAGGCCAACCTATGAATTTTTTTTTTTAATGATCAATTAATCATGACAGCTCTGCCGTAAACGCACCTCATGTAGTACGTGTCTATCTGCCCCATGCTCATACCAGAGCGGCGTAAAACCACTCTGCGTTTCCAGCCTTCACCCAGTATCGGCCAGTCCTCCCAGTCCTCATCTCCGACCCGCCGCCGTGGTGGTTTTCTTCCCCTTCTGTAAAATAGATATGTATTATTATTGGTGTGTTGTGTGTTATATATGTATATATATACACACACACACACACACACACACACACACACACACACACACACACACACACACACATACATATATAAATAAAACAGTTTAAGACCAACGTTCCTTAACAAGTGTTTGCAAGGATTTTCACCTTGTACCGTGCATTAGGTTATCATAATATTACAAAGATGCAGGGGATGCAGAAAAATGTCTGCGTAAAAGGCAAGACCAAAAACCACCAATGAATGCCCATGACCTCCAATCTCTCAGACAGCACTGGCATACTTTTGTAAAAATGGTTTACATCATATCTGCAAGATAGGAACTACTCAGTTGAAATAGAAGATAATGTTTCTGAGAGAGTGCCAGTGACCTGTGGTGTCATCCAGGTTTCTATTTTTGGGTTGCTCTTGTTTAATTTATACATGCCTCCACTCGGCCAAATCCTACACGACCATGGGATATCTTAAGACAGCTAAGCAGACAATACTCAGATGTACTCGGCAACTCCCCAAACATCTATTGCCCTCTTGACTCACTTTGTAAGTGCCTTGAGCAACTCACTAACTAGGTGTAACAAAACTTTCTAGCTCTAAAATCTAAAAGAACTTGCATGTGAATCTTCACATGACTTCTGAGTTGTTCTATGTAATGTTGAAGGTGGTAAAATAGTGGTAAATGGTGGTTTTCTTTGGGGACTATTTTGCCTTACAATGCCCTGCATGTACCTCTCCACCATGAATGCATTTAAAAATATGCATGAGGCCAAAATGCTTATTTCAAACTACAGTAATTAGCGTGTTTACATGCAGAAAATCAGATTTTGTAAGTAATTCCTTCAACATGTTGACATGCACTTGAGTATTCAGAAAACTTCAGGTCTACATGAGGCAGGCAATAATCATATTTCCTTGCTTTGTAACCCACGAATAAACTCGTGACATAAAATTCAAACTTCATGCTGTAGCTTTTTGCTTTTTTTTTAAAAACTTGGAGACTTTATCGGCAACAATGAATATGGATTATCTAGAAGACAAGGAATATTCAAATTCTTCAATTTGTCAAGCATGTAGTTGGCTCTGCAGTGCTCTGTTTTGTTGCCATTTCATGGGTGCTCTGACAAATGCTGTTTGCAGGACAGCTCTACCCTCTGTTTGTACACATGCACAGACTAAAACAAGGAAAGAGATCAGAGTAAAAGTTTACATCTGCTGAAAAACCCAATTACTGGGCTAAAATCCAGGTAACTTTATTGGATTTCAAGAAATCTTTTAACGGCCTTAATCCAAAGTAAGCAATCGGAATATTCTGTTTACATGACCACTTGAACAATTTGATAACTGATTATTAGTGTGCATGTAAATGCACACAATGTCTCAGGCATCATGCAACATAATCATAACCATTTTGTGTAACAGCTTTCTGTGAGGTAGCTTTTAAAGGCTTTAAAGGGGAATTCTGCTGATTTTTTAAATATTCTGCATAATGCAGAGGTTAAGATGTAAATTAAGTCAAAATGGTTCAATGTAGAGAAACTTAACAACTCAGATTTCTTTACAATGGAGGTGACAGGAACCAGGGGTCATGATGTCTATGACACAAATAAAGCCATTTTATTCACTATCCAAAACACACCCATAGTGAACATAAATGTTTTATGAGATTTATAGGTAATGTTGATGATGGTAAAGTAGTGGTAAATCTGTAAAAAATATGTTTTCTTTGCGGATTATTTTGCCTTACAACGCTCCACATGTATCTCTCCACCATTAATGTATTTGAAATTTTTAAAAAGAAATCTTCACACAGTAAACACTTTTGTAATACAATGTTTCAGGCATCAGACAGTGTATTGGTAACGATTTCATGTAAAAGCTGTCTATGAGGGAGCTTTTAGAGGCATTAAACGCTTCAGACATCTGGTTCTCATCAGCCCCACTGTGAACAAGTCTGAGTTGGTAAGGTTCTTTAGAAGTGAGCATTTCACATAAAAACACACGTGAAAAATCCGGAGAATTCCCCTTTAATCACTTCAAACCTCTGGATACCATTTCCTCTGCTGTGAACGATTCTAAATCTAAATTTTTCTACACCAGCACATTTCACATCAAACCACTCTGAATGACTTTGTATTCACATCTTAACAAGTCAATTATGCAGAAATATCGAAAAAAACGTCTGCAAGTATGTGATGATTTAATCTACATCTACATGAGACTAGCTGTTGAGGTATAAGTTTCCATTATCCACATTAACTTAGCAGCTCCAGCGCAAAACAAGAGGCAACCTTCAGACACCAAATATGTCTTGGCTGCTTGATTACGTTTAAGGTAAGCGGGGAAATTGGGTAAATTAGATTTTTCTCCAAAGTAGTCTTTTAACATACCCCACTGTTCCGCTTCCTGTGTGGTTCCACTCACTGCCCGCCACACTCCCACTCCGCTCACTCCCGGCCAGGCTCTCCATGTCCAGGTCGCAGCTTTGGGCATCCTCATCAGCACAGTCCTCCTCCAGAGGTTCAAACCAGTCAGCTGGAGGCTCATCTACACCTTTTACAGGCTCACTGCCTGTTTCACTCAAGGCTTGTCCAGCACTGCGGTCTGTGCCGTTATCTCTAATGTCTGTGCTGCTGGACAGGCTTTTTTTGTCCTCAATGTTGGAAATATTCTCTTCCATCTTCTGCTGCCCGGAGGGTCCTTCACCTCCCTGTGCCTCTTTCTCCTTCTCCATGGCTCTCTTACAACCGTGGTCGCCTTGATTACATCAGCATAACGTTTAAATGAGAAAATACCACCCAGTTAACAAAAATACAGTAAAGTCCTTCCTTATCATAGACTAGCATAGCATGCTAATGTACACATCGTTGTTTATATCGTAACGTAAACATACTGTCTTAACTAACATCAAGGCTAAATATACAGTAAAATTTGTTCAGTTATCGAAAATTTAAAAGTTGATGACATAACTCAGTTAACGTTACTAGCTTGGACTGTTCTTAATTAACAGTTAACGTTAGCTACCTAACGTTACTGAACTACGACGTTAAGAGATTTACATCTTAGACTTGCACATAGCTAAGTCGGGTAAATGGCAGTTAGCTAGCTAGCTAGGTTACGTTGTTCGAGAAGACTTAAAGCAGTTTTCTAATATTAGCTAAATATATTGCGCTCAAAAGGTATATAGCTAACTGAGTCTGCTATTAGCTGCAAATAGCTAGCTATAGTTTTTTGCAAACAGTTGTTTCCTCTAGCTAACGCTAGCTAACTAGCCAACAAGCTAGCTTACTAGCTAGCTATTCAACTAAATCGCATAGGTTAGCAAGCTAACGTTAGCTGGAGAATATGACGTTCCACCATTTAGCGCCAAGACGATTCGTAAAATATATATTTAAGCCTCTCACCTTTTAATTTTATAAGCTTTTCTGCTCCAGAATGAGTAAGACTGGCAGTTGGCGCCTATTTCCCTGTTCCATGATCAGATTGCTATCACAGCTAGCCTAGCCTTGCCTAGCTAAGCTAACACAGCGGCTGTGCCTCAATAAGCGCACTTACCCTCTAACTAGAACGCCTATCCAGTTCTAGCTAAGTGGTCTAAGTAGTGCGCAGAATTTGTGGGAAGACAGCTCTGTTTTCACTTCCACACATTGTGACACGATCCTTAATAACAGAATGCCCTCTGCTCTTTATAAATGCAGGCAAAATTATTCATCATATGAATTCAAAAGCCCTTTTAAGGCGTTTAAGAACTAGAACGCCTAACTCAAGGTAGCTAGTACACAAGCGCACGAATTGGGACGAGACCTCTAGCCCCAACTCGCATATTCAAAGCCGCTAGCAAACCCAATGCCAAAGTTGTCTGGCAAAACTGCTCATCTGCTCCCTCACTGTCTGCACATTCCGACGCGACTCTTACGTTCATAACAATATGCTGCCCGCATGTCTTTTAGAAATATATGCCAAAATAATAATGATTATTATTCGAAAGACTTACTTTCTAGAAAGCGGAAGCTCCGGGCTGTTGAACTCGGACAAAGAACGCCAGGCTGAACCATGTGACTGCAGTTCAAACCGAATTTACTTTAAGTGTGAAATATTTGGGGACTTAATGGTGGATTTAGTGTGATATATGGGATATGTTTTCACCAGATGACCAAGCTCCTGCTCCTCAGCCTCACTTTGTGTATAATAAGCAGATTTTCGTCTCTAAATTCTACTGTAAACTCCTCCGTGGGCAAACGGGGCCTGTAAACTAGTACAAGAGGCTCCACAGCCAAATAAGTAATATTTAAGGATGGCACGGTACAGATATCGTATTTTCTTTTTCTTCAGCTGATACTCAAGGTTTCAGCGGTAAAACTACTATGCTCAAAACTCTTATTACTCCACTCTCACTGTTATCACGTGATGTTATAATATGGTTAGTGATTTTATAACGTGACTTGCTTTACTTTGTGTTTACTTGAGGTTTCATCACTGCAGTGACTGACATGGTAGTGGCATGTGTGTGTGTTGGTTACAAGTGGAACACACAGCAGTCTTGCTGAAAGAACAACGCAGCGTCACTACTGAGCTGAAAATAGTCCACCAAACAAAAATAAACGGCCAGCAGCATCCTGTGGCCAGAAACTGACCACCGATGAACATCTAGTACGGAAGCATATCACTGTCAAAAATAATAATTAAAATGTAATATGGCAATGTATTTGTATGTTTGCATTTAGATTTCCTACTCATATATGCAATGTTGAGCTCAAATTGAAAATTCAATACTGAGTTTAATTTGCCATTTGGTATACTAGTATTGGCATTTCATTTATACAGTTTTAGATGCTTTACGAGTAGCTTTATTTAAAGTAAAATGTATTTCCAGAACTGCATATTTATGCTTAATGTGATTATACAATTGTGTCAAAATGTAATTAAAATGTAATTTATCTTAAATGCATTTTCAACCGTGCAGCAACAGCACAGACTGAGCCATCGTCAAATGCAAGGTGGATTAACAAGGCAAGGAATGGGCAATAAGTGTACACGGTGTTTTAAAAACTCCTGCAATACTGCTGTGTGATGCACCACTCCAACATACACTATCCTGCTTCTTCCATGTCAGTGTCACTATCACCCAAAAATGCTCAGTTGGAGTCCTGACCATTGATGAAAGGGGTAAAGGAGGGCTAATAAAATATGCAGAGAATAAATGGGCTATAATCTGTAAGTGTAGAACTTCAAAGTGCACCTACATGGTACATAGATACCAGATAATACTGTCAGTGAGTTTAAGTGTACAGTGTAGTTGTACCTAATAAAGTAGCCATCGAGTGAGAAAAGAGAAAAAACAGCCTGTCCTCGGACTGAAGTATTTAGACTTTAGTATTTAGACCAAGCACTGATAACTGATACAGTTAGAGGCCTATCATAGTAACAATGAGAAACAGATCTGTATCAGTCACTGTTACCACTACTACAACTACTGTTAGAAGCATGCCACAGAGAATGTCAGTGACTGCTGTTAGGGGCCTGTAATGATGATCTGTTATTATGAATATGAGAAGCGCTCAAGAGTATAGTGAGGTAGGTTAAGCAATGTTTACGATTAAATTGTTAAAGTCTGCATGCAGCAGTATCATCACAATTGTCAGTGGCATGCAGATAAGGCTTTCTGCACAGCATTGGACACCAGGTGTCACCTTGAACAATAATGATTCGGTAAGTTTCTCTAGAATGGTGCACTTAACATATAACCACTCTGAGTGTGTTTACAAACACCACTTCCAAAAAAATGAGACAGTATGTGAAATTATGATAAAGAAAGCAAGAAGAAAGAAAGTGATGCTTCAATTATGTTTGACCTGTATTAAATCAAAAACAGTGCAAAAACACCTTATAGATTTTTTTTCCAAAAAAGTTGGGACAAGAGCATGTTCATCACTGTGTTACATCACCTTTCCATTTAACAGCATTTACTAATCATTCTTGCAGTCCTTCCACTGCACAAACATACAGGGCTTTCATCATCTGGACCGCAGGGTGGCCAGTCCAGCACCTACAGTCTCTGATTACTGGCATGTTGAAATAAGCATGGACGTCCCTGAAATAGACGTGCAGAAGGCAGCATATGTTGCTCCAAAATATGTTTATATCTTTCAACACCAAGGGTGCTTTGACAGATGCGCAAGTTACTGATGCCATGGCCACTAATACACCCCCATACCATAATAGACCTTGGCTTTTGAACTTTAGGCTTGTAACTATCTGAATGGTCCTTTTCTTATTTGTTACAATTCCATTATTTCCACAAACAATGTGAAAAGTTGATCTGGATGACAATACACATCAGCCCATTACAGATCAGCTCAACCCATCAGTGTTTCTAGATGTTTTTGACATATGGCTTCCACAGTGCACAGTATAGAAACATGCCTAAAATTGTCACAAATGGCACATTTGGTCTTCTGCCATTTATGCATGTTTTTTTGAATATTGAAACAACTAATTTGATAAGGTAAAACATTAAATATATTGTATTTGTACTGTTTTTTGTTTAAATGCAATAAAGTGGATTTTTAAAATAACAAAAACACTGCTTTCTGTTTTTATTTCACATACTGTCCAAATATTTTTGGAATACAGGTACATGTTAAATAGCTAATTATGCGGAAATTTAGAAAAAATTGGTGGAATTTCCCCTTTGAGATGAACACTAAGAAAGACCTGTTGATACACTAACAGATTAATTTAACTGTGAATTAAATTAACACTGTCACATGATATCACATGAATTCATAAAGAAAAGTAGAGAAGAAAGTTAACCACTTGGCAAGTTCACAATGAGGCAATTTCATTAGACAAATTCAAGTAAAGCTGAAGTGTCTGGACTACATGGTTTAGTCTACATGGTCTTAATCAGCAGTATGTTTTATTTCCCAATGCTAAGGGTGTTTGGTACACACTAGTTGACAAACACACCAAATCAGGATCTGCGTGTAGAAGCTATTCAAACAGCATAGACAAAATAATGGAAACATCAAATGACATGGCAACTACAGTGTGAGTCACATACAACTCAATCTGTAAACAACACTGGGGTTATTAAAGGGCCATTATCACATTTTTCACATTTTATTTTTCCCTGAGGTCTACAACGTTTGTGTGGGTTTATGTACTAAAAACAGCCATATTTGATTTTTACACGACCATTTCCCAACCTCTCTTTATCCATTAGAATTAGACAGGCAGTTTTTGTTACTATGCTTTTAAGACTGATGTATGTAAACAATGTCCATTCTAATTGGTTGATCTGTATTGTGATTCGTTCTAAAATCAGCCCAAGCTGAAACACTTCACATAGCTTTAATGTGAATGGGCAATCTATCTCTTAACTGCTATAGGCTTCAATACTATATATACTACATAGTAAATTTACTATGGAAATGCATTGGTTTTCATGACAACACAAAAACACTAAATTCAGTGTGAGTGGTTGTTGCAGCTTAATTTCTATATATGGACTGGGGAGTGAAAAACAATGCATACAACATCAAACTGATTATTAAAAAAAACTAAAAAAAAAAAAAAATGTGTTTTCATGATATGGACCCTTTAAGATATATAAAACAAGGAAATAAAAAGAACAGAAATCGTGAAAAATTATGAAACAGTTGCCTGCATTGCAGATGTCCCAGTCACTGAAACAGACACGAGTGGCATTTTCAATGAATGCAAAATCCTATACATTATATTGTCCATCCCTTTGAGCTTGTTTAAATTACATCTTAAATAAAAAAAAATTACAACTAATAACAAATGGTGAATAACCACAACTGCAATGTGAAGATGTCAAGTATAACGGGCTGTATGGCTATCTGTCCTTGTTGCTGCGCAAGTCAGTGGTCAGTGGGTCATGCTGTATGGTTTGGTGCAGCATTAGGGCCAGCAGCCCCGCTCTGTTCGTCATCGCTGTCCTCACATTGCGCTCCTGCTCAAACAACTCATCCAGCTTGTACCACTGGTATAAAATAAACAAAGACAAGTATAAAGATTAGTTACAAAGTCTGACAATCTTAAAATTAGAGCATCTACTCATCAGCTCATTACAAAGTCATTCATGAGTTGATATTGTCTGGTGGAGCACAGAAAATGATCAGCACTGCAGCACTGTGTCAGGTAGTGACAGCCTTTTTGTGATTAACCAGATTTTCTCTGTAATGGCTTAAAAGAGTGATTTTTCAGTTAAAACCATAATTTAGGCTAAATAGCACTGCAAATCTGGCTGTAAACAATTGTTTTAAAATGTTTACTGCAACAAGAGGTTAAGAAATCAGTTCACAATGATTAAGCTCTGTTTTCCACAGAGTACTACAACAACCCTCAAATAATCAAAATTGTCCTTTTGTACCTTATTAGTTCATGTCCCCAGTCATATAGATATGTGTTATACATATATACATATATATATATATATATACACACACATATACACGCACACACACACACTAGGCAAAGACAAGTAAAAAATTATTTCATTTATTTAAGGAGCAAAGCTATCCAACACATGAATAAGCCATGTGAAAAAGTCATTCGCCCTGTGTCGTGATAATTTTCCATGAATGAACTGTTTGTTTGAGTCAGGACTTTGACAAGGCCACTCTAAAACAGGATTCCTTGTTTCTTTTCAGCCATTCAAATTTGCATATATTGCGTTTCTGTCCTGGATCGCTACCAGGGTTCATTCAAACATTTTCTAAATTTGGAGCGAATTTCCAAGAAGTTGGTAAAAGAAAGTGCAAAGCACTACCACCAACATGTTAGCTTGTTGATATGATTTTTCACTGTAAAATGCAGAACTTTATTGACAGCAGATACAGAGGAACCTGTGTCGTCCAAAATGTTACAATTTGGACAGGTCTGTTCATAAAACGTTATATATATATATATATATATATATATATATATATATATATATATATATATATATATATTTTAGGGGTGGGAATCTCTAGGCACCTCACGATTCGATTCGATTACGATTCAGGGGGCTGCGATGCGATTATAAAACGATTATCGATGCATCTCGATGCAGCTTTTTTTTCTATATAGCATTTATATTTTCTCACTGTGTGAGCTCAAGTTTCGAGTTCAAGTTTCAAGTTGTTTGTCATTTGCACAACATGTCAGGACATTTATGCATTGAAATGCTTGTGGTGAGGCTCAGCTAATCACTCTACAGAAAGTAAATAAGTAAAAATAAAAATACAAGAAAAACCAACTGAAATATATTAAATATACACAAAATATACATAGAATATACACAGAATATAGAGACAATATACATTTTAAAGTGACTAAGTGCCTCGGTGTTATTGTTATTTAAAGTGATTTTTAAACCGAAGTATTTGTAATGATCCATAACGAATTTACTTCCAATATCTTTTTTAATAAAACAAATGGAAGTGATGTGGCAAGTGAACTAGAAGGCTCTCATTCAGCGCTCTTGTTTGGAGCACGAGACGCTGCTGCTACTCATCTGCGATAAAATGCACAGTTATGGTGAAGTAAGATCCAGTGTCAGTGGATGTCCACGCAGCACATGTTACAGCTATTCTACCCATTTTCTTTAGTGATTTTATAACTTCGGTTTTGGTCTCGTTGTAGAGACGGGGGGGTCGCTGTGGCAGTAAAATATCTTTGAGACGGGTCGTGTGCAACATAGTGCGAAAGCCCTGTTTCGCAACGACTGAGAACCGGTGTGCAGACTGCAGGTCACATAGCAGCGATGCGTTATTTGCATTTATAAGCAGCGCAGTTGGTTTCCTGGTACGTTAAATCTGCAACGAGAGACTGTCACACACTAAAAGTGGCGAAGATGAAGTCGCTTCTCTTTCGAATTCTCCTGTTCCACCTTAAATGGTGCCGCATTTACATTCGGCGCCTCAGTTAGAATTTAAGGTGGAACGGGTAAATTCGAACAAGAAGCTGGAGAATAAGAAGCGACTTCAGCCTCGTAAAACAGTCGAACATTGAGAGACATTTAACTGATCTACTTCTGAGGAAAAGTTTTCTGGCGGAGATGGGAGGAAAGCGGCTGTAGCTGAAGCTTAAAGCAGAGCAAAGTAAATCTGCGTTTTCGTTTAGGTTATACTGTTTAGCCTATACTAGGACATTAACACATACTGAGACATACTGAACATTAAATGCTGCTGCTCCCAAGGTGGTTTGATTTTTGTTGAAAGGACAAAATGGCTCTTCTTAACATTTGTGTTGTGACTCCTGACCTAACCTGGCTTTAATGAAGAGGGTGCCGGTCGGATTTCTCGCTCATCCAGTAGTGTTTTTGTTACGTGCTGCCACAGACTGTCTGGGCGCTGCACTTCCGCACTTCCAAGTTCCGCCCTTTGCGTTCCGTCAGCATTACGTTCTAAATTAAATATTTAGAAAATCGATTTTTGACATTTGTGAATCGATTCAGAATCGTTCACGTCCACATCGCGATGCATGCAAGAATCGATTTTTTCCCGCACCCCTAATATATATATATATATATATATATATATATATATATACACTGCTCAAAAAAATAAAGGGAACACTTAAACAACACAATATAACTCCAAGTAAATCAAACTGTGAAATCACACTGTCCACTTAGGAAGCAACACTAATTGACAATCAATTTCACATGCTGTTGTGCAAATGGAATAGACAACAGGTGGAAATCATTGGCGATTAGCAAGACACACTCAATAAAGGAGTGGTTCTGCAGGTGGGGACCACAGACCACTTCAGTACCTATGCTTTCTGGCTGATGTTTTGGTCACTTTTGAATGTTGGTGGTGCTTTCACACTCGTGGTAGCATGAGACGGACTCTACAACCCACACAAGTGGCTCAGGTGCAGCTCATCCAGGATGGCACATCAATGCGAGCTGTGGCAAGAAGGTTTGCTGTGTCCGTCAGCATAGTGTCCAGAGCCTGGAGGCGCTACCAGGAGACAGGCCAGTACACCAGGAGACGTGGAGGAGGCTGTAGGAGGGCAACAACCCAGCAGCAGGACCGCTACCTCCGCCTTTGTGCAAGGAGGAACAGGAGGAGCACTGCCAGAGCCCTGCAAAATGATCTCAAGCAGGCCACAAATGTGCATGTGTCTGCACAAACGGTTAGAAACCGACTCCATGAGGATGGTATGAGGGCCCGACGTCCACAGATGGGGGTTGTGCTCACAGCCCAACACCGTGCAGGACGCTTGGCATTTGCCAGAGAACACCAGGATTGGCAAATTCGCCACTGGCGCCCTGTGCTCTTCACAGATGAAAGCAGGTTCACACTGAGCACGTGACAGACGTGACAGAGTCTGGAGACGCCGTGGAGAGCGATCTGCTGCCTGCAACATCCTTCAGCATGACCGGTTTGGCAGTGGGTCAGTAATGGTGTGGGGTGGCATTTCTTTGAAGCCCTCCATGTGCTCGCCAGAGGTAGCCTGACTGCCATTAGGTACCGAGATGAGATCCTCAGACCCCTTGTGAGACCATATGCTGGTGCGGTTGGCCCTGGGTTCCTCCTAATGCAGGACAATGCTAGACCTCATGTGGCTGGAGTGTGTCAGCAGTTCCTGCAAGATGAAGGCATTGAAGCTATGGACTGGCCCGCCCGTTCCCCAGACCTGAATCCGATTGAGCACATCTGGGACATCATGTCTCGCTCCATCCACCAACGTCACGTTGCACCACAGACTGTCCAGGAGTTGGCGGATGCTTTAGTCCAGGTCTGGGAGGAGATCCCTCAGGAGACCATCCGCCACCTCATCAGGAGCATGCCCAGGCGTTGTAGGGAGGTCATACAGGCACGTGGAGGCCACACACAATACTGAGCCTCATTTTGACTTGTTTTAAGGACATTCCATCAAAGTTGGATCAGCCTGTAGTGTGTTTTTCCACTTTAATTTGGTGTGTGACTCCAAATCCAGGCCTCCATTGGTTAATAAGTTTGATTTCCATTGATGATTTTTGTGTGATTTTGTTGTCAGCACATTCAACTTTGTACAGAGTAAAGTATTCAATGAGAATATTTCATTCATTCAGATCTAGGATGTGTTATTTGAGTGTTCCCTTTATTTTTTGAGCAGTGTATATATATAAATAAAGGCTTAGAGATTGTTCAGGTGCTTCTCTGCACATGAGACGAACACTAATAATTTGTTTGGTGAGCGGTGTTTTCTGCCTTGCTTCTTTTCCATGAGCGCCACTTTTGCCCATTGCCTTTCTTACTTTGAACACTGACTTGAGACTAGAGAGACCTGCAGTTCCTTGGATGTTCTCTGGGAATTTTTGGTGACTTTCTGGATGATTTGCCTCTAAACCATTGGGGAAATTTGGGCATGCAGGCCCCTCCTAAGAAGATTCACCAATGTTTCTCAATTTGTAGATAATGGCTCTCAATGTAGTTTAATGATGTCCTAAATAAGTATTTGTAGCCCTTTCCAGACTGCTGTATTTCAATATAGTTCTTCCAATCTCTTTTGGATTTTCTTTAGATCATAGCCTAGTGTGCTTGTAAAAACTGTGTGGCAATCATTACTCTGATTAACCTTCATATGAGTGAGATTTACATTCAACAGGACTAGCTATAATCTTGTATTTGCATAATCGGGGGGACACCTTGTCCTTCCCACCACACTCACTCACTACCAAGTGAAAATGCAAAGCTAACTCTCCCTAATGCCATGAAATGTGTCATGGTACAAAAGGAAAATGTGCTGAGGTTTTCTACTCAAATTGCAGCAATGTTCATAATGTTGCTTAATTTTGTATCTTCAAAAAGTAGCTATATATTGTAAATATCTATCTAATATATCTCCCAGCCCTACCTGCAGAATGTGTGATCATGCAGAGCGTGTAAAAGTGTGATCTAGACAAATTCACTGAAAGAAAACTTTGTGGTTTGAAAATAAGGTTAAAGACTGTTGTAAACACATACACACTGAAATACTGTAACTGAGAGTCTGCGTGTGTTTTGACTTACCACTCGGACACGCTCTAGGTCCACTTCTGCCCTCCGGAGTTTCTCCCAACAGTAATGTTTGTTGCACTTGCGCTTTGAAACCTTGCAGTATTCACCTGTCGGCTCAAACACATTCTGCACTAAAGGACATCCACACACCTCATCCACTGGCACCTGCACAACAGAGAAAAAGAGCAAGAGAGAGAGAGAGAGAGAGAAAGACATTACCAGGGTTACTGGCAGTAGTAGTCTTCTTTTTGATACTTATACTTTTTTGGACAAAATAAAGACAGAACTTTTTAAGAACTTTTTAAAAGCATTTTTTCAATTTAAGACCATTAGCACAACAGCGATAAACATTAATAATGAAGGGATAACTACTGAGATTATTACCAAACAAGACAAAAAGGAAGACATCTATTCTTGAATTTAGAGGCATTGTAGGGATGACCAATTCCGGTTTCTTAAGGCCAAACTGGCCAATAGCTGATTTTCATTAGCCTTTTTTTCTAAGCTGAAGATCACACTTTGTGGGCTAAATGAACATATGAAACACACTAAAACATTTCCAGGACTTTCTATTAGCCAAAATATAAATAAATGCTCTTTAATGGATAAACTGACATTTTAATTCATAAATGAACAAGGACGCACAGGGTCACTGATACGAAGCACTGCTCTTATGAAGCATCAAAAGCTGTTTGACTGCTAATGCCCTGAGAATTTTCAGCCTGCTAAATGCTACATGTGCATGTGTGAATAAGAAGCCAGAACCATGAGGTTGCTTGCATTCAACAATCTGTTTAAATAGCATCAATCAAATAAAGTGCTACATTGAAAATAATGTATGTTGTATACATATGTAATACGTAATTATGCTATGACATTTTGGTATAGATGCAGCAGCAGCAACGTAAAAATCGCAACATAGATTAATAAAGCCAATTGCTGATTGTGTGTCTTAAGCCAAAAATCTGTGCACCATGCTGTTTTCAAAAGCATTTATTTGTGGAATCTAGCATAGCTTTCATTTTGTGTGCATAGGCAATAAAATGTGCATCTAAACAGGCAATACTACTTTTTTGGTGTAACAGTGTAATAATATAGATAAATAAACCAGATACAGTACATCCAGCAGCATTACACTGTTACATATTTCAGGTCTTCATAGTTTCTTACCTTTGGGTCTCTGGAGTGTTCCGGACATAACACTTGAAGTCTTTTGCAGTATGTTTTACTCTGAGGGTTATAAACATCACAGAACAGTCTCGTCGCCCTGGTAACACAGGGGTAGTATTAAATTAGAGGGTAAAAAAGAATAAAAATAATATTCATATTACACCGCACGATAAGCAAGACATTGGAAAGCTAAAAAATTATGATTTTTATATAAAAGATAATGAAAAATAACAATTATAACAAATTATAGAATACAAAGGACAACAGACCCAATAAACTAAGCATATCATCAGATTTGATCTACCAGTGACAATATGTTAGCCTGCAATATTAACACTAAAGTAAGATTGGCTTACCCTTCTATTCGCGTTGGGAAAACGGACCCAAACGATGTCTGGCTTTCATACTGTCCAAGGCAAAGTTCACAAGGACGGGGGAGGGGGACAAAAAATGTAAAACAATTAACAAATACTGGTTCTTACATACTTAAAATCCAGGTCATTTTGAATAGAAGAGCTATGAGTCATTTGATACTTGGATTCAATTATGTTACATCTTATATACATATTTTATTACCTGTACTCTGTTTTGTTATTGATCATACTATATAAGCAGTATAAGCATAGGAATGATTGTGGGGTGGAGTGAGTGGCTTGGTGGGGCTTTATTTTGTATTTTTCAAGGTTTTTTTTTTACATGCAACTTTGATACAATGGAAAAATCCTAAGTAAACATGCTGATTAAGTGTAAAAGCATAACACATTTCACAAGCTAATGTTTTTATAACCATGTAACTTATTACAGGAAGATGTTTGTTACTGAATTGTGGAGATGAAGGAGAGACGGAGGAGTTTAGGTTTTGTGCATTTACCTTAGCGTAACACCTCTCCATATGCCTCAGCGCCACCTTGGGGTTAATGGGATGACTGCAGGAAACACAGAAGATCTGAAGGTCTGTATCCTCACTGTCTGTTTCATTCACCTGCACAGAGAGATGAAAGACAGGTGTTAAGGCCGTTGTTTTGAAAGTCCACATCATGGAAATGTGAAGTTTCGTCACTTAAAAAAAAGAGAGGTTGCTGTAGTACAGTTGATTTCCAAACTGTGGCACGCATACCCCCAGGGGTAAATCGAATGACTTTGGGGCTACATCAAAAAAATCTTTATTTAATTTCATTTAATCAGCCAGCCGCACAATTACATATACATATATATATATATATGTATTTCTATGTGAGTATATTTGTAATAGGAGCGAAAGGGAATACACAGTAGGAAGTTTAATGCCTGAAGGGGTATGAGACTGTAAAAAGTTTGGGAATCACTTCTTGGAAGACAAGATAAATAAAAAAGAATATAAACAAAAGTGCAATATCTATATAAAAGTAAACAAAAATGTAAGCTGTAAGGCTTCATCTCAATATTAAATTAACTGAACAATTACAAGTTCATTTACAATCTGATCTTGTGTTCTATATAAGGTGTGGCTCTTAAATTCTGACTAAAATGAGTGTGAGGGGATTTTCTTATGTGGTTCAATCACTCCCAGCAAAGTGCAGACTCCACAGCCGAATAAAGGTGCAAATCGGTAGCTATTAACATCTCTACGGAGCAAGCTATTTTTTTCACCTGTTCAGAATTGGCACTTAGTGACTGCTTGAATCCTGACTAACTTCTTCACTAATGAGTTAGCATATCTGAGGTATTATGGGTACATCCTTGTGTTAAGCAATGTTGACCATTTAATCTACTCTCTGCCCACTGTGTTCACATGACTGAGAATTCTTGCCATTCTTGCCATCCAACTTAAGCTAACCCAACCAGTTTTTTCAAGTTTTATAGCATGAAACCTAACTGTATTCAATTAAAAAAAAAACATTTTAACATATATTAGAAAATACTAACTTGCACATCATGACAACCCTAAAATACATTAAAAAAAAAAAATAGTCCAATCGAATAGTGGCGTAAAACACGATTTCATCGCGCTCTGAATTAGTTCATAAAGAACTGATGGCGTTGCCTCACCTCCTCGTCCTGCTGCACCACCTGCTGTTTGGCTTTTGCGATGATCCCCTCCAATTCATGGAAGCGACGCTCCATTTCAGCGAGGCGCATGCGCGCAGCCTGCTGCTCACGCCGGATTCGCTCCAGCTGCTTCTTGCCCTGCTCCTCCGCCACACACGGACTTTGTTGCCATTGTTGGATGCGCTGTGGCAAAATCTCATAGATCCGACTGCCGACACAGAGCAGTACATAAAAACATTGTTTTTTTTATTTAGGATGTGGAGTTTGTATATGTTAAGATTTTGGGAGTTATCCGCAAAGTATATTTAGGGAAAATCGAGTCTTCTGTGTGTTGTGTCTTTAACAGATTACAGCAATACCTCAACCAAAAATCATTTTTGCATTTCATTTCCCCCTTACTCTAAATTAGCTGTTCAAGACTAATGTAGCTAACAAATAATGGAAGTTTAAATCCCATCAATTAGCATCATGCAAACTGCATGTCTAAATCATGCTGAGTTGTTAAGAACAATAGGAGCAGGAGTTAAACTATCTCTAAGATTTGGTCATAAAATGTTTACAGCAGTGATTGAACACAGTGTTCAAACATGAAGTGAACCTACTTGGCTGCCAGCTTCATGCCACAGTCCTCAGAGCAGTATTTAGAGTTTGGGCGGGCTGCCTCAATGCAGTTTGGGCCCAGGCACTGGCGTAAATCTCCAGTATGATGGCCGTCGGCCCTGTCACTGTGTCGCATCCTATCTTTATGCTTCTGTTTCTGCTTATGCCGACGAGACTCCTTCTATGAGTACAATACACAGGAGAAGGTCATCATATAAAACCTCTGTAGTGCATTCTCACCTCTAATTTGACACTTAATCAGAATTAGCATTATTTGGCCAATTATACTTTTGATTTTACATTGCCAAGCAAGGGATTTGAGAGAATAATAAGTATATAAGACTTAAATCAGAGCCTAAAAGCAACGAATATGTGAATATGGACATATGATCAAGGTCTGCAGAGACAAATGATCCAGCATTATTTTCAATATGTTCTAGTTAAAATTACATTGCTCAATTTTCTTACCTTTTTGTCAATTTTCTTCTCTCGCCTCTTAACGTGCTTTACTTTTATTGCTTTTTTGCGCCGAGCAGGGCTATAAACAGGCCCATCCTCATCCTCACTTCCCCATGGCTGGAAAATTGTTACAGAAAGTAACGGCAAGTTAAACTAGATTACTATCACACTGCAAAAATATAACATCAAAACACTTGAAAACATTTTCATAGTACACAATACGCATCTTGATATTTGATTTATTTTTTTTTGTGATCTGTGAACAGGTTAGAATGGACAAAATGCTCCAGTAAAACTGTACTGGCACATTTAAAAAACAATTTGAAAAACCAAAATAAAATATTTTTGGAGTAGGAACATCAGGAGGAACAATCAATCAAACAACAGGCAAAATGAAATTAATAAAATAAGATAATGACATAATGAACTGTGTCAACTACCTGTTACTTACTAAAGTATGCAGTTATTAAACACTGCTTATTAATGCCCATGATATACTTGTTTGGGCCTCATAGAAGTGTACTGTGAAAGAATTTAATCACAATAACATCATATTACCCAGCTCTACCTCAAAAATAAAACAAATTATAAAATGTAGTAGTACAAGTAAGTACAACCCCATTTCCAAAAAAGTTAGGACACTGTGCAAAATGTAAATGAAAACAAAATGCAATGATGAGCAAATCATTTAAACCCTGTATTTCTTTGAAAATAGTACAAAGACAACAAATGTTGAAACTAAGAAATTTTATTGTTTTTTGAAAAATATATGCCCATTTTGAATTCAACGGCCACAACATGTTCCAACAAAGTTGTGACAGGGGCATGTTTACCACTGTTTTTCATCACCTCTTCTTTTAGCAACACTGCAAGCATTTGGGAACTGAGGAGAAGTGATATGTTTTCTCATTCTTGCCTAACAAAGCTTTTCAGCTGCTCAACAGCTTGAGGTCTCCTTTGTTGTATTTTTATTTATTAATGTGCCAAATGTTTTCTGTAAGTGACAGGTCTGGACTGCAGGCAGTCAATGAAAAACTGGTGATTAAATGAGTTGCACATAATTGCATTTTGTTTTTATTTACATTTTGCACAGCGTCCTAACTTTTTTGGAAATGGGGTTGTGTTGTGAAATTGTTGCTTTTACATTACCATGTTTTGCTCCTTGTATTGCTGGTATAGCTCCATCTCATTCTCATCAAAGTCGTCCGAGTATCGTCTGTCTCTGTGCATTATATTCTCCCTCCTCTCACGCAGGGAAAACTCCTCATCCCGAACGCGCAGCATTTTCTAGATAGATAACATTAATAAGTAAACAATAGCACTTGGACATAAAACAACTGTCTTAATAACCAGCTAAGACAGTGCTACAAGAGCACTGTAAAGTTTTAGATCCATTCAGCTGATGTTTCACATTTTATATTTGACTTGTATGTTTTTCTAGCACTACAAGACTACAGACAACTTTAGTTTTACAAATATGCCATATATTCATATTTAACTCTAAAAGAAAAAAATGTAACATATATTCTCTTGTGTATTGTTTCTTCAACTGTTTTGTGTTGTACTTGACCCACAAGCATTCAATGCAAAAATGTCCTTTACACACTATGCATATGCATATGATGAATAAAAGACTTGGTGATGTGAACTGTGGAAATTACCCGTGCACGGACTACACACTGTCTCAGTCGACATTTCTGCCGGATTTTGTTTGGGCCCCCGAATTTTTTCATGTCTTTGCAGAAGTCACATTGAGCACAGTCCTCAGTGCGCCGGCAGGGTTCACATTCGCCACACATACGTGCAGACCGCTTGACCTGATACACACAGTCACATCATGCACACAGAAAACTTTCTTTAGTTACTTACATAAATATTCATGACTATTTTTTCTTTCAACTAAAAGTTGACTAATCACCCTCCCTACTCTAAAATAATAAGGCCAATATTTTATAAACAAACAAACACAGTATGAGAGAATAGTGAACTAAACTAATTAAATTAATCTTTAATGGAAACTTTCGTTGCACTACATATGTTCTTTAGAAAATGTTTATTGCACTTTTTAAGCTCAGCTGGCTGTAATTTAGCATGACATAGCCTCATACACTTGTTTTAAGTAATGCAACAACTGAAGGATGTAATGCAAATAAAATATATTTCTGTGTTGCATAAATAGTTATCTAGAATAAAGTTGTTAAGAAAAAATAGACTGATATTATTTTAGTCAATCAAAAATGTTCTGAATGATTAGTCGACTAGTTTAAGAGTGGACAGTGTTAGTATTTAATCACTGACAGAAATATATAATGAACAGATTTGAGTAACAGGCCTCTGTTTAATGTTTTATTAATTTAAAGGCAACCAAGTTTCTTAACTTTTAAAGCTAAAATATTTTTTTTATTTGTTAGTGCTGCAGAAACTCACTTTAGATCCTCGACGCTTATCAAGTTTGAAGTCTGGAGTACTTGACCGCTTTTCAGCTCTCTCTGGTTCAGCTTCCTTTTCTCGATTCTTCTTGGACCGGTACTTTATCTCAAGAGATGGATCCATCTCTGTCAGGCAGAGAAACTTCATTTCAGGTTAACGCTGGAGCTTTTGAAGCCACTGTGGCAGCTTACTACATGTATATTAGCAACAACTGAGCTATGATAGAAATAATTAAGAGAAGTAAAACCACTCACCCTGACATCGCTGGCAGTACCACTCTCTGATAGCTTTGGCCATCTTTTCAGTCACGTTTATGCAGTGACCGTGGAACCACTCATTACAGCTGTCACACCCACTGCGTACACAAGAGATGAGACTGCATTAGCAATGCAACCATGATCCACATACAACCAAAAACTGCTGCAAATGCATGTGCACCTGTAAGGGACATACACATTATCCATTTTACAGTGACCTTACATCATGAAACAGTTGATGTCTGGTTTCCGACATATGCAGTACAAGGGTGCATTCTCCTCCTCCATGCTGCTGTTATCCACAGCTGGAGGCTGATCCATATCAGACATTTCACTGTCCTTGGGTGTAAAATTAAAACAGTTTAGTTGAAATAAGGCATAACTATTACATCTGACACTCTCTAAAAGAACTGCCTGTTCTATTTCTTTTTTTCCTCTGACGTTTAACCTAGCAACTGAACATTTCCGTAGTGAATCTGCCAGTTTATTTCACAACTATCACCATCGCGATGCAATGGTCTAAATTACGCCAAGTAGCCTTTTAACTGATCAGTCAGTCAATGCTTTGACCCATTATATTAGGAATACACGATCGGAAACTGCACCAAAATAAATAAAACTAGCTAGCCAGATATATGAAAGTTGTTTCTCAGTGTTCACAATGAGATCTGTGTTAGCCGATTAGCTTAGCTAAGTAGGCTAACGCTAGCTCGCTAACGTGATGACTATAGAGCCAACAGCACACCAAACTAACTCTAGAAAGCTGTGACCTGAAACTGGATCGAACATGTTACTCTAATTATTCATGATCACTTAGCTATAGCTAAATATATTTGTTTTGTTTATTTTGCAGCGACCGGCCAGCCAACTTACCATCATCGCTAACGCTAGCCTGCTGGATGCTAACTTAGATGTAAATTTGAAATAAAACTTTTCCTCTGATTAAACTAGATACCGTTGACCAACTGCGTTTTGTTTTATAGTCATGTAAACCTGGTGTAATTTTGAAACTTTTTCAACTATTAAAGACACTTTGCGCAATAACAACTAGCTGCTAGCAACGAAGGGTTGTTTCTCCACCCATGTTCCGACCATTCCTACCCTCTGTGCGTGGGTACTACTAGCCAATCCTTGCGCCGGCGGGAGGATCCTACCAGCCAATCAAAGCGCAGAATGGGCGGGCCGCGTCGGAAAACCAGAACATCAGCAAGTTATAAATAACAATGAAAAGCTGAAAGTTTTGCGCGAAGTGAGAACTTCAAAGTAAAACTCAGCAGCCAAACGCGAGTTTTGTTACGCAAATTAAATAAAATATAATTGAAACAACTTCCCAAGTTGTTGTTTTAACGGAAAATCAGATTCGTACGTTTTAAGCTTTTTATCTTATATTTTCATTTAGATTAAATAAAATCTTAAGCTCTGATGTGAAGGTGGAGAGTGATATCTCAGTGGAATAAGAGGAGCGCTCACAACAACCAAGGGATGAAAATATCGCACAGGCTTTTAAGGTTAGTTTCTTCATGATTTTAATGTGCTAATTGATTATTTTGGCCATTCTAGTTGATGAATTCTTAACATTTTCAATCGATAAATCCATTATGATGGCGATGTATTAATTATGTCTTTTGGAAATAAATAATTAGTTTCTTAGTTTCTAAAAAGCTGTATACTTTTAGGACAGTTAGGAGACCTTAATAGCAAAATGAGGTAAGCTTGACTTTAAATATTGATATTAATTTATATGATACATTTAAATTCTGAAATTATCACTTTTTGCTTTGATGTTTAAACCTTAATTTACATTCTTTAAAGAATGTAAATTAATTGCCTATATATAAAGTTTAATTGTTTTTAATTGTTGTTATTTTAAGTATAACTGAAGTAATAACAAAATAAACCTATCTATATTTTCTAAATACATCAAAAGTGGCTGATGTGCTTTCCCTAAAAACAATGAATGAAGTAAGCAAACGTTTAGGCTATTAGCTTGCTGTTAAGATGTATTATCCTCATTATTTATTAGGCTTTATGACTCCATCTTACCTATTGTGAATATATGTGCCAAATGGAAGAGGATTAATAATAGATTAATAACCGTGCTATTCTGCGCTTCATTAGAGCATTTCTGCTTGGCTCTGTACTTTGCATAATGGAAACCATCCCCATTACTTCATGGTGATAGAATCTGCCAATACGACACTTTCAGCCTTAAATAAATCAAATGAGAAAGACATCTTTAGTGTCTTTCTTTAAGTAGAGAATTCACACACTGTGTTTCCTAATCTGCAGTTGAATTCTGTGAAGCAGTGAAAATCCTAAGAGGGTTCGAAAACATGGCTGAACTGCAGAGTGGAAATGGCAGAATGGACCTAAATGAATCAAAATCCTCTTCAGTGAAAAACGTCATCATACCTGCAGACTCTACTGAATCGTCGACAGTGAAGTGCATCGGTGAGACCAGCAAGCAGTACATGTCTGTTGAAACTGATTCTAATGGAAGCTTCCAGCAAACTCTCTGGCCCATATCCTGCATTTTTCTTGTTGTGACCAAGCAGGGTGTCAAGCTAAACCAGAACCAATCCAGCAAAAACTAGCTTAAACCAGCATGGTATTCATATGGCATTCATGTAGTTTCCATATAGGGACCATACAGACTAGGAAGTGAATGATATGTTTTGAAATGAGCAATTTATTGCATGCTACATCAGACTCTTTTATTTTTAGTTTCTTTCATGATATGGGCCCTTTAAAGGAATCAACCAGCGTTTTTCAACCTAACAGCAATTTATCAGTTACCACAGACAGTAATTTCAACACAATTTTCCTGCGTTGAACAAAAAGCTTGAAACACACTTGCCATTGGGCAGCTGCTGAATTCTGTCCATAAACTCTTACGTAAAACACACTTCACTTTCATGAATTCTTCAGTCAAAGCTATTATTGAATTAAGCTATAAATTAAACAAATTCCATTGTTTCAGAGATGTAACCTTTAAGTAAGAGGGAAAAAAAGATAGATTAGTTACCAACGCAGTGGTGTGAGCCAAGACAAATTATTGTAACACATCCACAAGATGTGCTGAACAATCCTTGACAGCAACCATTTCTGCCATCTGTTGAAGATAAACAACTGTTGCTGTGACCTTGTTGTGCAAAAGCATGAGTAATCAAAGCAGGTCATACCTCAACAGTTAGCTTCCTTTAACACTACATAGACAACGCTGACTGCAATCTTATTCAAAAATGTCTCATCTATTGTAGCTGTTTTTGAACAAATCCTTCACAACCCACAGCGTTAATTACTTATTAATAATTTAAAATCTTAATCAGGTCATCTAATGATAACATTTAGGTTACAGGGACTTGCCAAAATGAAAAATTGCTACATCTGTTGCAAACATGTTTACTCGCATCCTAAAGCACACAGCTGTAGTAATGTAGTGGTCTAGTGTTTAGAGTGAAATTTTCTGGTTTAAAGACTAGGAAAACCTTCTTTTGCTGATGTATCTTGAAGGTAGGAGAAACCTTTAAAAAACTAACTGCTTTGGGATGAATTTGGGGGCAAGTGGTTTGGAAAAGTTTTTTTCTGTTAGCTGGTGAATACAGAAGAAATGTAGATAGCTAACATTATTGCTATAGGAAGCATCTTATTGCAGCGGTATAACTTGTGCATCTGTCTTCAATAGATTACTGAAATGACAGAAAATTAGCAAGATGACTGGCTATACTTTTCTCTTGCAGAAAGGGTAAAAATATGTCTCTAGCACCCATCGGTGGCTAGGCTATCAGCTAGCAGTCCCAATGGTTGTATGAAATGTTTACAAGCACGCTGGGTATTGTAGTGAGAGAGCGGTAGTAAACAAAAACATGAAAGTGATTTAAAAAAAAAAGCAAATTCTGCTGAGGAGAATAATCATGTGCTACAGAATACCATATTTCATGACAAATAACACTTTGAATTCTAGTTTTAGGGTAGAATGTGCCTTTAATAATGCTAGTGCGTGGAGTGACATGCTTTGAGAGCAAATTATGTTGTGTTATTAATTGAAAATAATTTTTGTATAGGGGCATTAATTGCTTTGCGCTGTGGCCCATAAGATCCTAGTTACGCCACTGCTCAGAGAGTGTAAATAATGCTGCACACACATAAACAAGAGTAAAATGAAGTATTCATTTAGTAGGTTTTCAGTCCTTTTCTATATACAGTGAAATGTGTTCAGATTATTGTTTGTGGTAATCGACTGTTGCAGCACACAGAGATTAAGTTGAAAAGGTTTCTGGAATACTCCTTTAAATTTCTATTAATGTTGTGATTTCTCTCCCTGAGGGTTATCAGTTAGTGAGTGTGACAGAACTAGAGTTAATGACAGCGAGCTGTCTCCAACCGACGATGCCTCTACTGCAGAAAACTCACGGCTTCTTCAGCCACAGCCTGCTTCTAAACTTCTTGCTTTGGGTAAATCATCAAGTCTTTGGTTCAGACAGTTGTGTTTAAGTCTGATCAACAGTTTGGAGCTAATAAAGGTGCATTTGCTTTCCTCACAGATTTAGCTTTGCAAAGTGCAGAGGTTCCAGTAGAGAGGCTGTTGGTGAGGGATGCAGGCAGTTTGGTGTGTGATGCTCTACCCATCTGTACTCAGATACCTCCATCCATACACATCTCAGCTTCACTCTGCACCACATGCAGTTTTCACCCACATCATAACACCACCTCCACTGCTTCAAAGAGTGAACACGGCCTGAAAACTGCTAAAGCTAACCACCAAGAGTCGGCTGGAGACGGTGAGATCTGCCATTGATCTAAATTCATCACTTTGGTTTCATTGTTGTAGTAGGCCTATGTAGCCCAGAGAATTTTTTAATCCATATCCAAACGGATCTGAGCCAGGTAATGCAGAGCTGAAGAATTTGATCACCTGGCTCATGTATGTTATACATTGATGATGAAGGGGAATTCTGTCAATTTTCTAGAGAAACATACCCAGTCAGAACTGTTGCCAATGGTGACAGGAACCTGACATCTGAAGAGTTTACTGCCTCAAAATGTTACCTCACAGAAATCCATTATTTGAAGTGGTCACAAAAATGGTGCCTGATGCCTAAAACATTGTTTTGTGATAGTTTTGAGATCTGGCTTTAGCATAGGCTTTAGCCTAAAGTAGATTTCTTGAGCAGCCCCCGGCCAAAATGTATGTGTTGTACTGGTCACTTTGGATAGCAAATTTAATGGCTCCAGGTTCATAGCACCACCACTGTAAAGAGAAGAGCTCCTCTGCCATGCAATATTTAATATCAAGCCACTCTGAATGGCTTTGTTTCTCGGCAGTTTAATTAGCTAAAATTGTGAAAAATTGGTGGAATTCCCCTTTGACTCCATTTATCTTCCCTTCTTGTAGACCTGTGTGCATCCCTTGTGCTGGCCTGTCTGTTTTGTCGGGGTGAGGAGTGTGTATCTGCCGCAGCAGATGTGCTGCAGCAGTGTGTGAGCTTTCTGTGTGCTAAACTGTGCTGCTGTGACCCTGCTTCTCTGGAGCCTGTTCTGGAGGTGTTTCCCAGCTGTGACCCGGCTGGATGCCTTGACCCACACTGCTGCCTCTGTGGAGAATGCTCAGTGTGTGAACTCTGTCTTCATGCTACAGAGTGTCTGGAGTTAGGCATGGAGGTTTCCCAGCTTCTCTTTCACTGAAACACTTGTCACACTCTCCTGCATGTACAATCATACAAATAAAAGAACCTGTACTGTGAGAATTATTTTTTATTCCACCAAGAACTCCTATAAAGCATCTAAAAGAGCTCTTAATGATTCTTCACTGTGCCTTTTAAAAAATATTAGGTTCTTTGTAGATCTTTCAATGGTTCTACATGAATCACTAACTGGTTCTTCAAACAAAACCATAGGTTCTTCAGCTTCAGATAACCAGACTAAACAATCACTGAATTCTCAATAATTATTTTCTTCAATCTTCAAGATCAAAACGTGGCTACTGTATGGTAACCCTATAAAGACCACAGATTTACACATTTTATTTACTTGGTTTTCCTGTGATTACAAGTTCCTTTTATTTGTTTTTGTGTGTCTAACCCTGCAGAGTTTAGCTCCAACCCTAATCAAACACACTTGTTCCAGGTGATGAAGGCCTTCAGGACCATCTGAATTTTAGAGTCAGGCGTGTTGGTTCTGAACTCTGGTAGATCTCCAAGACCAGGGCTGTGCTCAAAACAACATACTAGTACTATATATACTAAACTAATGCATAGTATTGTATTTCAGACCGCTAGAGTTGAGGCCGAGTCAAGACCGAGACTAGGACACTTCGAGTCCGAGTCAAGACCAAGGCCGTGAGCGGCCAAGACCAAGACAAGACAGAGACCAGAATAAGAATTTAGCAGAAGATAATATTACATGGCCACAGGCCTGTTGTAGGGAGAAGTTAATAATGTTACACGGCTACATAACATAATGAAAATAGCTAAAAATACAACAGAAATAGCCAAAGATGAATGACAATTAATGATGTTCTATCAACAGATTTGTAAACAATGTAAAGAGCAGTGAATTTCAGCCTTCAGCAACATTATACTTTTAATGTTGGTAATATTTTCTGATAAGGGGTTCTACCTTAAATGATGCCTGATCCAGAATGTAACTGCAGTAACTGTTGCACGGTTTAAGCTGGAACGTTGGAAAAAAATTATTTAAGCTATCAAAATATCCTACCTACAGTTTTATGTAGGGCTCTGCCTATAAATATGCGCTAGGGTCAGACATTTTGAAAAGTAGAAAAATTCGTCAGAACATCAGTTATTGCTGACCCTTATATAGCCTATTATATAGCTAAACCGTATAAATAACTTTCGTTACTAAGTTAAGAGTTATAAATATAATAACTGAAAGTGTCGTATGCGCACTACAGGTAATATAATAAAGCCATTTGTCTTTGTTATTACTCATTTTAAACGTAGATTGAAACTTTTAGTTCCGTTTGTCTTGCAGCTCAGGTTGCTTTTGTCTGTATCTTACCAGCGCGTCTGCGCGGGCGCATCAGAGGCGCAGCGCGAGGAGCGGCGCAGAGCGGAGAGTTTAGTACACAGAGAAAGGACTTACTGATATCGACTCGGCTGACATCGGCTGACATCAACTGATATCGACTCGGCTGATATTTGACAACAATTATCGAGTCTACCTTACCCCGAGACTGAGACAAGACCGAATCCCAATGAGGTCAAGGACGAGACAGTTAGTTTATGGTCTTGAGAACAAGACCCTGAGTACTACAACGGCCTTCTAATGGTGATGTTCTATTTTTGACGTACTATTGGTAGTATGGTAGTATGCCGTTTTGGACGCAGCTCAGGATTGGACAACCCTGTATAAGTGAATTTATGAGAGGTCATGGTTAGGGTCATGCGGTCACCCAAGGAACTGACAACTAACAGAGCCGGTTAATGGGGAGCCTGGCCACTTCCTATTTCCTCCGTTATGTTAAAAACATGATTGCAAAACGCCAGAGGGTGCCCTCGCGAGCCCTCAATGAATGGGGCCGAAAAGTGGTCTGCCCCGGGAAAGTAAATCTTCGCCCAGATTTAAAATGCTGGTTTCTGGAAAGTCTCTCAGTGACAGGTGGCAAAAGCTCCTCCACAAAATCAGTCCATGTGTCAGCATGTGCACGTCCTGTTTGCTTATAAGCCAGTGGGGTTGTCCAGTCTGAGTAAAATGTGATATCCCCCCAGAGAGGCAAGGAAGTGTTTCAGTGCACAAGGTAATGCAAGAAGTTTTAAGTAGTTTTGTGTACCGACTGCATATGCTGAGCCCACACCCTGGTTATCATCCTAACCTTGTGAGTGGTACCCCAGCACACTAGCAAAACATCTGTAGTGATGACTTTTCTGGCTACACTCTTAAAACATATGCATTAAAAAACACATATGTCTCTAACTAGACACATAAGTGTGCTCAGTTGAAGATGACACATTTTGTGGTACTTTTAACACAAAATGTGTTTAAATATTCCTGTACCCAGTTATGGATAGCACATTTGGGGTTACTTTTAACATAAAATGTATTAAAACAGAAAGCAATGTGACACAAAAAGTGTTAAAATGGGTAACAACACTTACCGGACAGCATCTATTGGCACACCTGTCATCAGAAAAGTTTTCAGGGACATAATGGATCTATGTTGAGGGAAGCAACTCAACATTGGAAATCCCTCATATACAAACAGCCCAGTGGAACCATTGGATGCCATTGGATCCAGGAGTCTGAGGCACACACCATATTTTAACATGGTCTCTGTACTCTTTCTGCTGCTATGCAAACTGTGTCTGAGGCCAGCCCTAAGAAAGAGGAGTCTGGACTCTCTTCTTCCAGTTTATCAGGAAGCCTAATGCTGTCAGATGTTCTAGGTGCAGTCTAGCGTGTTGAAGTGCTTCCTAGGGCTACCAAAAGCCAATCTTGTGAGTAAACAGCCATATGCATTCTTCTTTGTCTGAATTGTGTGATTGTTATCTCTGTGCATTTCACAAAAAGGTGTCCGACTCTGCACAAACTGCTCTCCATTATGGAGGATGATGGCCACCCGCTGCACACCATCATCATGGCCAGGAGGAGCATGTTTAGTGGCAGGTTGCTGCCACAGAGCGGCTGAACGGCCAGATTCAGGAGATCCTTTGTCCCTCGAGCCATCAGGCTCTTCAGCTCTTCCCAGGGGGGCCAGAAGAGAAGAGGGAAGAGGAGAGATGAGGACTGAATCTGAATCTCATGTTAAATCATAGGTTTTATCTCATGCTAAAATCTTTAGGTTTCATTTTATCCATCTGCACATATGAACACCTTACTGTACATATTGCACTTTCTGTAGCCCTATCACGTATCTTATATGCTGTTACCTGTACATATCTGCACATATTTATTCAGTAATGTCATTATATCCAGTGCATCCTGGTACAGTCATCATTGCACTACCACTTTCATCTCGGGTTATAGACATTATTCCAGATTGTCGTATTTTTCTATTTGTATATATGCCTGTGGATAGGATTTTTTATATTTATTCTTCCTGTTATATTGTTTACACCCTTATTACTATTACTGTTCTGTGTTGTGTGACTGCTACTGGCTGCTAAATTTCCTTCGGGATCAATAAAGTACCTACCTACCTACCTACCCACCTACCCACCCACCCACTTTTCTATCCGCTGCCGTGCCACTGTTTGGCAAGGCAGGCCTGGTCCTGGATTTCTGCAAAGCTGCTTTGTGACAACAGCAGGAGTGCTCCTCTTTTCCTCACAATGCCTTTTCATGGTGGCCACTGCTGGGCCAAACAGGCCTTTGGGATCCACATGCATGTTGTTGCTTCTGGACAAGCTATCATGCTCATTCCTGAGCAACCATCAGGGGTGTTAGTGCCTTGTAGCATGTCAGTCCTTTCTTTCTGAGACAGGTCTTGCCATTCTCGCTAATGGCCACACTTGTGGTTTGTGGTCTTGGTTAAGTGCACATTTACCTTATTTTTGTATTTAGCAGAAGTGTGCAAGCACTCATTAAGAACACAAGCAGGTGGATATGTATCTTGGCTTTGTGGGACAGCTGAACAGAAGTTCTTGTGGGTTTAAACTTTCTCAAAAGGTGACCCCCACTGCATGTCGTGTATGAGTGGTTTGGAGAAAAACATCAGCTCCATTATCTGCGGTCAGTGAGGCTGATCATTAGCACTTCATCATCATCATCTTCATCATTTATTATTTATATTCATGTATTATTTATTTTTAAAGGTGCTACAAGACAGGAGTCCACCCACTGTAAGACAGCTTTCCTGCCATCTCTTAAGCTACACATTCACCAGCCATTGCAGCATTCACCAAATCAGAAAAAGGCAAAACACATAAAGAAAAAAAAACAAAGTTGAAGAACACTGAACCATCTTCATTCAATTATAAATCAAAAAAAAAATGAGAATATATACTATTTTAAGAATTGAAGAATACATTTAAAAAAATCCTTGTTACTTGCCCAACAGAAGACAGAAAGAGACTGCAGCAAAGCAAGAGTTTTAATGTACTTTAAGGTTAACTGCATGAACATATTCCAAATTAGTTCAAGACACAGTTGTGTCTGTTCATGGTGCATTGGTCTGCATTATTTAATAAAAAGATTGTACAAACTGCATAACTAAAACAATAACTAAAATAGAGCACTAACAGCCTTAGGAGATCATTTAGCCATGAAAAACCAGAGTAAGATACATGCATTAGTACCTGCTACTGGTAAACTACCACTGTAGATAAAATTGTGCCTTAGCCCTTTAGAAAGAAAGAAAAAACATAAAGTAATACAAATATCAGGGTAGGGTTCAGGTCTATGCAGATCAGGACAATACAAATCCATGTGGGCATTACTAAAAATATTCTACAGTTTTAAATAATATATTCATCTTTTTTATTTATTTGTAGAATGAAGAAAATGAGTTAAAGACATTAAAATCTCTGTATACACATTTGTACATTTTCTATAAACTTTTTTTCCCTTTATAAACACAGCCTATACCGATTAAAGGTAAAGGCACAAATACGGGTATCTTCAGAAAGGGGGAGCTTGGCTCTAAACTTCATAAATTTCTTAATTTCTTGCAGAAAGTTTCAATAATCAAATTACAGTGATCTCTACTGATACAAACACTCTAGGTGGAGGTAGTTCTACAGTAGTTACTACTGAAAAGCCATCTGTGACACAAGAAATACCAGATTTTTAATGTAAAAACTGTTGCTATGTTATGTAAAGAATGCGGGAGAATAGCAAAGTTTTAGCGATGTGTAAACAGCATATATCTACACAATCCCCTGGAAGTTATTAGTTAAGAACATAAGAATGTAATGTAAATGTAATAAAATCGTGCGTGATCTAAACAAGTTTTTAACATTTCTGTCATACAAGCTTTCGCATTATTAGTACTGTTACCAGTAACATTATAAACTATTTGGTTTCATAACCTCCCTTTAGTTTATATATATATATATATATATATATATATATATATATATATATATATATATATATATATATATATATATATATACACACACACACACACACAATGAGTTTATGGAGCGGTATCCACTCTTCCCCCTTTTTCCCAGCCATCTTACTAAAGACAGACAAACAAAATAAAAATGGACGTGCATTCACATTCAATATTCAATATTTACATTCTTTTTCCTCACTATGTTATATAAAAGTGAATTAATGAACTTTAGCTGAGACATTTTAGCTGATCTTTGGTTTTTTTTTTTTTAGTTCATACAAGTGGCTGTGATACCTTATTGCTTAGGAGAACATTATGAGTGAGTTCATTCTGCAGTGAACCCCATATCATATCACCAAGATAGAGGAAGCTCATAAAAAGCAGAAGGAACGTTGTGCATTTCATCAGAGTGGGGGTAAATAAATCAGCACCCTCTGCTAAAAAATTGGAGCTACTTTAAACACTCAGTGTCTGAAGCTGTTAGTCCAAAGCTATCAGACTTCAACTCTAGTTAAGTTCAACCGTACGCTAGTTATAACATGGTTTTTACTAAGTTAAGCTTTATACTTTACACATGACTACATCAAAACAGGTTACACCACACTAACTATCTTTGATATTAAGCTTCTTAGCTACTAAAAAAATTCCATCTACCCCATGAAATTACACCAATTTTTGAAATCTTCTGCCTAATTAAATCATTAAGATGTAAACAAAGTCATTCAGTGTGTTTTGATGGTAAATGCATCCATTCTAAGGAACCTTAAAAGTCAAAATTGTTGACATTATTGGCACCTGATGTCTGAAGAGTTTAATGTCTCATTGTTTTACAATAGTTTTGAGAGAAGGTTTTGGCCTAAATGTATTTTTAAAGCCATTCATGCATGGTGTTGAACAGCAAAATAGTATGAACATTTTTCTTCAGATTTAGCAGTATTTTAACATTACATATAAAACTCAGAAGACATATAGGTTTATTGGTTTTTCCATTTACATCGTTGACATCATGACCCCTGGTTCCTATCACCACCACTGTAAATAAATTGAGTTGGTAGGGTTCTCTACAAGGCATCATTTCACATCAAAACTCTGAAACACTGTTTACATCTTAAAGACGGAACTATGCAGAAGTTTTCGGTGGAATTCCCCTTTAATGTCTAATGTTTGCCTCAGTAAACACTTATATGACTAGCCTACGTTTGAACATACATGTGTTTGTGCAAATGGCTCCTGGAGGGTTAATATTCTACCTCATTTAACACACCTCATTCATCTCGACTCATTATGATGTAACCATGCCCTCAAATGCATCCAGCTGTTGAGGGTTGGACAGGCTTTACAGAACACTGGCAAAGATTCCATTCAATCTCATGAGAAATGGTGGCACACAACTTAGTTTTTGTAAAAATAGCTAAATTCAATGATTTGTAATTAAGGGACTGAAATAGTTATATTGCTACATACATGCTACAAGCACTCACTCGCATTAAATTTATTTTGGTGAGGTTGACAATCATAATTACCACTGGCAACCTCACTAAAATATCTCCAACAAGTATGACAGTTAAGTTGTTTTGGCAGTAATTGGCTACAATTTGAGTAGCTTGTGTTGTATAACAATAATAATAATAATAACAATAATAATAATAATAATAATAATAGTGAGCTTACTTTCATGCAGTGGCAATTACATCAAATCAAATCACATTTATTGTCACATCACATTAACACAGGAGTGAAGGTGAGTGAAATATTAGGTGCATAGCCACCTTGTAGCCCTAAGAGTTAGCCCTAAGAGTGTTAGCTTGTATATAGCAATTTTGGTATTTGGACTATTTATTGACCTCGTAATTTAGAGGACCCTGTTACAAAATGTATGACAAAACTGTTTTTTTTTTAGTCACAACAGGGTCAACAGGGGTGATTTTTGAAAATGATCTTCATTTTTCCCATAAAGTAAAACAGGCTAAACCCAGAGTTGCTTAACTGGGCATGGCACCAAAGTCCTCAGAAGCCATCATGAACTGAATTTGATGTGTTAAAGGAGGAAAACACCATGGCCTTCCAGAACCTGAGTGTAAAACCCCAGCTTTAATCTTGTCACAAGTCCTCCTCCATGTTGAGGCTGCTGCGTCGGCTGCTGGTTTTGGATGCTCCTGGAGAGTTTGAGTTGATCAGGGAGTCGGGGGCCGTCCCATGGGATAGAGTGCACTCTTCCATTAGCATGTCCCCCAGACTTACGTCTGGGTAAAGGCTTGAACCTGCAGGCTCATCGAGCTCTGAAAAACTTAGAGTGCCCATGTCCAGTGGAGCGGCCAGGGCCAGGCCGGGAGATGCAGATGGGGGTGGGGACAGGAAGGAGGAAGTCTGACCCACAGCTCCATCCAGGCCCAGTTGTGAGTGTGAGTGAGGCTCTCCCACGCTGGCCTGGGGTGGCGGCTGGAGAAACGGAGAGTCTGAACTGATGCCAGAGGAAGAGGACAGATTGGAAGACAGGCCATGTAGTTGGGCCTGCATCTCCAACTCCTGTTGACACACATATTAGATTTAATACAATGTTAAAATGCAATGTCATATATATATATATATATATATATATATATATATATATGCAGTGACACTGACATAGTAGTGGCATATTAGTGTGTGTTGTGTTGATATGAGTGCATCAGACACACTGGTGCTGCTGGAGTATTTAAACAACTCAGTGTCTCTCCTGGACTGAGAATAGTCCACCAACGAAAAATATCCAGCCAACACTGTCCTGTGAGCAGTATCCTGTGACCACTGATAAAGAACTAGAGAATGACTGACACAAAATGTGCAGCAACATGTGACCTACCGTCTCTGACTTTACATTTACAAGGTGGATCAACAAGGTAAGTGTGTCCAACAGAGTGAACAGTGAATGGACACAGTGTTTAAAAACTCCAGCAATGCTGTTGTGTCTGATCAATTCGTACCAGTACCACACACTAACATGCCACCACCACTTCAGTGTCACTGTCTGGTCTCTCTGGTGGTCCTGTGGGGGTCATGAACATTGAAGAAAAGGGGAGCTGATAAAAAAGACAATGACTGTAGAAACAAGAATGTGGTTTTAATGTTATGGCTGATTAGTATATATACAGTAACATGCAAAAGCACCTCAACATGTTATTTAAAACCATTTACATTGGTAATAAGTGTTTTTTGTGCTTGTAAATACAAAACACCAAAAAAAAAAAAAAAGGCTTACCACATTTCTCTTTCTCTCTCTCTCTTTTTTTTATTTGTTTATATATTTACTTATATGTGAATTACAGTTAAAACTTTAGCTATTTTTGCAAATAACTGATATCTTGTAAGCTAATCTGAAGAATCTCAAGGACACCCCCAGCCATGGTTTTAAATTCCATCAACAACACGTTTGATCTCACATAATGCCAAACCAGGTCTGGATAACTACAATCAATACTGAGCTTTCTTGAGGAGAGGTTTGGAAACTGTTAAATGAACACATCAATGTACATAAAATCACTACTTACTGCAATAATATTTTTTGTATTTATTGTAATATTAGTGTTTTTCAGCACAAATATACCTTTGCTGTCCAAATAAATTGCTTTTTACATTTTTTTTGCACAATCCTGTATATATTACTGTATGTAATACATATATCACATATGTATCATACACATCTAACTATATCTATATGTAATAAAAAATTTATAAGCCTAATCCTAACCTCTTAACCACAGGAATCAAAAAGAAATGGTTATAAAACATGGATCTTTTTGTAAGTCTTGTTTGTTGGTGGGTTTTACTAAAGTCAAGACAAAGCAATGGTCTGTTAATGTTCAGAAATAAGAGATGAATATTACATGCCAAATGCAATACAACAGTAATGTTTTGGACAAACATAAAAATGTATAATTAAAAGATATTACAACTATTATTATTAATATCATTCTAGAAATATTTTATTATTTACTCATTTTGATTTTTATTATTATTAATTTTAATACATGATCACAGCAGAAAGGCATGTTATTTGCCAGGCTGCATTAAGACTCATTATGTCATAATATCTGTGATCATCAACTTACTACTCTTTGTCGGCGGCATGAGTAAGCCTAAATTATGCTAGCTCTGGATCCAGTTTACCCAGAGCATAAAAGGGGGATATAAATTTAAGCCAGGTATTAAAATTATACCAAAAACACTCTTACCATCACTATTGTTATCTGCCTTTGGAGAACTCTCCCTAAAAGCTCATCCTGAGAACTAAACACCATTTTTTTTTAAATAGTGCTATACCTTCTAAGTTAACTAATCAGCCACAGTTCACTACTAAGTTTGATATACAGTCAATCGACTGCATTTCTTTATTTCTCTATTTATGTATTTACTTTTGTTGTTTATATATTTATTTATTCATGCATTATAGTTAAAACTAGCTATTTCTGCAAATAGAAGTTTTCAATTATAGAAGTCGTCAGTCTCTGTATAAGTACTCTGGATATTGTGTTATTCTGTTCATTGTATTTTCTTTTTAGTGCATCAATTATGTACTGAAGAGCAAAGGGACATACGACACAGATGTCAAAAAAACTGTCTGTGTAGGCACACTTTGGAATTTGTAAAGGAGATTGTAAGAAGGTGGATTTTAAACTCAGCACAGCTTAAAATTTGATGCAGCATCTGAAAAGCTTAAGTGCATAAGGTGTTCGTAAGACAGTACCTGAATGCGTAGCAGCAGAGTCTGGTTTGCATGCTCCAATTTCTTCTGCTTCATCTCAATCTCTTTGGCTCTCTGCTGCTCTTTCTGAAGTTTCCTTATGTAGTCCACAGATGCCTTCAGAATGGTCCCCTTATTCCATCGCATCTCCCTGCAAACACAAACACATACAGAGTGAACACATCCAAGAGCACTACACGGCATGTATGTGTGAAAAAGTTTGAAACTGTAAAAAATTAAAAACTCACGGGTCATTCGATTTTGGTATAAGCGCTCCCAACTCCTTTATTCTGTCATTTATATTAAACCTTCTCCTCCTTTCAACTGAGCAAAGAAAAGCACAGTTTTGCATGATTGTGTATTGCATTTGTAATATGTATCAATAAAATCACTATACAACTAATTTGTCCATATTGTGCAGCACTAGTACACATAGATGCCACAGCATGTATTCTGTGACTAGGTGAAATGAACTCACTGAGATTATGGTTGTCTTTCTTCTGTCTCTCCTTCAGCAGAGCCTTGGTCTCTGCATCTACGGGGGAAAATATTTCTAATATGATGCATAATTACAGACCAAGTATTATGATTTATTTATGCATGGGATGGGCATTATGATGATAGGTTACGATGCTTTTCTGAGTATATCATGGGTATTGTCAGTAAACTGAACTGCACAGAGAGCTATTGGATTGGATGGCAGCCCCTCATGTCATTGACTTGCTTTATTCATTTGTTTAAATCAGTTGTTTGATTTTTCCTTCTGTTACAACTTAAATAGTTTCTTTTTGCAAATACTGCATTAGAAAATAACTGGACTGATGTTTCTATAGCCATTTTTCCAAACCTATTTAAAAACTTAGAAAAACTAATCATACTAATAATAAAACAATTATACATAATAAAAACAACTCAGAAAAGCTGATATGTATCATGTACTGTGAAAATGTCTTCAAGTATCATCAATTTACATTTTTTGCTTGCACACAGGTATTCAAAAATAAATGACTGATGACAATTTTTTTTTTCCTGAGTGTTAAAAACTTACCGGTTAATTCTGTTTTGATTTTGGGCAGATCTGCAGGGCATGAGTTGCTGACAGTGATGGTGGGGGCTGCCACACCAGGACTGGCGTAGACATCCAGCAGGTTGCCTGGTAGCTGGAACAACAGAAAGCATAAATATACTGCAGCGCTATGGAGTAACAAAACTAAGGGATCACACACAGTTTATTTTTTTTTTAGAATATATCTGACAGAGGGAAATCACAGTTATCTCAAAAGATTACTGTGGAGAAGGGGGCGTGGCCAAGTGTCGAATGCAGGACGGAGAAGCCGGTCGGGCTGAACCAGCAGGCTAAGTAGCTGATGATGTTCACCTGTGCCTTGTTTCTGCCAGCCTACTATAGTCATCTCTTCCCTCAGTAGGTGGCACAGCCCAGAGAGAGAAGGAGACCCGTGAAGGTGTGAGAGCCGAGCTAAGCTGAACTGAGCTGAACTGAACTAGAAAGCAAGAAAGAAAGAAAGAAAGGACTGAAAAGTCCCAGCGAGCTTCTTGTCTTAATTTGTCTGTGGGCTGAAAAGCCGAGTGGTTTTTGCGTTGTGTATAAATAACAAAAAGCTCTCCGTCTTCACACCTGCCCCCGGCGTCCTTCCTCCACCCATCATTAAAGTTGTTACAATTACTTTACCTGGACCCTCAACTTTTCATCCTTATTTCTTTCTAGAGGTGACAACAGAGAGCATCCAGACCAGCTTTCTCTCTGTCCAGTAGAGTAACTGCACAATCTTGGACTTCAGTACCAGTACAGCTGAATACGGCTGAGGAAATCTCTACCCACTATAAACACCTTCTAACAAAAGCACTGCATCTGCAAGGCCGCCAGCAAGTTGGACAACCACTCCCATCCCTCTTACGGACTCTTCACCATCCTGCTGTCCGGGAGAAGGTACCAGAGCGTCTATTTCATCACCATGAGACTGCAACAGCTTGTTCCTTGAGGCAGTCAAATTACTACACGCTCTGATCCCCCCAACATCAACATTGCCTAATCTAGACCCTTTCCAACACCCAAACTAATGTGGGCTTTTTCCAACACCTGGACTAATCTGCACCTGCACACCTGCACTGTTATGCCAGTTATCCAATCAGCCAATCATGCGGCAGCAGTGCACTGTACAAAATCATGTACATACATGCCAGCAGCTTCAGGTAATGTTCACATCAACCCTCAGAATGGGGAGAAATTGTGATCTCAGTGTGATTTTGACAGAGGCATGATCATTGGTACCAGAAGGGCTGGTTTGAGTATTTCTAGAACTGCTGATCTTCTGGGATTTTCATGCACAACAGTCTCTAGAGTTTACTCAGAATGGTGCAACAACCAGTGACCAGCAGTTCTGCAGATGGAAACACCTTGTTCATGAGAGAGGTCAAGAGAATGGCCAGATGGGTTCAAGCTGACAGAAAGGCTACAGTAACTAAGATAGCCACTTTGTACAATTGTAGAAAAGCATCTCAGAATGCATAACATGTCAAACCTTGAGGCATATGGGCTACAATAGCAGAAGACCATGTCAGGTTCCATTCCTATCAGCCAAGAACAGAAATCTGAGGCTGCAGTGGGCACAGGCTCAACAAATATAGACAGCTGAATACTAGAAAAAAGTAGCCTGGTCTGATAAATTTCACTTTCTGCTAAGGGACACAAATGGTAGGGTCAAAATTTGGCACAAATAGCATGAATCCATGGGTTGATCCTGCCTTGTCAACAGCCCAGACTGGTGGAGGTGGTGTAATGGTGTGGGGAATGTTTTCTCGGCTCTTAGCCTGTTAATACCAGTCAGTCATTGCTTGAATGCCACAAGCTATTTGAGTATGGTTGCTGACCACGTGCATCCCTTCATGGCCACAATTTACCCATACTCCAATGGCTACTTTCAGCATGAAAATGCACCAGTCACAAAGGAAACGTTATCTCAAACTGGTTCCATGAACTTGACAAGGAGTTCAGTGTTCTTCAGGGGCCTTCCCAGTAGCCAGATCTGAATCCAATAGAACACCTTTAGGTAGAAAAGGACATTCACAGCATGAAACTGTACGTGAAAAATCTGAAGGAACTATATAATGCAATCATGTCAACTTGGACCAGAATCTCAAAGGAATGTTTCCAACATCTTGTGGAATCCATGCAATGATTGGACCAGACTTGGACCAGAATCTCAAAGGAAATGTGGATGTTTTGAGAGCAAAGGGAGACCCTAGCAAGTATTAGTACTGTGTTAAAAATTATTTTCCTTTCATTCATAAAGGGCGGAAAACTACAGAGACCCTATTTTGCACATTTGCTTGGCCTGCTCTAATTGATCCAACTAATGTTTTGGACACTTCAGGACAATGCAGAAAAATGAGTTGGCTGAGGAATTTTTTACAGTGTCGCAGTTCTCAGTTTTTATTCTAATTCGGTGTGAATAGGCCTCTACTCTTATCTGGAAAATAAATCTCTCTAAGACAATATTCACACAATACTGGAAAGGCACTATAATTTTCCTGAGCCAAAATCACCCACTGACTGGGACATGATCACATTTTGCTGTTCTACATTCTTTTCCTTCCTGTTGCTGTAAACTCAAATGCTCTAAACCTGAAAGTGAAAGAAAAAGGTGTTCCCTTTTCCACTCATTTAGCTGGTCTTGTTGACTCAACAAAGTTTCTTCTTTTTAGTTTTAATTTAGTTTCCTTTTCACCCTAATATATAAATAACATATATAAATATCTAACTTCTAAGATCTAAGATCTAAACAACTTACTGTATTTGGGAGCTGTAAGCCGGAGTCTATAAATGACATAATATCATCGTTGAAGCTGGATTCAAGGCTAATGATGTCATCAATTACATCATCAATCTAAGGAAAAATAAACAAGATACAAGAAAAAAGTCATACTTTTGTTACATCAAAGAAACAGGAGAAGTTGCATTTTTGCTGCTGCAGGAACAATGCAGTGAGTTTGAAGAGAGAATGCTTCTCTTTTTCAGACAAGTGTAGCAATCATTAAGATTGCTGTGTGTGTACAGCACACTGGGACACAGGGTGGCCAAGACAAGTAATGTCTTCATTGACTTCACTGAAGCTTAATAAATTCTTAACAAATAGCAATCAGCAAAAAGGGAATTCTATAGATATTTTAAAATTACATTAGGAGTATTCTGATGAAAAGTTCTCCTTTCTAGAGAAAATTACAGAGTCAGAATCATTTACAATAGTGGAGATAGGAACCAGGCATCCAAAGTAATTAGTGCCTCTAGATGTTATTATATGAAATGGCTTCAGACATGCTGCCATGAGGCCTAAGACATTTATGCTAGTTCTGAAAGAGGATTTTGGTCTAAAACGTATTTTTAAAATCCATTCATGGCATGGAGATATATGTAGGCTGTTATAAAGCATATTAGCACTCAAAGAAAACCTGTTTTATCATCAATAACATTTCATATAAAAACTAAGACCATACATGCATGCTTACTGGTCAGTTTTTATACCACAAACCCAGTTTCAAAGAAGTTGGGACAGGAGCACTTACCACTGCATTGGCAACAACTTTCCTTTCCACTACACCTAATAATCATTTGGGAACCAAAGACACCGACTGATCGAGTTTTGATAGTGAAATTTATTGCCATTTTTTGGTTATGTATGTCTTCAGCCGTGCAACTGTACAGGACTTTTGTTGTCGTATTTTGTGCTAAGTAAGAAACATTTTCAATGGGAGACAGATCTGGACTACAGGCAAGCCAGTCTAGCACCCACACTCTCTGATGCAGATGTGGCCTGGTGTTGTCATGTTAAAATAAGCATGGGTGTATCTGAAATGACTGCACCTAAAAGGCAGCATACGTTGCTCCAAAATGTGTTCAGTGCTTTCACAGATGTGTTAGTTACCCACTAGTACCCCCTAGCACCATGACAGACCCTGGCTTTTGAAACGCTGGTAACAAGCTGGATCATGAACCCTTAAAGATTGACTCATCATAACACAATGCACATTTTCACTGTTCATCAGTCCATTTCAGATCAGCTTCAGCCGAGCCATTATTTATTGACAACAGCTTGTCTAATAATCTATCACAGAAACATGCCGGTTTTTAATGGAGCACTGTCTGACGAAACGAAGGTCCCGGACATTAATTTGTGGGGTTCTGCCTTGTCCTTTATGCACAGAGATTTCTCTGGATTCCCTGAAACTTTTGATTGTACAGAAGAGGGTAAAACACCTAAAATCCTTCCAATCCCTAACTAAGGGATGTTATTTTTAAACTGTTTTAAATTATTTTAGGCAAAGAGGCGAACTTTGACCTATCCTTGCTCATAAAGGACTAGGCCTTTCCTTTCATATCCAAGCATGAATTCTGAACATTTTACAATCATTCTAGTCTTAAGCTGCCTTGTCCCAACTTTTTTGCAATGTGTTGTAGGCATCAATTTCACACTAAACATATATTTACAAAAAACAATAAAGTTGATAAGGTAAAACATCACATATCTCGTCTTTGTGCTGTTTTAATTCAAATAGAGATCGAAGTAGATCAAATAGAGATCAAAGTAGATAAACCAATGCTTTCTTTTTATTTGCATTTTACCTATGTCTACTTTTTTGAAATTGGGTTTGTTAATAAAGTTGCTATACTTTCATTGTAGATCGTAACCTCTGGTTCAACATCCTATCAAATGTAGATAACTGTGAGTCAGTAAGTTTCTCAACAAAATGCATCATTTCAAGCATAGGCTGTCTATTAGAAATAATCAACTGCACTTTAGTGTAATTATCAAAATTATGGTGATCTCAAAATTAGGGTATTTTTCAAACAGCTCCTCTATGCTCCCTAGAGCAGTCAATCTTAGTCCCATGCACTTTTTTTGTCTTTTCCTTACTAATACATCTGACTCATTAAGGGCAGGGAAATTACCCGATGAGTTGAATCACATGGGTCAGAGTGACATAATCAGCTAATTGTTACTTTGCCGTTACTATACATTATTATTGTTTACAGATTGCTTATTGGCCTAAATCTATCATTTTCATGATCTATATAGTTCAGGGTACTACTGACACCAAATATATTCAGAATATAACAATCGTCATATTGCACATCTTTATAGGTTTTGTGTATACTATTACCTCCTCTTTGTTGGAGCCGAGGTTGAGCAGAGCCATTGGGCTGTTAGGGGCACTGCTGGTGGACGGAGCCACCTCAGGAGCAGAGCTAGACTGATGCACCGGGGAGATAGACAGCGTCTGAGAGGCTACTTTAGTACCCAGCGTGGTGGATAAGTACTGCTTCACCTGTTGTCGCTGAGCCTGCTGGATATGGTACTTGGTTGGGTTCTCCAAATGAGTTTGAACCTAGAGTGAAGGAAAAAAAAATGTGTTAAATCAATATTCTGCCACCAAAAACATGGAAATAGTTGATAGTATAATATAGATTGAATAGTGGAGATAGTGTGAACGTTTAATGGTAAAAACCCTTCCATCTGTTAACTTAATCCCTCAAACTGCAGGTGTAGTATTCACTTATTAATAGGGGTGTAAATCTGTGACCTCACTGATTAAAATTCTTTAGGAAACAAAGTTTTAGAATGGCTAATGGAGTGCATTATGTATTCTCAAATTTTACTACCATTCTATATTATTATTTTGGTACAATTAAAATTATTTTAAAAATTACACTGAATATACAAATGAAACACAAACATGAGTAGAATACAGACAATGAAAACAATTTTTACGCTTGAAAACAGCCCACAAATTTTTCACTTTTACAGCATTTTTCACTATTATTATTATCTTTTCAAACAGATTCAAACGTTCCAAAATGCAGCTGAATTTCCACTTCAGATACAGGCACCATGATGCACGTTTATACTGTGATGCATCTTTGGTAAACTTAAGCCTTATTTTTCAGTAAGTTCTATGAACTACTCAGTAACTACTAGACATGTCATCGGTATTGATGACTATAGGTTCTAGGCTGACATCAGCAGAAAATACTGAATCATATATCAGACAGAAAAAAAGAACAAATTTGACCCAGGCCTGAGCCTAAAATAGCACACACTCACATTGTGTGATGTCATATTGTTAGCTGTGTATTCTTCCTCTGGGGTAGTAGAGTGTTTGAGTGACCATGAGAGCCCACATTTGCTAATTTTAAGTAAAGTGCTTTAATTATAAATAGCTCCTCTAGTGCTACTCTGCTGTCCCTAATAAATACTATGAAAGGTATAGATATAACAGTGAGAACCCCAGGGCTGGGATTGGGAACTACCACTTTATGGGGTTAACATGATAAATTACACTGTTCGCCTGGTGAACAGCAAGAAAGAAAATCTGGCAAAAGTTTTAACTTTTTGCAGCCGAAACTGTCCACCTGTACAAGCGTAAACATACCTTCAGAACCTCCACGGGAACCTGTGCAGTTGGGGGCCGGGCGGCTGCGGGGGGCACAGTGACAGAAATGGCAGGGGTCGCATCAGTAGGGCGGAGCTGAGCTGCCTGCTGCTGCGCCTCACGCCGCTCCTGCTCCTGAGCCTGCTCCCGCATCAGCTGCTGCCGCAGCAACACACGTGACGTCATCGCTCTGCACACCTTCTCACGTTCAGCACAAAATAAGCCAAACCTTGATAGAGATACAGAGATAGAACTGACAGTGTAATATGCCATGATTAGTGTATAAATTACATCACAATATACTTTTACATACTTTTATTTAGTACATCGAACAACTGCATGGATCACAAAAAAGACCACTTATAGACAGCATGTAAACAAGAAGAGTGGACAGTAACTGCATAAAAAACAAACAGTTAAAAGTAGCTGACTGGATAGCAGAACAATATGATATCATATTATTTTATTAACTGAACCTTCCCTAATAGTTTATTTTTACAAACATTGAATGAATGCCTTTCTTAAATTTATCATTACTTCATACTTTATCCATTCCAACTTGTGATAAATATCGTATATCTTAAAAAAATGTGTTTAGTGACCTTTAACTATGTCAAATTAGAAGTTCACTAATATGTTTTCAGTGAATTGGAAGTTGTATCACAATACATATGTAAAAAAATATAACTGCAATTCTAATATTCTTCATTCTTCCAATATTTCCACTGTGCAGCCATACTGTAGTTATGACAGAAGTTACAGAAACTCTTGTACTGTACATACTGTGTATGTGGTTTACACTGAGGTCTTCTCAACTCCTAAAATGTCATCATTCTAATGAGATTCAACAAAAACATTAAAAGATGGGCTTAGATAAAATGCAAATATGTACATAATATGTTCTGCCAAGACAGTATGTGCTAAGAATATACAATATGTATTCAGATCATAGCCTTACCAGTCCAATAATTAAGGTAGTAAAGAATGTGGACATAGTCAGAGACTGATATTAGATTTTTGGTTTAAGTAATTACACAAAACTAGCTATCAAAACTCAACCAGTCAATGAAGAGTTAAGATGGAGACATACAATTTAGCTGAGTCACTAAACTCAGATTGATAAGTGCAAAAAGAAATCCAATACCCTGCCTGTCTACATCATGTGGAGGCAAACCTGTGCCTCATACACTTTATTTAACACAGGCGAAACTAATAAACCACTACAGTAAGACTGACCTACAGGCTTTAAATGAAAAACTACACCATATCTATGTTAATTCTGAGTGTCGACTTAACATTTTCAGATAGACTTGGTATTGATAACGCTACTGATTAAAGATGGAAAAGAAGGTGCGTTAACTTATTGTTTATTTTCAGGAACACAACACTGACTGAGTGGTTAAAAAACAGCCCAAAGGTACATCGAATAACTACTGACTCAGCGTTGTAGAAACCCATGGCATAATATTGATGCAGTGAGGACTGTTGAAACTTTCCATTACTCATTACCACAACACATCTGTGTTTTACACACTACATAGGCTAAGGGCTGCTGTCAACACATACCTATAACCCCCTTACTAACAGCAATTGAAGCATTCAGGTAACTTAATACAATGTTATCCACGGGATGTAGCTAGCTAACTAGCATGTTTTACTGTTGTAAACATTTATCTCTTTATTTATCCAATATCCCCAAAGCCAGCTGGGCTGGTTTATCATCGAATTGATGGGCCCAGTTCTAGTTTTAACCGGAACAAAATAAAGTTGCTCTTAACATGAAAGACTGAGCGTACACACACTTGTTAAACTCACGTTTGTTAAATTCTTAATAACCATTAAGCACAGTTACGCCACAAGCAACGATTAGCCATAGCTGACCTTTTCGGATGTACATAGAATTAGTAGTAACAGTAACAACAATATTACCACGACCATCAATATGTTTAGTATTTTCTGTATCGCTTTTTACATTAGTAAGACCTTCTGAAACGTCTGATTAGCGTTAACGCTAAAGTTAATCGGACTTACAGCCTATCCGCTAACGCAGCTAGCCGCTAACAAGCAGCAGGTAACTTTGCCTGTCGCACCACCAGCGCTCACAAATCTTACCCAAATTAAAGAACGATTATAATAATTGTAATTACTGGTAATTTAATTCTATTGGATCATGAGCAGTCCCTTGCCATTAGTCAGTTCCAGCCTGTCACTTGCTTACCTATATGCAGAAGTTAGAGTCGCACTTCAGGCGGCCGCGCTAGCATTAGCATTAGCCTCCGTCATTGCCACAAGTTTCCTTGTTTTGGCTGAAGGACGAAGCAGCTCAGTTTGGTGACAAAACTCTGCTTATAACCAGAATTTCACTTAGACAGCCGTTAAAATCTGAGATAAATTGCTATATACACTCCGTTCCATGTACTGAAGCACAATTTTGGTGCATTTGATTTGATTTTCGAATATTTCAGATGTTAATAATTTTACTCAGTCAAACTTAACCTATATGAGGAATAGAATCTAATTTTTTTCTCACTTCCACTTTTTGGGTTTAATTTCATTTTGTTCTGTTGGTTCAGGTCCTGTGACTTCTTTGTGGCTGCTCAAATCTCGTTTCAAAGGAGAAGTATACAGATTTTAAAAAATTCCACATAATTCGATTATCATGAGACACAGACATTAAGTATGAGGCGAAATGTTCCTTTCTAGAGAAACCTCCTGCGTCAGATTTCTTGAGAGTGGTGGTGACATGAATCAAGGCTTGCAACGTCAACAATACAAATATAACCTCTTACTGTCCAGAGAAGGTAGTGTTTTCTTTATATGACGATAATGTTGATAATCGTAAAATAGTGGTAAATCCAGAAAAAAACAACTTTTTTATTGGGTACTATTTTGCCTGAGAACGCCTTGCATGTACCTTTCCGTCATGGATGAAATTATGAAATACATTTTCGGCCAAAACTTTCTCAAAACTGTCCTATCATAATGTCTTAGACATCAGACAACCCATTCATAACCATTTCATGTAAAGGTTTTCAATGGAGGTAGCTTTCAGAGGCATTAAATGCTTCAGATTCTGACTTGGCAAATTTCTCTTGAATGGAGCATTTCACAAACCGAATGACTTTGTTTACATCTTTATGACTTAATTATGCAGAAATTTGGGAAAAAAACGATGGAATTACCCTTGAGCATTTTAGCCCAGAAGAGTCCTATATGAGAGAAAACAGCCTTAACCAACTTAAGTTTCTATGCTGATAGATGCTGGATGTACTAAGAAGTTCCCAATGCAGTTCTAAGGGAATCTCAGTACTTCCGAGTTTTACACGTGATTCTTTTTAGCTCCAGTTGTTTTATGACATCTACTTTTTTACTTCTACTTGAATCATTAATACATTGAAGGAAACCTTTAATGGAGAACAGTTTAGGCTTATCTACCCAACTCTGGGTAAATTGTGGCTTATTATTAAGCAAGAACTCTTGCCAAGAAAGAAAAGACAGCTGCTCAGCTGACACAGACAAACGACTGTACAGCCGCTATGAAACACTTTTCACGCGCTGAAAGGCAGAGTAGGTAATTGGAGCTTTGAATTATTTCTACCAACAGCAACAATTACATTAGTAATAGAACGAACAGAGGTTTTATACATATTAGTATGACAACAAGGGGCAGAATCTAGCGGGATTAAAATGCAATGCAGCTTTTTAAATGTAGTTAAACAGATTCAAGTAGAATGGGCTTTTGGTCACACTCCCACCATGTGATCTGCAGATTTTGACAGCTATCTGGCCATTCACCTTAAACATTAGGTGTCTCATGAAACTTTTTTCTTACTACAAGTGTTTTTCGATTACCGAGTTGTCCGTGTAATTCACACCATTATTTTAATCACCCTCTTGGTGCCTGTAATGTAAGTACCATTTTGAAGCACATAAATATCACACCCTGAGAGTGAGCCAACCTTCTCATCAGGGTTTGTTGTAACATGGTGTTGCCTCCGAGCCTCTTAAAGAAAACAATGATATAAGTACATACTGTTGAATTGTGCAATTCTACTTTGAGGTCTAAATAAAAAAAAATACTCCAGCGTTTGATATGACTGCTTTCACTAATCATCTTTTTAATGCATAAATTATTTATTTTGCTTGTAAAGTTGGTTTAAACAACTCAAAACTTCTCAAAATCAATTTCTGAGTCAATTTCTGAGTTAATGTTAAAACAGGTACCTCAGGTTTGTTTCAATTAACCCCATGTGTTAGGTAAGCTGTAACATTTAAATTCATGCCACTTTCATCTGAATTATTCCCAAATGATAGGTACCCGAAGCAAAGATTAACTTTCCCTTTTGTAGGAGAGATGTGTAGCTTGCTTGTTAAAATAGTTTAAAATAGTTTAAAAATAGTTTAGCAGAAATCAAAATGTGTTAGGTTGTGCCCCCCTCTCCCCTGTTTCTTTGAAGGTATGTAGCAACATTTGATAAGAATCAGCAATTCATTTTTTATTGGCTTTCAACACCATGTACGTAATTTGAATATACATGCCAAAAGTGTATATAAGCAGCAGTGTTCAAAGTAATGTTCCTTCCAAGAATTTCTTGTAATTTCAGCTATCCAAAAAGGCGAAATTCATGGCTGATGTGAGAGAATCGGAGAGTTTGGTGGCAAGTTTATCTGTGAAAAAAAAAAAAAAAAACAGAAACAATATCTACCAGTGAACCACAAACATTCAAATCCTGATTACATGGGTGTCTGTGTTCAGATTAACTGCCAACAATTGTGTGAACAAAACAGCAAATTTGCTAGAATGATTAAAAAAATGTGCAAAGCAAGGGAGGTCATGTATTGTACCTGCTCTTTTTTGCTGTTTCTTTCTCTTCTTGCTAGCAGCAAGAAGTGCCTGGCCCTGCTGAAGTGGATCAACATCCAGGATCTCTCTTAAATCCACAGGTTTCGGTGCCTGAGTCTCCACAGCTCCGCCAGATTTTGTTCTCGTTTCTTTGAGCTCTACCGTCATACGTCCAAACTTTAATGAAGGAAGATAAAAACAAATGTGAGGTGTACTTACCTACACTTTATATGATACTTCTTAACATACTAAAATAATATGAAAGTGGAAAAACGATATAGCGATGTACCTCTGGATCCTGATCTGCATCCATAGACTCATTTATTTCTTGCGCATCTGTTTCTTCCTCGACTTCCAATTCTAACTCTGTTGGCTCTTCCTGACCTGCCTGAGTCACTCCTAAGGTAGCCATGCAGAAGCCAATCTCCATATCCACAGAGTTACATTCTAAAACAAACAAAAAACTTCATTATAAAATGTTGTTTAGATAACATTCCTGGGACTCCTAGGAGCAGCCTACCTTTTGACGTGTCTTTTTTCTAACACCTCATAGCATACAGACACACCTGTATGTATGCATGGCCATGTAAATAAAAGATATATTAATATATAATTATTTGTTCAAATAATACAATACGTAAATAAAAACAATTGCAATTACATATTGCAGTTGCAATGTGGATTGCAATATTGCAGAATACAGGCCATTGCTCAGGGTGCTCACAGCACACAGTAAATCATTCAGTGATTGGTCTGACTTATATCTGCTCATCAGTACTGTGGAAGCTGATACCACGATAACAATTAACAAGTGATATACTAGCAGCCCTGATGAACAGGTAGGGCTGCACAATATATTTAGTTGTTAACACAATATTACTTTTTGCAATCATGAGAAACTCCAAAATGCAAAAATGTTCCTAGTGTTGTGTGAGCATCCTGAACCTAATGTTTCCACACGAGGTTCTGTGGTTCTTTGATTAATCAAGGTATTCAAATGACCCAACAAACATACATTTCAGTGAAAATAATGCAAGCCAAGGAATATTACAAGTGCAATACGTAGCAATGCAAACACTAAAATTCTATTCTGCCCTAGTAGTCAGACTAACATGAGTGAAAATGTACCAGCCAAAGTCTCCTGATTGCCCTTCTCCAGTTCATCCCAGTCAAACTCCTTGCCCATCTCAGCAACAATCTCCGCGCTGACGTGTGTGGGTAGTGTGTGTGTTTCTGGAGGGTGTGTGAAGTAGCTGATACGTCCTCTGTAAACAAACAGATGGAAACAATTCAACTACAGCCAGTAGACAGGCTAAACTGAATAAAAAACAATTTACTTAACAAACTTATCCCAAGTTAGCCCACAAATAAATAAATCTCTGCTATTTGCTACATAAGAGTTAGAAGCCATCACCCTTTCCAGTCAACATTTACACGAATGACTATTCCAAAGTCTTAGTATGGATTTAGGTTTCAAGAAAAAATATTTTTTAGGGAGGGCTAAAATAACTAAGTAGATATCAAACAGTCTAAAATGCACTACAGGCCAGAAGAATGGAAGCAATTTCTAATTTATATATTAGAATTTTTTTTTTATCTATCTTAATCTTATCTTCATTTGCTTCATTTTCTAACATATTTATTGGCATCTAGTTTCTCCAAATAAGTTTGTTCTAGAACATTTCATTGGTTTGCAGTGCTGATTTCTAATTCCTTACATTGGGTTTTTGATTTTGTACACACTCCCAAAGTAACACTCCTGTTTGAGTTGATTAAGCCTTCAAAAGTGTCTGAATGGAGCAATCAAGTGGAAATGTTTAAAGCTGCAATAAAACTCTGAGAGGAATCAGCAGGAACCAAGCCTTACAATCAGTTCCTAGGAACACTACTGCTGCATATATTTAGGACCAAACCCATATGTTCTGGCTTAATACACATATTACTGTTATCTCTTGATAAAATTTACTCTTTATAAAACTGTTTTTTTTTTTTACAAAGTTAGTGCTGCTTCCAAACATTTGGCCCATAGTCCAACTCTGTGATGTTAAAGCACATGATGTTTTAAACCCACCCTGTCCAGTCCATTAGGACGCTCTTGGCAGCTTTGTCAATGTCAGGTAAACCACCCTTCCGCAGTTTTCCCTGGCGACGGGCCAGAAGCGCCAGAAACTCCAGAGCAGTGTGAAAGTCTGGAACGCCATAATGCTCCATGATCTACAAACAGCAAAATTAACAAAAAAAACACACCACCAAAGACTTTAGTTAGACTAGACCAACAGCTTACTATTATTTGAATATTTGTGATAATTTGGATCTGTGAAATGAAAGAGTTTATTTAACCCACAGTTTATTTAGTTTATGCAGTCACTAGTCTATCCAGTTTACACGGTCATTAAATGGCCCACATGCAAATTCATCAGCACAGAAAAAAGCTATTTCACTGTTTTGAGACTCTTAACAAACAGCTGCCTCTGAGGGTCTATAAATTGTGAATCATCTTGTGTACAAAAACATAAACATAACCTCATAACATTTCTAATGGATAGATTCCATTAGTGGTAACAGGTAGCCTATCAAATGATAATACTGTATGGTTAAAAACTCTGTTACAGTAACTGCAGTGGGAGGTGGTTTTGCTATTCTTGCAGAGGTATTGTGTGAGGATGAGCTGATCAGCTTCATGGCTTTGGAGATTAATTTTTTTGCCATTTTGCGAAGTGACCTGCTGTTAAATGACAGATTTGGATTCATCTGTGTGGTAGACCTGACCATTAGCACATCATAACCAAAGATATCTCTGTTTCCTGTGTTTGCTAAAATCTGATTTCATTTGCTGTTTGTAGAAACTGTTTTGACTGCATACTAAGCACTGTGTACAAAAACTGCAGATTAAATAAGCCAAACAAAGTTAGCTAGCATTTTATACCTTTGCTGAATCAAACTTTGCCTTTGCTAAACCATCTAAATCTCAATTCACTTGAAACATATGTTATTGTACAACTGGTATTGTGCAGACTGTTCAGCAGAGCTGAACTTTATTAACCATGTTGTCTATGTAGTAACTTTCTGAAGTAAACAAACTAAGAAACCAAATCCACTTCAAGCCTAGTAGACATTAACAGAGACCAGCAAAATCTAACTAAATTATGTCTTTCATTTTACCATAATCCATTTGTTAAAGTGGTTTAACATATTTTATGTACAGAGAGTACAATTAAAAATGTTCCTACAGTCCAAATGCCTGGATGTTGTCAGGCCTCTGGACCAGCCCAAACAAATATCTTGCTTGTGCCATTAGTTCTGTGCAGCCCACAACTTACTAAGAATCAACAATAACTGTGTATTACCTCCAAATTCACAAATGCTTTTGGATTTAGTTCAATTAGTGTCATCAGCCTTTTTGACTATGTCTCTACGCAATTCATAGATGAACCAAGGTAAGCTTACAGATTTCTCAACATAAACCTCACATTAATTCATGTATCAAACAGATAATCAGGCCTGCTCTGGTAAATAATCATGGCCTATTCAACAGCTACATTTTGGAACAACTTACTGATTTGTCTGTCTGAATATGTCTTTAGTAATACAAATACAACTACCTGGTGTAGCAGTTTCCCATCCTGATTACTTACTTATACTGCACTCTTAAAAAAGATGGTTCTTCAAGGGTTCGTTAGTAAAGAAAATGGTTAATGAACCATGAACACTCAAAGAACCCTTTTTGATTAAACGATTAAAGGGTTCTTTGCATTGTAAAAGCGTTCTTCAGATTGATGGAGAATGCACTGTAGATGGTTCTATATAAAACTTTTTTTAAATGGGTTCTGTATAGCACCTTAAAAGGTTCTTCTATTGTTACAAGCTTGACAGCATAACAATAGAGGAACCCTTCTGGGTGCTATATAGAAACCTTTTCAAAAAGCTTCTATATAGAACCATGTATAGCGCATTCTTAAGAACCCTTTCTTGATGCAAAGAACCCTTTAATCCTGCAAAGGGTTCTTTGAGTGTTCTTCGTTTTATATAGAATCCTTATCTTTACTAAAGAACCCTTGAAGAACCATATTTTTAAGAGTGCAGATGTGCTGTATACAGCCAATCTGTTCAGAACAAACCAATTTGTTTTTTATTTTGTTTCTGAGCCCTTCTAAGAATCCTGATCTGGCAGGTAGTTAACAGTCCCCTTCAAGGGATTAGTAACATGCTCTTACTTCTCGGTCACTGTTAACAGAATTGCAGTTAGTAAGGTGATTTTAATGAAAGTACTTGTGATAATATTAAAGGGTTAAAGAATTGAAACAGAAGTTGGAAAAGGGCAAGTAATTACACAAGGAATATACACAGAGGTTCCTGACCAAGGCTATGTTGAGAGAGTGCCACAGGATGAATTGCTGTCACTATGCTCCAAAGTGTGGTATATTCCGCATCATAAGGTATTTCATACAAAGAAAGGAAAGTTTCAAATGGTGTTTGACAGCAGAGGTGTTTAAAGGTACATCTCTCAAATGCTTGCTATAAAAGTATTAATAAGGTTCAGACAAAAAATAATGGCAACCACGGCTGACATACTTTTCACTAAGGTTGCAAATGAACATGCGTTTTTCTTCTATTTTTATGGTGGCCTGATGAGGAACTAAGAGAAAAGCAGTCACCAAGTCACCAGTCCTCACCAAGTTGTGCCAGTTATGCTTTGAAACAGACGTTATTTACAACAACAGGAGTTATTTTCCCCGAGAGGCGATTGAAACAGTCCACAAAATTTGAAATGGACTCCAAAAACTGAGCGTAGCCATAGTTCAGGCAGGCTAGCTGTCCACACAGAACAGACGGCTAGTTCTGTGTTCGTAAATGAGAAACAAACCAAGTGGTTCAAAGTGAGTTACACAACACTATTCCAGACAATCAGCAACAGGAGGCATTCTCGCTCATGCACAGGACAGAGGGAAGAGTTGGGGCCATGAGCTAGAGACCTGCGCAGGACTGTTTTTTAGCCTGCTCCCACCCGTTCCTGCAGAAAATCGGAATCATTTTTCCCGCTCCCGCCCTCAAGTGAAACAATTTGTTATTTACAACAACAGGAGTTATTTTCCCCGAGAGGCGATTGAAACAGTCCACGAAAAGGTATGCAGAAATTTGAAATGGACTCTGAGCGTAGCCATAGTTCAGACAGGCTAGCTGTCCACATAGAACAGACGGCCCACTCCCACCCTCAAGCGAAACAATTTGTCCCGTTCCCGCCTGCGCACATCCAATATCTGACACAGTCTAATCACAAAAACATTATCTTCTGGTGAAATAACCGGCAGTCATGGTCATCAGGCTCACTGTGAAGTAACTTCACCAAATGCCATTTATTCCCCGTAAACACAAAGCAGGTATTAAACCACAGGGTTTATTTTTGGTGTTCCGCTGGGCATCTGTGGCCATCAAACTGAAGGCTCCGCCATCTCTCTAACGTGTGATTCACACACACTACCTCTGCGTGGCCTGAGTGATGCGGCAGCGCAAGCGCTACAGCTCGGACGCACCGTCCTTCCATATTTACAGCGTTTGTGCTGTGGAGCGGAGCAGCGAGAAATATATACTGACATTCTTGTTTCCAGACGGATAAATGGTAACATCAATCACTCTGCTCAACAAGTATATATTTTATAAATGTACACGGTTTATTTGTTCGTCTTGGACAGCATTTGTACTTGTGATTAGGCAAGTTTCAAGCCTGGTGGACCAATCGTGAGATCTGTTTGCAGCACGGAATGTTTTGCTAGCATTTCATCATAAATTACATAAAAATTGCTTTTTTAAGTTTTTATATGGTCTTCTGTTTAATTTTCATAGATTTTCATGGCTTATTTCAGTGTATTTAGCTGCGTGATGCGCACCGTGTGCAGAAAAAACTGCCCCGGGTCTAGTCCATCAGTGCTTAACACGCGCAGCCTGTTTGAAAGCACAGACCACTTACCATGGGCACCGAAATGAAAAGCAAGACTTTCTGTGTTGCTCATGCCACGCAAAAGCTGTATGTGTGACCTATGGGAATTTCACGAGATCGGTTGCTCGAGAATGACTGTTTTACTGTTATATTGTTTACATTTATGATTTAGTGATCGTTCTACTTTATTTAGGCTACTCATTAATTTGCGGAATTTCTCTTCATGCGTGCTTCTGCCCACTCCTGCCTGAATTCCAGCCCGCAACACTGAAAATTAGACCCACGCCGCAAGATATTGTGCAGGGTCCCCCAGGTCCTGCGGGAATCCGTGGTGGTGCAATCCTCTACTATATGCTAAACTCCACGCATCATCAAAAAGTAGAGATTGCCAAGAAACAACCAAAGAGGAAAACACCAGCAGAACAAAGATTGAGAAAGAAGGTTTTACATCAGGCAAAGGCGTTTCAATGGTGGAGAGACCTCCTGAGAGTTGACAAGGCTGAAGTTGGCTTCCTATTTGATAAGATGAGGCACCAGAATGTAACTGCTGCACCACTGAAGGTGGACAGGGAAAATTCTGCTTCATCGAGAGTTGAACAGCATGAAAAGGGATGAGGACACAGGTGTGAAACATTAACTTACTTTTGCTATTTCACAGAACCAATAGGTCACTGTTTTGTCTCATTTGCTAACGTTTGTGATAGCAACTGGTTAGCTTTGCAGCAACACTTGTAGAGACTAGTGGGTTTACTAAACCACAACCTAGCTAACGTCAGTTACATTACTTGCTGTGTCTCTGTTGGCTCTAACCTTAAATCATAATATTTGTCTGTACAATGTTTGCAAAGCGTTTTATGGCCATGAAAATCTAACAAAACAAGTTTGCTAGCTCAGTGTCATTTACCTTGGCAATGCGTGTCCCAAAGAATTTGGGGGCAGAACTTCTGAATGAACCCTGAAGGGAAGGGTGTAATTGTTTTGCTGTTGAGTTCAAATATCAACCATCATTCTCCAGAATCATATACTCTGCCTTTAAGGTGCTTTAGCCTGCCCATTCTCATGCTTCCTCTGCAAGCCATTTTGAAACCTGTCTCCAGCCCAACTCCTCCTTTGTGCTGGGTCTGACTTACTCAGCTTCATGTTGTCATTGATGCCTGCACTGTTCTGTGCCCTGGGTCTTTCTACTGCTCTCCCTGCCTTAAGAGGAAAGGAAGGGCAGGAAGATCCCAGACAAACAAAATATTTTCTTTGACGAAGTAGTCCTGACTGAAATACATGTGCTTGTTGGAATTTTAGCCCATCTAAACTCACATCTGTCAAGCAGTGCCTTAGAGGATTGTTTATGATACCAATAACATCATTATATAAATTAATAAAATAATTTCAGATTTCTTAAGACATATGTAGCTACCTGTTTTTTACTGCAGCGTCTTAATATGGCTTCAATGGCTGGGACTGGATCCACCAACTGTTCGATCTTCACACAGTTCCGCAGGATCATCGCAGCATCACTGGTTGACGTTGCCATAACAATTCCAGGACAGTCCAGCAGTTTGATGTGTTTGTCTAAATGTACCTCCTGTAGACACCTGAAAACAACATATAACACACATTTAGAAAAATTAAAAAAACAAAATCTCTGAATACACAATAACAATCAGTGATGGTTTCTACTCACTTTGTTACTCCAGGAGTTGCTCCTACACTGCATGCTCGTGCCCGCTTCAAACTGTTAATTAAACTGCTCTTTCCAACATTAGGAAAACCTAAAGAAATTCATGAGGGCACCGCTGTGAGAAATGATAGTGTATGCTCTGAGAAAAATACATTTTTCCCCCTTTCCCACTCCAAATGCTGTTGTCAGGTAAGACGTGCAGTGTCCAAAGGTTGCTAGTTAGTTTTGTACTGGAGCTACAAGGCTAATGTATGAAAGCATATCAATATCAAGATCGCCATCTGCTAATGTAAGAACAGTTATAAATTCGACCACCATGTTTTCAGATAAAGCCTTTTCCGCTGAGCGTGGCTAATTAGCATGGTGCAAACTGCATACCTAAATGATCATACACTTGTCTAAAGACAAATCATTTAAGAAATCTTAAAAACTTGCTCATGTGGTTGACAACTCTGTATGATACAATGTAATCAATAAAAATTGGACAAACCTTGCTAAAATCAGTAGGAGCAGCCTAGTAGTACATAAGCAACCGGCAACAGCACCACCCACTGTGCCACCGTGTCACCCTTTTTTATGATCAGTTAAATGCAAATTTTAATAATTTTATTTACGTTTTTATTTAAGTAAAAGTATTGATCCCTTCACTTTTTACAGAAACAAAAAACAACAACCACTTTATTACTTTTGAAAAAATGTAATGGGTTAGATTTTTGATGCAGTATGACACTCACCCACCACTCCAACAGTTATGGTGGTTTTGATGTCCTGGCTGCGGCAGTAGTTTCCCAGCAGCTTCATTAGACATTCGGCCCCCACACACGCACTGGAGCCAAGCAGCTCAGGTGTGGCCTGGGTTACTGGCACATGGCTTCGCTTCTGTAGAAGAGACCACCAAACAGCAGCTGATTAAATAAATAATTCCATTGTTACACAGTAGAATTGAACATGGGCATCAGCAGATTGATGTAATATCTTTTTTGACAACTCAAGACCCTGTCTATATCTCTGTGTCTAACTAGAGACATCATATTTGTTACTTTTAACACAATCAGTGTGGTATCTTATTTCATACAAATGGTGTAAAAAAATGTAGTGATAGTTCAATACGTGTGGTAACATTTAAAGGCCTAGCACAGTATTTTTTCTTCCTTACTTAAAATGTTACCAGGAAGTATGTGATTATCTTTATACTTCTGCTTCAGTCCAACATTTATTGGGCATTACAGAGTGCATAAAATGACCTCTACATTTTAAATTTTTCTTTGTGTACTGCCCCCTAAACACCGTTTAGGAATTACACTTTATCTGGCATGATCTAAGATGTCACAGGTAACATTATTTGACAATAGCAAATCATAAGCTATTTTGTGGTGTATATTCAACCGTGAAATCAACTGACCCTCCCACACTTCACATGCTCTGCATCACTCTACTTGACTAACCTTCTAGTTACCAGGAGTTGGCACTCATTAATGCTCAGCTTTTGGACGTAAGAGGAAGAATGATCACTCACTCAATTCTATTCCAAATAATCTGACCAAATTAAAATGGCTCAGTTTTCTTTCTGCAGTTGAAGTGACACCCAGTACAATCAGCACAACTGATTTTAAAATTGGGCTCAGGACAGCTCTGGACTTGCCAGCTGACTCAAGCTGAAAGGAACAGTTTTCCCGACACTTACTGGAGGCAATATGGATGATAAGAAAGTAAATTTTTACTTTCTTTACTTTTAAATAACAGTCACTGTTTTCATTTCACCCTCTATTCAGTAATGCAGAGAGCAATGAGAATGTAGCAAAATGTGCAGGCCAACGTTAGCTAATTTTGTTATCTAGCTAATTTAACATTAGCATCAACATTAGCTACCTGTCATCAAATATTTTGCATCTAAGATGCAAGACAGCTACAAATTTATTTTTATAATTTTATATGATAAGAGACATTGACATTTTTTAAATTGTCAATAAGCACTGACTTCCCCATGTTTAACTCCCGCCGTGTATAGATAAAACCTGTTAGGTAGACCTGGTTAACCAGCCAGATAAAAGCTAGCTATCTAATGTTTGTTAACAGCTGAGTCTCAGTCACGATGATTAAAAAGTGGCAAATCTAATTCTCTGGAAAACGACTGTAAAATTGATCAATATGTAAGAAATGCACAGATAATACCGCTCTACGTTGTTAAATACAAACTGTGGCATCCTCTAATGCAATAGCCTCTGTGCAATCACGGTGGGTATTCAGCCATTCAGAGACCCCTAAGAGCCTTTCTTCCATTGTCTATAGGGCACCTGCCTCCCCCAAAAAGGGAGATAGCATGCCAGTCATCAAATCATTTTGGAGTTACAAGTTTACAGTTAGCAATATGAGGCTGAAGTTTGCTTCAAATTTGCCAGCTTCTTGTTCCAATTTTCCCATTCCACCTCAAAGGATACAGCAGTTACTATAATATTTGCTGCACCATTTAAGGTGAAACAGGAGAATTTAAACAAGAAGCTGGCAGGTGGAAGCCAACATCAACTTTGTGTTAACAATGTACACAGAGTCTGTCAATCATCCCGCTGTGGTCCACATCCACACAGCAAAATGATAAAAGGCACCTGAGAAAAAAGAAAATATAAAACACTACTTTTAAATGTCATTATTGGGGAAAAAAGAGAAAGTAATTGAGATATATGAAATTGTTTGCAGAAATATTTTTCACAGATTTAAAAAAAAAAACAAAACAAAAAAAAACCTTAAACCCTACAGGTCTGCACTTTAATTTCTCACATTTATAACTACATTACTTACACATTTGTTTCACATTGGAATACTGAATAATACACTAGCTACTACATGAGAAGTCTTGAGATTAATAACCTAATAGTAATTCTAGACTTTAAGGGGTTAAGATTTTATGCCCTTACACAAGTATACTCATGCTCACCAAGTTCTTGTTCTGCTGCTGTGTTGATGCTTTGAAGGCCACAGTGGGGAATTCATTGCGAAGATACTTAATCCACTTTTCCACAATGTCCTTGGGCACCAAGTCTTAAAGAATATAAATATTTAGAAACTTTTAAACATTTGCTATTTCTCCTTCTTGTATTTAATGTTTTCGCCTGATGCGAACTTGCCATGTCAATCAGTTAATTTTTACATAACAATTTTCAAGCCACTCTTTATCTCTAAAAAATTAAACAAAGCTTTTTACTGTGCCTTCATACTGTATTCCACAAATAGACTGTATGGACTGGGGAGTGAATGACATGGCTGGAAATTTTAACAAAGTTCATATACCACCAACTCAACTTTTAAAAACAGCATGAATATTTGGGTTTGATATTATCTGAGCACCTTAATGTCTATTTCAAATTCCCAGCATACATGTTTATGGCATGTTTATTCCCATTTTATGGCTGGTTTAATCTGGTTCCAGCTTACCAATTTTATTAAGGACAAGAACAACTTTTTTGTTTGTTCCACTCTGGACCACAGCCTGCTCAACCTGTGGACAGCGACAGCCTAAAGGATCTCTGGCATCCAGAACTTCCAAAATAACGTCAGCAGCTTCAATCACCTGCTCAGACATCACCAATTAACAAAACAATAAAATTTCAAAGCCAACAAATTAAGGACTGACAATATTATAAACATGAATCAGTCAAATCCAGGTCAGATACATAAAGCACTTACTTTTTTAAATTCTCTGTAGTATGCCTTCCGTGAATTCTCATTTTCAAAATTGACATGCTTTTCTAAATTCTGCATTTCTATTTCCTGCACACATAAAAGCAGAAAGCACAAAGGATAAGTGTATTAACAGGTGCCATCAGAATATGTATAGTTTCAGTCATTACTTCAAACTAAATAAGCTGTTTATCAGAATATTCCATAAATAAATGATTAATTTAAAACCAAGTTAAAGTTTCACCAATTTTCATTTGAAATATTACATGAACAGTTATGTGCAATGAAGGAGAGAAAGAAAAAAGAAAGAATATAAAAAAAAAAGAGCTGGTACACCTTTGTATTATTGGAAGCACAGTGGCAAGGCAGATTGAGGACAAGCAGTATTCATGTGTTTCATTAAAAGCAAGAGAAGTGGCTTAGGGATATCATAAGAACTATCAAATTAATACACACAATTCTGCTTATACACACAGATCCATCTGTTCACAATAGTTAGATTCATGTTTTTCTCTGCTATTCAAAAAAATTGTCTCCCACACAAATCACTGAGCTTTCAACTTGCTTTAAAACAAATGCTATACACAGTGTTGGTGTGGTTTAATTGGTTGGGTATCGCACTGTTAAATAGACATAAATAAAGCAGCTGCCACTTACACCAACATCATATTGTTGACCTACGAAGTCATATATTATTCCAGAGTTTGATTCAAGGGCAAGAGCATGTGTATTTCAAGGACTTTCTACATGTCTCTGGTCAGAGGAATCAAAAACAGTCAAAACAAAATAAAGCCAGAATCCAGTAACTGCAAAGTTTAAGTACACATTCTTTTACTCCACCTGGCTTTGGCCACATTTTACTGTCTTTGTTGTCACCATCTCAACAAAGAAAGACTAATCATTGCACTCAAATTATAGTACTGAAATCCTACATTAATTTTTAAGGTCAACATGAATCAGAAATCACATTTCATTTTCCTTCCGTACCGTGGCATGTTTATGTGGCATCAGAGTCTCCAAACCAGAGCTAAGTTTGCTCGATGAAAGGTGGGGTAAAAGAATGGGAAGGTGAAACACCCACAGGTGCACAGTGAAAACTCAGAACTCAGAATAGGCAGGAAAGAGACTCTACACTTTTATCAAAAATCATTTAAAACAGAAATGTTGCCTTTTAAATGGTATGGTATGATAAATCATGCTTAAAATGACCAGGAACACAACGTCAATGCTAATTTCACGTTTACTTTAAAGGGTGTACTCTGCCAAGACGGACACTGACCCTTTTGTCGAAGCCTCTCTGTCGTTGCTGGATGTCTTTTTGGAAGCTGTCAAGACTTCTTCTCTTCATGAGCTCCCTCTCTCTGGACAACTTCTGCCTCTCCTGCTGCTCTTCCAGCTGAGACAATCAACAACACTAACTTTACAGGCATAGTTTATATCACTTACAAAAAACTAACAACCTCTAAATTTATCTTATACCCATTTGCTCTACAATCTACAAAATGTTTCATAAACTTAGGTTCTATAAACTATTAATTTGCATCTTACCCTTTTTTGTCTGAGCTCATCTTGTTTTTGGTGGTGTTCTTTAAAGGCTCGGACATTAGGCAGACCAGGATCTCTTCTGCCTCCTTGAGAGTTTGTCTGCTGTCCATCTTTAGCCTTTAAAAAGACGAATTTCCAACATGATGCAGATTGTTCATTTAGGTGTCTACTCCTACTTCCATATGTATACAGTTGAATAATGACAGCAATGGCCTGCAGTGATGGACCACACGAATTAAATCGTTGTTTTTTCCCCACCCGTATTCGCATTAGTCCCGCCCTCCTGTGCTGGGAATGGCTCGTAGCATCTTGCCCTCCTGTATTAGGACTGGACTGTTAAGCTGTATGAGGTGAGCATACCTGCGGTCCTGGAGAGCCGGTGTCCAGCACAATTTGGTGATTTACCTGCTCAAACTCATATGTTAACTGCCAGGTTTAGTGGGTGTGTTTGAGTAAGGCAACCATAAAGCTGTCCTGGACACTGGCCCTCTAGGACCAGAGCAGTGGACCCATGCGGTACGACATTCTACAACGCGTCCAGGAGGGCGTGGCTTGTCGGAATAGATGTGGGGAACAACAACAGCTACGGACAAGCTAGTAACTTTAGCTACATACCTTTTTGCCACAAAATCCGAGCCGCTTCGCTCGTTTCTGTTCTGTAGCAGAGTTAGACAGAATGGTCATACTGATGTAATATCACGTTCCTATTACGTCGAACTGAAAATTTAAATTGGCGTTCTTATACTCACTCGCTTTGGACATGAACGCACGTGTGTCAAGACCAGCAGCAGCAGTGGAGTGAAGCAGAGACAAGCTGCTACCGCACTTCAGCATAAAAGTCCTAATGTACGAAAATACGTTTATCCACTTCCTATGTGAATTTTAAATTTGCTTTAGTTAACAATAAAAGTTGTAATAAAAGTTGCATTCTGGCAAACATTTGAGTTTAATATATGATGTGTTGTGTTATGTACAGTATTGTGCAAAGGTCAGAGACCACACCTTTGTTTAATTTTCTCTTACTCATTTTTTTTGTCAGTAAAAAAAACAATAACTATACAATAACTAACAATAACATAATAGATAAAATAACTAACAATAACATAATAGATAAAATACATATCAATTTATACATTATAATACGTATATAATATAAAATTTATCAGTTTACTTTTGTGCACCTCATTGCCAATTTCAAGGAGAATACCATCAATTTCTACAAAAAAACGAAAAACAAAAAAAAAACTGCACAATCAAGAGGTCAAGATGTAAACAATGTCATGCAGAGTGGTTTCAACAAAATAGTAGTCTATAGAGCTGAACACCGACCGCCCACTTTTTCTGCGGCTATGGTTGCAAGTAAAAATCAGTTAATTCAGTTAATTCTCACCATAGACATTTCTAAAAATCCTTATATAGAGTTTGAAGCACTCAACTGAACCAATATGAGATAAATCAGGACATTATACAAATGAAATCGGAGAAAAAAAGGCGTTTAAAGTTTTAACAGTCTGAAGGGAAATTTGGAATGTGGAAAAATGGATTTTATAAGGCTTCGAATGTGGCTCAGCCAATCAGATTTTAGGACCAGAACTATCCATTTTACAATAAATAAATAAATGACAGTTGTAGCTGTACAGCGAGCTAACCGCTAACCGCTAACCTGTGAAGAGAGAGTCTGATGGAAAAAGAGAGCAAGTTTAAAGACACTAAATAACGAATTAGCTGAGTTAAATTCATATTGTAAATAAGTGTTGTCCATGTGACTATTTAAAGATCCAAATGGCAACTGGTGAAGACTTTAACTAGCCAGTTTGGTGAATTTAAATTCATTCTATGGCTAACCTCGTTAGATTTAGTTAGCTAGTTAACCTAGCTAGTTAGCATTAGCATTAGCTATCTAACTGACAGTTGAATTTTATTACTTAACTGAAGAAGATAAACGTAGTTTGTAGTCATAAAAAGGAAAAGTATAGCTTTAGCTATGTTTATATTTTACTGCCTATTTTATTTCTGCTTACTGCTTTCTATATTAGCAGCTTAATTACTTATTCGATTTTTCCTTTCCACCTTAAATAGTGCAGCAGTTTTATTATGGCACATGTACAAGTGCCAGAATGGAAGTTAACTTTTGCATGACTTAAAGTGTAACAGAAAAGACCGCCAGAAAAAAATTTAAAAAGAAAGGAAAAAAACGAAAGATATTGTGGGTTACATAGTTTATGGCTCCATTCAATTTTTTTCAAATCTGAATTTGGGTAATGTTAATCAAGTTGCATATCTTTAGGATTATTGAGATGTTTTGATATTGAGACAGTTTTAATATTTACAGTTGAGCTGTCACTTTGAGCTGGCTGCAAAAAACAGATGGAAAAGATAAAGGTAGTCTGCAAAGTGTTCTGTTTCTGCATATTAATAATAATATTAAAAGTAATACATTTTATGGATGAGCTAAAAGTTATTGTCATTGATTTAAAAAAGTTTGTATATTATTACATTATCACTGTAATTATTTAGTAAAACATTTATTAGGATCAAGTGTATTATTGGTTCCTGCAACAAAAAAATCGGTTTGAATATACATTACAGTGTAATGAGAATCAAGTCTGCGTACAGAATACGACAAAGTTAGAATAAGCCTATAATTGCATTTTCATATACCTCCCTACACTCAAGTCTGTGCACACCACTGCACCACTCTGTCATGTTCTAGTGCAAGACAAATAATCATCACTGCTGGAATTCACATTATTATGAAAAATGTAGGTGTCAGTTGTGACCACAACATGAGAGAATAATTGGACTTGCGTATGTGTGTTTCTGTGTGTCAGTTAATATGGAAAATAATCCATCCATCCATCCATCATCTAAACCGCTTATCCTTCTGGGTCGTGGTGGGGTGCTGGAGCCTATCCCAGCTGTCATTGGGCAGAAGGCAGGATACACCCTGGACAAGTTGCCAGTCCATCGCAGGGCTGACAGACATACACACACTCACAACTAGGGGCAATTTAGCATGTCCAATTGGCCTGACTGCATGTTTTTGGACTGTGGGAGGAAACTGGAGTACCCGGAGGAAACCCACGCAGACACGGGGAGAACAGGCAAACTCCACACAGAAATGACCCTGGTCACCCGGCCGGGAATCGAACCCAGGCCCTTCTTGCTGTGAGGCGACAGCGCTACCCACTGCACCACCGTGCCGCCCGCATATGGAAAATAATAAAAAATAATAAAATAGTAAATCATTTATTAGTGTACGTAAAGGCCTTAATGGTGTTAAAAGGCATTAAAAGACTAATTATTTGTTTATCTGCACATTTTGAGTTTTTTTTATATTTATTTATTTTTAAGATTTTAAAATGTATTTTATTGTTTATTATTTTATTCATTTTTCATATTAGTAGACACTCAGTTGATGAGTGTATGTGTTTTGTTGGGGTTTGTGTGGTTAAAAAGATTCTGAGATTTGACATTTCTGGACATGGGACATTCTGCTACAGCATGAAGTTGTGTACCTCACTCAAATGAAACTTTGGTGAGCCATATCTGCAGACACTTCAAGCTTTGGATCCTGATTAAGGTTTGCAAGTAATGGTTGAATTTTTAAGTTGGTAATTAGGATGCTGTATTAATAAAGATTTTTGATTAGCTAAATTTATTTGTAGTCATATTTATACTTGAGTAAAATTTAACATTCAAAGTTATGACAGATATTATGTTTTAACATCATTAAGGTAGATTTTTAACAATGTTAAGGTAACGTTTACATATGGCCTCACTGCAGCCAAGTCCATATAAGCGCATATAAAAGAGGTTAAGTGTTTTGCAGTGTGTGTGAAATGGTGGGCACATGTAGGCCTCAGTGTTGGCAGACCAACCCAGCAAATGGGTGAAAATGTGTGCTAAAGATTTGGCCCACTGTAGGCTGCTCAGCATGGGGCCCTAACATGGGGCCCCAGTCAATCATGAAACTGGGGGCACATGCAGGGCTTCATGTTACACTAAGCCCTCATATGAGAGATAAAGAGGTGCAAGAAATGGAAAAGAAGTTTCTACATCTTTTGGCGACCCTTATTAAAAATAAATCTAAAAAAAAAGTTAAAAATGAGCAATAAAGTCTATTTCCATTATTAAATTATTATTTTATGTAAAACATTAAACTTGCAAATATGTTTAAATATGGTGCATATTTTTATTTCAAAGGGTTCTTCAAGCTGGAACAGCTGGAGTCCTTGTAGGTGAAAGAGAGCAGTCATAATATCAACTACAAAGAAGACAGACAGGGAGTGCTGAGAAAACAAAAGTTGACTGTGGTCTGTTTTTGTTGGACAACAAGTGGAAAGTCTTTTGTATAGTATGTATATTTATGTATTTAACCTGCTTAATGCTTTGGTGGTTCACCACATTGTGCTACCTGATCAGTTTGCTACTCATAAAACACAGTTTTAAAGTGGAAAGAAATACTGTTCATTGTCTAAGAAATATTTAAGCATTTGCATAAAATGATATGCACATGTTATATCTTAACTTTACGTGAAATGGTAAATAACATGAAGTGAAAAGATTTCTCAAGAATTTGCAATTCTGACTTTTACAGCTCAGCTTTTAGAAAATCCTTTTCTCATATAGATTTTAAACTTTGTTATAGAATTTAAGGAAATATTGGGAACATGAGCTAAATAGATGTATTTAGGTCTAAGTTGTAACTGAACTGACAAGTTTAACAAGATTTGAAGGAACCTTATTGTTAACTCTGACTAAATAATTAACACCATTGTGCTGTGGTGCGGACACAGCTGCAGTCAGATTGTCCTGCACATTGTTACGCAATCTCATCTCTGTATTTGTAGGCTCTGGTGGATCATCAGAGTTTTACTCCAAAACCTCTGGCTTTATTATGTCACCGTAAGCAATGCAGATGTTGTGGAGCACGGCTTAGTATGCCACAGCCTCTGGGCCAAAGACAGGGCTCACCTCAGGGCCTTAAAAAAGATGGAGCGCCAGCGTGTCTTTTGCATGCCAAATTCTCTTTAAATGATATTCCTGGCCCGTGAGAGCATGCTATTATAACAAGCCTGTATAGGGTTTGGCTCAGGCTCTCGGTAAAGGATAATGAGCTAGAGGTGCGCTGATACAGGGATAACCCTCATCTCCAAGGATGCACCTCCCTGCAGGTAGGTATTAGCCCTCTGTATATAAAGTGGTGCTCTTTAATAGCCTCACATCATGCACGGGCTCCGGATACCCAACAAAAATGTCAATGAAATGTTCTAGGTGGTTGCAGATGGCTTGCAGCTGGATCGAATGTAACAGCTTCCTATTTAAGTGACCGTGCATTGATGGATGGGGGTTTTATATGTATGTGACACCCGTCAATAACACCAACTGCCACTCTGAATGCTGGGGATCCGGCCAAGTGAGCAAACCCTGCTCCTACCACCTCCAGTGATGACTTTCCTGACTATCTCACTGCCAGCCCTACTCACTCTTTGTACGAAGTCATACACAGATGACTTGGGAATGGCAAAGGCTTGTGAGACCGCATGATAGAAGGCTGCATGTGCCAGTAGAGGATCACCAATACCTTAATGTCCCAGCTCCACTTATGTTCAGTTTCATGCCTTACAGTGAGGGAGGCAATGGTCTCCTGAGAGAGTCGGTGCTCAGCTTTGAGATCTGCACCATTGAAATACAGCTGCAGAATGGGTCCAGCCATATTCAGGTGACAGTATGATGTCAGCTTTTCACACTTTGAGTTCATGTACATAGTTTATAGTTGACGTGTGCTTACTTTATTTAATGTAGTTATGTTATAACTGAAGTT